GAAGCTGGGGGTCAGAGCGCAGGGTCAGCCATTTATACTGCCTATACCCTGGAGCAGTTGGGGTTAAGGGCCTTGCTCAGGGGCTCAACAGAGTAGGATTCCTCTGCCAACTGTGGGATATGAACCGGCAACCAAAGGTGCAGATCCTTAAGGCAGACTTCGGATCTTTCCAGTTGAAACACTTTTTAGTCTTTGAATAATTTAGCTTTCCAAAGCCTATTTAGGGATTTTCACATGGATTCATTAAGTGATTCTGTATCTTTTACCTATCACACTGTTTCATCTCCCCAGGGCTGAGGTGTAAATTCATTGAACACACTAATTATAAAGAAAACATTGTGCAAAAACCTGTTTGGTTTCTTTTTTATCCTTTACACTTAACCCACTTCTGAACTGATTTACATATCCTTTTTTTCTTCAATTGCAAAGATTAAGATCCCAACAGGATTTTAACAGCCAGAGCCGGAATTGAAGAACAATGTGTTTGTTGTGACAGAAAAAGTCCAGAGGTAAGATGATACTGGCCAGAAAACTGAAAATATTCTCTTTGTAGAGCTTTGTTTAACTACTGGGTTGTACACATGTCCAGTTTACAATGCGGTGAGCGGTTCTCTGCTTAAATGAGACTACATAGGAATTTTGGTAGATTGTTTGTTGACCTTAAGAAGCCACTTGTCATTCAATTACAGGTACAGAGTGTCAAGTCTATGAGTGTCAACTAATTTTGTAGTGCTGTGACATTATTTTCAGGTTTATTGTTGGACTGTTTGCTAGCAAGGTAGGTGTTGATAAAAAGATAAATGGAGAGTGAGAAGTCAGAAGAGTAACTGAGGGCATAAATGTACTTCCTGTTTACATTCTTCCTGTGTCTGTGTTGACAAGCGGTCCTTATACGAGGAAAAAGAACAATCATTTACTGGAGCAAAATGTTGCATCGAATTCATATCAACAAAGCTTTTTTTCCCCTTGAGGTATAGAAAATCAGAACTTTTTTTCAGTTTGAAATTAAAAATAAAGGTTGCATGTTTCTTGAGGGAAGTTGGGAATCACTGATACTTTGATTTGTTTTTGTTACTAAAGTGTTCTCCATTCAAGGAATATTTTCCTTTATTGTAAATAATGGTTAAAATTTAAATCATGATATATTATATATAGCCATTTCAAGTTTTAATTTATTTAAGGTTGTTTATGTTTGATGTCATCACTCATATAACGCACTACTATAGATGGAGGTGCCCATGCCTTAAACTCCCGCATCTGATTCCTGCTCCTGGAGTTCAGGAGCACTTCAGGAAGGTCTTAAAACCTTTGCAACAGTCTTCCTCTGCCCCACATCCCTCTAAGAAGTGCTGACTGGCAGGTGTTAAATGGGTGGTAACTTTTTTTAGGAAGGCCTGAAATCCCCAAAAAGTGGTGCTGTTCTCCAAAAAGAGACATCCGACTAGTTTTTTTTCCCCAGTTTTGAGTTTCCGTTGGGAATTCTGTAAATGTACTCTTTTTACTGGAACTTTTTTTCCTTTTATGTGTCTTTCTGATTCTGACATCAGAGGACAAAGCTAAAAGTCTGCTGTTACCTTGCGTACCAGGTTTCCCAATTGTACACAGGACAAAGGCAGGTTTTCCACACGTGAACAGGTCAGAAAAGCCAAACTTTTTGCTTCAAAACCATGGACTTTGGGCTGTGAGATAATGATCAGGTAAAGCTCCTTTCACTGATAACTCACTTCCAGGGAAACACTGGCTGCTTTCCTGAACCTGGCTGTGAAGCAGGCCAGTCTGAGAAAATAATTCATCGACTTGGAGGACGGAAAAGAGGCGTGCTTGTGTGGAGTGGGCTGCCTACCTGCTTCAATTTCAATTGCTTCCTCTATTAGTAGTGCCGAGCCTCCTGCCTGACCAATGAAAAGATGATGGGTCACCTACACTCTGTCAGGGGCACTGTAAATACTGGACTATACATGACGCTCCTGAAGGGAAAAGAATTGAAAACTGCTATCCATCAGCGATCCCATCAGCGATGAAACATCAAGAAAGCCCTAAACATTAATGACTTCATTATATGTCTTTTGCCAGATGAGCAAAGGTTTCTTGTTCAAGCTCTAAACTCATTTCAGAGGTTTCAGATGTTACCTGCATAGCGATAAAGAATTTAGAAAGTGTTAGGCTACGTTGTAAAAGAATGACAGCAGACTCACCTACAGTATCAGTGGGTAGACTAAGGTGAAAACAGTATGTTTGCATATTTAACATTTGCATAAGGTCTTCTTTCTAAAAAGGGGTTTAGAGTGTCATTTATAGGCAAAATTAACTGTAACAAATGTGGAAAAGCATTTTAATCTGAATTCGATTCCTAATAACCATTAACAGTTATCCTAATGCGTGTCTTTTACTTTAAGAGGATATGTAGCCTGAGGTCTATCATGGATATACCCATGGTGCAGTTACAGCCCTCTGAGACATTATTGTTTATGTTTGTCTTTACTAGAAGATTTCTTATCTTTATTTGAAAATTTCCCAAAAACAAAACACAAGGGGCTTCGACCACTAATTGTATGTTTTCATTTTTGCCAGCAGAGTCATTCAGTGGTCTGTCAGAACCTGCCCCAGTCTGTAGACAGACTTTTTAATGATCTCCTTTGAATAGTGAGGCCAGAGCCTTGCAAATACTAGTAAATGCTATTTATTTCCCTTCAAGATCAACCATCCAAATCCTTTTACTAAAAAATCTATGCAATTGTGTAATGCAATTCAAAATTGTTGGATCTAGAAGACATCATAGGCCACAGTAAATTACTAATTTGGAAGCATACAAGGTACAATATGTAGTAAAGGAACAACACATAACAAAGTGGTATTATTTCACACGATACTTAGATAACCTCCATGGTCCTGTATTTTTTTTCATTCTAATGTTCATCCTGTATATTCTTAAATGTCCTCAATTAATTAACAATTAACAATTCCTGTTACAGGAATAACATTAACCAATTAAAAATAGTACGGGTTTTGAAACAGATTCTTCACCAGTATTGCTAGGAACAAATACACTGTGAAACACTATAAAATTTGCATGCACTGTACTTCTTTCTACAATTATTGTAAAGCAATGATCTGAGCAGAAACAAGAGACTCATGTAAAAATTAATGTCAATTATCAGCAATTATCAGGTACTTTGGAAAGCCTGGAACACTTAAAGGTGATTGGCAGTACTTCTATACTTTTGAAGAAAGAAAAAGGCACAATTGTGTTTGCTTGTCTTTAAAGTCTGTTAAGGGAAAGATTGATGGAAAAGAAGGAGCTGCATGATAATGTAGAAAATATTATTTCAAAATAATTGTGATTGCTCAGGTTTCTCGTTCCAGCTTCAAACTCTATTGTCAGCCTTTACACTGAACATTTTACACTAGATCTATGTCACTGATAGGCTTAGTTTTAAAAGGTCCACAAAACACTTCAAACTCAGTGGAATTTACACACTGTGTAAAGGGCAACTTTATAGTCATCTAAACACAAGTGTTGAGAAGTTAATTATTTATAATTTTTTTTTCACGAAACTTTAAAGAGGTGGAGAAATGATATTTTCATGATCTACTGTAGTATGCCACAACTCAAACAACGATGCTTTGATTTTTCAGATTGCAATGTACATAGGGTGAACAAAAAAACTTTACATTTTAAAAAGAAATGTATTATTGGAGGGGGAACTCTGAAAACTGTTAGAAAGAGTTTGAAGCCGTGTTTTTTTTTTCCTTTTAGGATACCTGAAAAATTACAGAGAATTTTAAGACTGAATAGAATAAAATGTTTATTCGTTTGCATCAGACACTGTGGAATTTTTGTATTACATTATTGTTTATTAAATTACCCCAGGTTGGCCATTTTAACAAAATAATTGGGTAGATTGTTTTAGTCACAGCCCACATGAAATTAACACAGAGGAGTGCAATGTAAAAATATCTCATGCTTAATTGTGATTTTTGCACTAAATTGGTTTATCTTAAAATATGGAGACTGACACTGCCTTACTAATGAAATGCAAAACGTCCTAAACAAGGTTCCAGGTGAACAAATGTACCTTTAAAGATATGGCCAAACCGCCCTTTTTGATTGCTCTTTGTTTCCAATACACAGAATAATTAGGCAAGCCCCAGTACGTTATAGTTAGTATGTCAATGTTAAGAACACAGGTGAAATAGCTGTGCTGGTGGTGGAGTCTGCTAGTCTATTAGTTTTTGTTTTGACTACAGTATTTCGTTTTTTCCACCTTTAGTACAACATGATCGATAAATCGTGAGGCTATTTATGACACACAGTTCCAGTGAGTACGGTTCTATACTGAAAACCAGGGAGATTTATTTTCAGATTCTATTAAATAAGGTTAAAACTCGTGGCACCAAAACACATTTGAGGGATGTCTTAGCCTCCAACCCAACACACCCACTTTCATCGCCTAACGACATTATCTACATTTCAGTATTTTCAGGTTTCTTTCACGCCTTTATACATTACATGTACTGTAACAAAAGCCGAACGTTATCGAGCACTGAACAATTAACTGTGGTATATTACAGTATTTTCAAAGTATTGTTTCTAATATGGCACATTATTGCTTGTAAAAAACATACGAAACACTATCTGAAAAATAAAAGTGTATAAAACAAATTCACGACTCCATACTGGCGCCTGCCCAGCCATGTGGACTGTCGCGTTTACTGAGGGACCGCGGTTGCCGAGACGCACGTTGGTTGTTAAGACAAAGGGTCCTTCACGCATTTTCAGCGGCCGGACACTGTTTTAGCTGTCTGAGGCTCGCCTGTTACAATTACGTCGTCAGAACAACAAAATTCAGACATCGTAGTTGATTAAAAAATTAGGTGCCAGACTCATAAGTGCTAATTTATTTTCAAAAGCAAAATGAGAAGAGCCTATGACAAAATAGTGAATTATGCGGTTCGTATTCTTGCAGTGCTCTGAACGGAGCGCAATATCATCAGCGCCCTTTCTATTCTGGTGTTGTATTGAACTGTATTGTAACAACTGTGAATTCTGAAACAGGTTTGTCTTTTTTTTCCCCTTGTACGGACTACTAATAATGTACACTCCTGTTTTAAAAATTCACACGCTTTGTGTCATTATTTAAAACGCTGTGAATGAATGTGAATCATGCGTTGCTTGCAGAGCGATAAACTAATTGAATGTCTCCGAGTGTTAATTTCTTGTGCGTAATAAAATGCAACTGCATGAAAATGTAACTTTTATAATCATTTTTATTTTGGTATTCCTCATTATTATGTTCTATTATTGTGCCCTTGCTTAATACTATTTAACAGTTCCTTTAATCACGGGATCTCGTTAGGACTGGCAGACGGAAGCGAAAGTAAAGCGTTTTTCAGCCCTAGCTTTAATAGTCCGTCTGCATGCAAACCTTTTGTCTGCCGCCCTGACTTGTTTTAATTGTTTTCCATTTCCTGTAAAAGCTCCATTGAGATCGCATTTCTGCCATGGAGAAGTACCATGTACTGGAGATGATTGGAGAAGGTTCCTTTGGACGTGTCTACAAAGGTCGAAAGAAGTACAGTGGTCAGGTACCATATAAACAACATGCCTCATCTCCTATGCAGTAAAATAATCATCCACCCAATCATTAGCTAACCGCTTCATCCAATTCAGGGTCAGGGGGGAAAGACAGGGTAACATCTCAGAAGCCAATTAACCTCCCTGTATGTTTTAGGACTGTGGGAGGAAACTGGAGCACCTAGGGGAAACCTATATGAACACAGTGAGAACATACAAACTCCACACAGATAGCACCCCAGAAACGTCAAGGCAGCAGTGCTAATCACTGTCCCACTGTTTAGCTCTCTTCTAAACTAGGACACCAAAATGTTAAGTATTTCTAGAGGGCAGGAGCAGTCCTGCACTCATTTGTCTGTTTTGGCACTGCTGTGGTATACCTCGAGATACCTCGATGCCTATTAGGTATATTACATGAATGTGTGTGAATGCAAGAGTGAACTTTTCTTTAAGTGAAGCTGTGATGGGGAAGTCTTTCCAGTCCATTGAGATTCTTTTCACAGAAGCCTTGAGAAAATGTTCAGAGAGGGCCCAATGCTTTTGATTTATTTTGTACTGTATGTAAGATGCAGACAACGTTTCACTTCCCAAGTTTCCCAGCCTGCCAGGATCTCTGTAAAGCACAAATTGTTGAGTTGTCCGTTAAATAGGTAAATAGAGCATCTGGTTAAGCAAAGACTCGGATCAATTTGCATATTTGCGTTGGGAAGTCAAGGGGAATGGACATGAGAAAGACCTGTAGCTAGGGATTCCAGCTCTGAGTGTGGATAACCTCCTACATGGAAGACCCCACGAGACTAAAGACAAGTTCCAGGTGCTGACGGTGCCTTTGTGTAAAAGTCACGCGTCTTGGAATGCGGGTTATCGGAACAGATAAAGATCGGACTTCACTGTGCTTCTGCCCAGCACTAATACTCTGTTTGTCCAGGTGGTGGCGCTCAAATTCATTCCCAAAGTGGGCCGCTCCGAGAAAGAACTGCGCAGTCTGAGGAGGGAGATCGAAATCATGAGGGGGCTCAGGCACCCTAACGTCGTGCTGCTGCTGGACAGCTTTGAGACGGACAGAGAGGTAGGGGCGCGTTTTCTCTCGCAAGTCCTGTCCCTGAGGCAAACCCTGCTGTTTTGTGTCACCGTCCTTCACGAGATGGAAATGTGTCCACCTGTGAATTTGAATAGACGTTTTTCGTTGAGCGGTTACTGCATTTCTTTTTTTAATCTAATGGGCATGCTGATCTCCAACAGGTCGTTGTGGTGACAGAATATGCAGAAGGAGAACTGTTTCAGATTCTGGAGGATGATGGGAGCTTACCTGAGGCTCAGGTGAGTTATTTTTATCCTCTGCAGCCCCCTGCTCTCCCTAGAAGAACCTTTTTTTTATTCCCATAGTTATTGCAAAAAAAGAGTTTGTGAAATTGCGGACCAGATGGAACCTTTTCTGTCAGACCTGCTTGAAAACAAAATGATCTTCCAAACTGCACTTGAAGCTGGTGCACTAGCCTGACTCCAAACACTCTATCGTAAAATCCAGTCATGGGGGAAAAAAGTGGAAGACAGGGTCTTCAGGGTACGTTAGCCGTCAGTGCTGATGAAAATATGCCAGAACTGGAAGAGGATTTATCTCCACTCTTGGGAGCTGTGAAGAGCCGTGTCCAAGGAATCCAGGAAATTGGGTGGGACACTACACTACAGGCCCACTTTGTTTACCAAATGAGACAGCCTTTTCTGGCTTTCATCTCAAGAAAAGTTGGAAACATCCCACAAACAGTACCTCAAGTACTACATGATTATCTGCATCGACATGATACAGAAAAGTCATATATGACCTGCACTTCCCTCAAAGTCTTATTTGCCTTTGTTGATCTCCATTAGAGATAATGAGCTCTGGTCTCCCCATATAATGGGGGAATCGTACTCCTTTGGGCCCCTGAGCAAGGCCCTTAACCGCAACTGCTCCAGGGGCGCTGTACAATGGCAGACCCTGCGCTCTGACCCCCAGCTTCTCTCCCTGTCTGTGTGTCTGTGTGTCTCATGGAGAGCAAGCTGGGGTATGCGAAAAAACAAATTCCTAATGCAAGAAATTGTATAGGGTTAATAAAGTGATGTGATGTGATGTTAATAATCCTTTGAGATCAACTCTGAAAATCATCAGCTGCATTTGACTCTTTTTTTTGCTCTTTTGGAGGATAGTGAGCAAGGAGTGGCCTCCTGTTTCATGCCCTATGTATTCTAGGTCCGCGAGATAGCCTGTCAGCTGGTCTCCGCTCTCTATTACCTGCATTCTCACAGGATTCTTCATCGTGACATGAAACCACAGAACATCCTGTTGGGCAAGGGCGGAGTTGTCAAGCTGTGCGATTTTGGGTATGTACGTGTGGCTCTGAAGTGGAGTCTTTGGCATTGATTAAATGTCAGCCATCGCTTGGAGCAACTGAAGTCAGTAATGAGGCTGTCAGTTTAGGTTTTGGCAAAGTCATTCAGATGACCTGAAACTCCTACAGAGCTGTCACACAGTTGCTCCGAGGTCACTGACGTTCGCCCTGCTGGCTTTAAGCCAGGCAAGGTCCACTTTTCATAGTTTGCGACATTCAAGTTGAAAGCTTAAGGAAGTAGTCTTGAGGAATCAGAAGATCACAATTTAAAACATTCTACACATTTTACGGAAACTGTTTTTTTTATTGTACAGTGAATGCAACTTTTTCACCTCCAGTGCAGATGTAGTATTAATATAATAAAGAAAGAGACAAAAAAGTAAAATAAAAATGGATTGTACAGCCGTTTAGAATGAAAAAGAGAAAAAGCACGTGATGAAAAAGAGTTTCACTGAGGGACTCATGTCCATCTAATACTCAGTGCAGGTGAGTCTTTAGTTTTTTTTTTCCTCCAGTGTTTTAGCAACCCTGAACAGATGCATTCTGTGTCAAGTTCTGTTCAGTCCTTTCAGGAAAGGCAAGCATCCAGATCTACTGGAATGACAGGCTCGAGTCCGTGTTTATAGCTTCCCTAAAATGACCTTCCAGAATTCACATAGCAGGAAATGAATTGAAAATACCCGCGCTTTTAGGGACCCAATAAGTTGTTATGTCAGTAGTTATATGTGAATCTCTTTTAGAGCTGATCAGTGAAAGAGCTTATGGGGAAAGGCCGGTTTTTTGATAGTTTTGATACTGAAGCAAACTGATGTTGGAAACCGCAGGCGCATGTATCTGAACGCGGGACGTGGCATTCGACGCGTCTCCTCATGTCCCGGTTGTGTCACGGCAGGTTTGCTCGGGCGATGAGCGTTTCCACCCTGGTCCTCACCTCCATCAAAGGCACCCCGCTGTACATGTCGCCCGAGCTGGTGGAAGAGAAGCCCTACGACCACACGGCTGATCTCTGGTCCCTGGGCTGCATCCTGTACGAGCTCCACACTGGGGCCCCGCCGTTCTACACCAACTCCATCTTCCAGCTGGTGCAGCTCATTGTCCGGGATCCGGTCAAGTGGCCGGAGAGCATGAGCCCTGATTGCACGGTAGCGTCACGCTGTTTGAGCGAAATGACAATCACACCCCCCTCCCAGCCCTTCTTTAGCGGCAAGGGAGCCGCCTGATTGGGCAAGAAAAATTCCAATCTAACCAATCCTGCGGTGACTGTGCCTGCCGTTTTTCGAGTTAATCACCTTGGAACGGTAGGTCGCAGTCATGGGAGTCTTTCTCACCAACACCCGAAGAGCGTCTACTGTAGGAGCAAACACATTGACACTGTGTTCCACCTGGGGGGAATATCTAATGGTTAGATGAGTAAGAACTGAAGTTAACCAATCCTTTTTGAAGAAGGACACTATTTGGAGTCAATTTCAAATGTGTCTGACCTAGATATGATCTCCTGTCAGTCTTCTTTGTTTGTGTAGATATAGAGCAGCAACGTCAACACTGCCTCTCATGATTAAGTCCAGTATTCTTTGCTGTTTTGTTTTTCTCTCTTTGCCATGCATTACAGAGGATGCTTGTTCTTTGTTCACAGAGCTTCCTGAAGGGCCTGTTGACCAAGGACCCCCAGAAAAGGCTGTCTTGGCCTCACCTGTTAAAGCACCCCTTTGTCTCTGAGGGAATCTTAGGTGAGTTTCCGATCTTGTCTCCGTAGGTTCTCTTCCTGCCTCTTTTAATCCATGGAATTATCCTGCTATCTCATTACTCTGAACTCTCTTTAGATAAGATGGGTTTAGTTTGAACTTATTTCAATTTAGGAGTCCAGCTCAAAATAGTTTACACCGTTAATACAGAGCGCAACTGAAAACATCAGGAGCTGATGGACTCTGGTTGTCTGTTATTTGCATATTCATTGTCTCATACATGATAGTGACCCAGCTGAATTAAACTACACTTCAAAACAGGAGAGCATGCAAAGTTTTATCTTTGTATATAAGCCTCTGTGTGTCTGTGCTTATGAAAGGACACATTCATTAAGTTATCTTGAGACATGAGAACAGAAATATGAGGAGGCATTGTTTGGTTGGTAGTAATTAATTGATTCAAGAATCCCATCCTGAAATTTCTTTAAAAAAGCCAGGACACCTGTTCTGAAAGAATGCTGGGTAGCTTGTCCCAGACCCACGGTCCTTTGTTCTAAAATAGCGGCTCCTGTTCCAAATTCTAAATGACATATTTGCTATTCACTGGTAATTCTGAAGACGTTCATTGTGTTGGCTCCGTCAGTGCCTTTGTGGATTCTGAATACTTGCAGGAGGTCCCCTTGTTGTCACCTCTGTTGAAGACTAAAAATGTTCCTTCATCCTGTCAATGTAGGATTTGCCTTTGAGCCCAAGAGTGTGCCTGGTCACTCTTCTTTGGAAAGCGTCCGAAGTAGAAATATCTTGTTTGGAATTTAGTGACCAAATATCGCGCACAATATTGTAAATGAGGTCTTGAGGCAATTTTAAACCTCACCTCCCCTAGTTTAAATCCTACATCTGAACTATAAATCCTAATACTGTTTCCCTTCTATTGTTCAATAGAGGTAAGGGGTCTCTCAGCATAAACACTTTTTCTCATACAGTAAGTAGCATTTTCAGGAGGAGTATTTTCTGTTTATATTGTGTTTGTACTGCCTGAATAAGTCCCTGGGGTTGAATTTGTGTGTTTGTGTAATCTGTGGCTTCAGAAGTCATTATCAGAAAACTCAAAACAAATTCATGTGTTTGCATGCCTCTGTGCCTTTGTGGACTTCCTGGGAATAGGTTTCAAAAATAAAAGTTTTCCTGTCTTTGTGCTCTCCTTATCGCTGATCAGTTCTCTCAGACGAAGAGACAGACAGTCCTCTCACCGTGTCCCTCAGCCCCGATCTGCAGGCTCTAAAGCTACAGCAGGCTAAGGAGAAGGCAGCGCCCCATTGTGGAGAACAGAGGTTACTGCGCAAGGCCAGGGAGCAGCAGGAACGAGAAAAAAACAAGGAGGTATAGAGCTGAAGAGAAACCGGGCTGTTATTGTGGTAGCAAGGTATCCCTGGGAAGATACCTTCTGTTTGTTTTCTGCACCAGCGAATGAGACGATTTCCATATTTTTTTAGGATTTCTTTCCATTCCCTTGCATATCCAGAGATTGAATGAGATCCGTTTCCATATTGAATATGGCATTACATGTTTGGTAAATTATTTTGTCCTGTTATTAGGAAACAATTGGTTGTTAAAACTGGTAGGGCCTTTGTTATTCACACACAACTCTTGTGCTACTTAAACTGATTTAAATTAAAAGGGCAGGTTCAGATTATCTTCAGCAAAAACTGTAACCTGAACCAAAATCTGCTTTTTTAATTTAGGAAACTGTTAAAAGCTGGTGAAATGAGAAAAAGGGTAAAGGGCCAGTCACACTGTAGTGTATTTACTTATTTTTTGCCACATTTGCCTTGTGCAAACCCGAAATCTGGAGTTTACAACTAACCCAAGTCCATTTTTTTCCTATTTCTGAAAAGCAGCATACTGGCCAGTTTCTTATTTGAGATTGAAAAACTCTTACCCTTAACTCTTATTCCTTTCCTAGGACCTGACAGTCAGGGCTCAAGGGAAGAACACAGGTGGAGGTGATTTTGATAAGGCACACATGGAGCCAGCCCTGGTGGGTCCTAAACCATCCAACAGCAATCCCACGCTTCCTGCTGCCTGCCCATCAGATGAGCGTGCGGCCCAGCCACCCGCCCAAGGGTAACCTCCCCAACGGCACTTACCTATCAAATTACCTCACCACACTTACCACTTACCACAGATCAAAAGCGAACAGAAGTAACGAGAGATAGTCAGGCCGAGGCTTTTCAGAAAAATGGAGTTTATAACAGACACGCGGGAGGGATGACAACAGCCAAGTTTAATCTAACTCAGCCGTTAGTAATTCGCAATCAGTCCGGACACCATTTCCTCACCTAGAACATTATACCCTTCTCCACGTCTGCTGGTCCTTGGTCACCTCACACTGCAGCCCAGCCCAGGAGTTTCGCCCATAACCACATGGATTAAGCCAGATTTGGACTAAAACACTCCAGAATTCTTTCAGTATACTCACTTCTCAGGTATTGATATTAACAACGACGCAAGGTAAAAGTCTTGAAAAATCTGCTGTCCCCTGAAGCAGTATGGCAAGGGATCAACAGCTTCACAAGCGCTTCATAGCTTCCTGCATTTGCTGTGCAGATCTGACAGATTTCTTTTCGGGAGTTAATCTGGTGTGCGATATTTCCACACCAAAATAAGAAACAGCGTTGCGCCAACACAGCTCGGAGACTGGGACAGGCAAAGTGATGAGTGTACGTGACTTACGTGCTGCACTATAGGGCCTGCGCTGCTGAACTGGTGATTTCTGTTCCACAAGTGCCCCCTCGGGTCCGGCTTGTCTCTGTGCTGATCCATGCGCGCCCTCTCTCCCAGGCAGGGGCAGATCAGCAGGGACTACGCACGGGAGTTCCCTTCAGTGGAAGTGGGTCCGAGGCAGGTCACTAGACGTGAGAAGGGACTCCGGAGCAGCTTGGGGGCGGTCAGGCTGGAAAACGAGGTCTGTCTATAATACCGTTTCAATGTTTTTTTTAAGAATCAGCACGCCCACTCACTGGCAGTTGTTACAGACATCCTTCTGTGTCTGGGGGGGTGTTTAGATGTGACCTATTTAGTAGATTCTGTGTATTTTGTTTAGGATTTGAATTTTGAAATTGAAACTGGGCGTGCCGATTTCTACCATTTTAAGGAGTCAAACGGTCCTGAGGCACAACTCAAAATGAAGGCAGTTGATCGTCAATGAAATGTTTTAAGTGTAATCATGGCACCAGTGTGTTGTTATACAATCTGGTTAGTATTTTTTTATTTATATGAAAGAACCAGAATTAGTTTCATGGTGTAATTTATTTTCCAACACAGTCTCCCCTTCCACAAAGTGTCGAATACCAAGGTATTAACGCTCTCTGGAACCTAGCAGCTGCCCCTGAGCCAAGCCAGTGACATAGCTGTATCTAGCTGGGGTGGATATACGCGTGGGTGTATACAGTATATCCACTAATTTCCCAAACTACGTGGTGTCACGCTTACCTGAGAGGGCACCGGGTCCTGAACTTTTCTTGGAACTCTTGCGTTTTTCTATTTTTTTTACCTCTCAGTCTGTGATTTTTTTACTTACTAATTCATGCAAATCCTCATGCGGTTTGGATTGAAGCTTCTCGAACACTGGCAACCGACTGTTGTAAGTTGTTATAAAAGATGGCACTTCTGCGGTACACAAGGGCTGTATACTTTGTGATGATGAAAGGGCTTCACCCTGCCCTCTGGCCTGTTTGCTGCCAAGCCAGTGACAGAGGTTGTGGCGCTGGACTCATGGGGGCTGATTCTTGCTGATAAAACCCTCATTGTGAAGCCCACCTGTATCTGCACCATAGGGGGATCTAACTCACCAGGGGCGTCAGTCTGCTTTTTTTCAGGTGACCACGACAGGCTCAACGATTTTGAGGGTTATTGAGAACAGCGATTGTTTGATTTTGGGCTGAGCGATTTGATGATTGCCCTAAGTCAAAACGCGTGGTTGTCTTTTTAGATGGCGTAGTGTTGTCTTAGCCTTTTTCTACCATTCTGGGACAGGAAGTGGAGAGTGACGAAGAGTGGCAGCGATTGGTGGAGACCACACAGCCAGGAAGCCAGGCCCCCCTGCCTTCTCCAGTATCCTTCGTGCCCCGTCTGAAACAAAGGCTCCTGAGCTCCAGAGCCCAGGTGATGCCCTTTTCTGTCTGGCCGTCTGTCAAAAGCTTCCTTCGGCGTCACAGGACAACAGCTTGAGTGGTCTCCCTGCTCTGCACAGATACTGGACGGGATGCTGGAGGGGGCGTGTCGGATCCGTCAGCCGCTGAGGGTCCTGTGGAACCTGCTGACCGTTAACTCTGATCCCGGGCTGTGCAGCACCGTGGCCGAAGAAATTGAACTGCCTCACTTCCTGCTTGATCTTATTGCGGATCTGCTGGGGAATGAACAGGTGAAGCAGGTGAGGGTCGTATGTGCTCTTTTTCTTAATCGCTTGGCTTTGGTGAAATCGTGTGCTCTTTCATAAAGCAGAATATACCAAAGTTCCAGGTAAAATTGCTGAAGACAAAATGCTTCACTGCACTGAAACAGAGGCTTGATTTTATATAAGGGAATCATTCATATTCTCAGGCATCCTTTCTGGGAACGCCTCAAGCAGTGCAGGTGTTTGACCTCCTCTGTTAGTGACAGGTGTATTTCCTATGGACGCCCATCCACATTAGTTTAATGTTCATGAAAGCCACTGTTTCCCTGTTACAGCAGCCATGGTGTGCTGCAGTGCTGGGAGACCTGATGACAGCATTGGGTGTGTGCTGGGAGAAACACTTCAACTGGGATACAGAAGGAGAGAGGTACAGTAAGAAACTGACATAAATTGGATTATTATTATTAGTAGTAGTATTATTGGGCAACCTACAGTACATACATTAGATGTGCATTTAACTTGTGAAATTTGCAGCAAACATAAAGGAAGCTAACAAAAAGAAAAGACAGATACGGCTGTCACAAGAGGCGAGAGAGAGGGAGTGAGAGAAAGGCTGGAGGAAGAGGAGGAGTGGAGATGTGGTGCAGAGAGAGATGAGGGTATTGCCAAACATCCCTATACCCTTCCGTGGGCACCTTCTGATGAAGCTCAAGGCAGTTTAACTCCTGTGCTCTTTTTAGCACTGTACACTGTAATACTATCACGGTGATAGTTTAGTATTTGTACGGATTTAAATTGTATTTATTGACTTGTGTTGCATGAAATCTTCAGTAACATTTACATAAGACTTGAAACTTCCATGCAGATATTTTTCAACTTATAACATGTACAAATAGTATAAGTAGAGATTCAGTTATCCAGTTGGAACTGCTGCCCATGGTTGATTACACATTTCTTAATATTTAGGTTATTTTCATATATACACTAATGCATATTTGAGTGTCACTGAGTGGTCTGTCTTTCTGCTGCATTGCTTACTGGACTACGGTTTAAACAGTGACAAACACGCCTTGAGCGGAGCAGTGGCTCTGTGGCTAAGGATCTGCGCCTGTAGCTGGAAGGTTGCCGGTTCAAATCCTGCAGCCGGCAGAGGAATCCTACACCATTGGGCCCCTGAGCAAGGCCCTTAACCCCAGCTGCTCCAGGGGCACCGTATAAATGGCTGACCCTGCACTCTGACCCCAGGCTTCTCTCCCTGTCTGTGTGTCTCATGGAGAGCAAGTTGGGGTATGCGAAAAGATGAATTCCTAATGCAAGAAGTTGTATATGGCCAATAAAGTGATCTGATCTCTTCTTATCTTGAGCACTGCATGGAGAGTGTTCAGACTGCTGTTCTTCATTCCTTCTCGCCCAGGATGGGGGAGGCTGCTGGGCTCTTGGTTGCTGTCCTACATTCTGCTTGCCTTGCTCCTTTGACGGTAAGACCACTGGCCCTGCTGCCGAGACTCCTCTTCATCGTGTCCCAGTCATTGCACAACCTTGGAAAATTGGCTCTGTGACTTTTTCCTCACGTGCATGAAACTGTTCTAATTTACACTTTTGACAATGTAAGACGTTGCGTATACAAGTGGAGAATAGAAAACAGTAAAATGTCAGGTACTCCAGTTGTACTGAGAGACATTCAAGATGCAGCTAATCCTTTTGGTTCCAGTTAAGTACACATTTGTTGTGTTGTTAATGCCTCTCACTATACAATAGGCAAATACACAACAGAGCAAGAAAGGATTAATAAATGCAAAAGCAAAATAAAGTACAGTGGGGATAAGATGCTACCCAAAGCATAATTTACCGGAGTGATATACCATTTACCAAAATGAAATTATGGTTGAAGGGAGGGTAAGTAATCTATCAAAAGGAAAGATGTGGTCAAACTATTCAAGTTTCATAGTTAAACCACGATACTTTTCCATGTGCTATAGTTCCTACTGGTGCAAATCCCACACTCTTGTTGTTTCAGCTTCTCTCTTTCTTACAGTTAATTGGGATAAACATCTCTCATGCCAAAGCAGAAACTGGAAGTTCTGCACCAAACGTTTTCTGACCAATCTGAATTTTTCTGAAATGGATTAAGACAGAACAGACCCAGCTATGATGATGATGTTTAACCCACGATGGGCATTATTTACTTTTAAACTAACATACTTTCATTTGGATAAAACGATATAGCACAATATATTCTTAATGTGGCTTACACATGGTATTCACACGCTCATAGTATCTTGCACTCAATTGCAATCTCCAGTTCTACAGAATCATCATATCCTCATGTCCTGAGCTCCTGGAGTCATTCAATACGTGACATTACTTCAATAATTGAATTAGGGTTTGATCTTTATTGAATCTGTTCCTTAAAGGTTTCTAGCTGAGTGCTGTGTTGGTCTGTTTTCTTGATTATGTGATGGACCAGTTGAATTGGGAATTTAGTTGGGAAGATGATTTGCTCACACTGCCTGCCTCTTTCACAGTCCCTCGCTGCCTCCCTGCTCACTCTGCTGTCCCATCACGGTGTTCCTGTGGAGCTGAGAACTGACCAGTTCATGGCCGCGATGGAGAAAACGTTATCGTCTCCAGTAGAGGTATGTGTACAGAGGTGGATCTTTCAAATCCACAGTACTCAAATAGAATTAAATTACTTTTAATTAATATTAATATATTAACAGCTTTAGCTGTCTGTGCTGAGCTTGGAGAGTGCCATCTCATTCCATTTAAAGGGGGCGTGTACTCAAGAGAGTGCGTATTCATCTGTACGGGCTCTGTCACTTGTAGATCTCTGCTCCAGTAACACATATTGTCTCCCATGGTAATTCCTCTTGGTATTTTGTTTCTTGATTTATTCCTCATGTGTATCGGTAATGGTCTTTTGCTCTCTTCCTCTCAGCTGAGTGTGCCTGCGCTTCCTGGCTGGGGTCTGTATGATGGGCTCCTCACCCTGTTGTACCGGACTGTCTCTGAGGTGAGTCTCTCACTCAGTCTGCTCTTTATATGCCCTTCGAGGGGCTATGGTAAGGAATGGTACCTTTTGTCATCTTTGCAGATATCTGAATATATCTGTTCAAGTAAAATCACACTATTGTGTTACGCATCAGTGTTCTCTGTATATAGTGCATTAACTTTGTTGTGTACCCAGAACACTTTACAAGTAGTCTTGTTGCAGCCTGTTGACTGTGGTTATTTCATACAGTATATAACTACATGTTACTACACGTTTATTACATATATATTTGACATATGAACAGATACCTGTGCAACTATACACAAACAGTAATTGTAATATCACAATGCTAGTGTTACACTATCTCCTTTTTGTAATATAATAGAATTATACCTTATTTCACTCAAGGTAAGAGCTCATTACATTTCTGGATAAACAGCAGCCAGCTTGAAAATGTATGAAATAATAACTGGTCCATCTGTATAGTTTCTTGATTAAAGGCAAGAATGCCCTGTGATGATTTTGGAAAGGACTGGTTCAAGTTTGCAGTGCTCTCTCTCTCTCTGCAGGATGGAAGTTCCTCAGTCTCTCAGTTTCTGGATTCTGCTCTGTGGCGCCACCTGTGGTTAAGAGTTAATCTTGCACTAGAGGAGACTACCCCTCACCTGAATTGTTTCTCACTCACCGGTAAAGTACCAACACTGCGATTGATTGTGCAGATGTTATCTATAAAAATATCCTTCAGCACGATCTGGCCGTCAAGCTTGGGGGAAATGCTAAAAGCATAACATTTCAATTTTATATTAAAAAGATTTTATATTAATAGGTCACCAATACTCAGTCTTATGGTTAGAACTGATTTTCTTTCTTAATTAGAACACTCTCTCTCTTTACCACAGGTCTGCAGGTCTTTCTGTCCCTCGCTCAGTTTGTCTTCACCAGGGAGCCGTACAAATGTGTTCCCCTGTTAGCCAATAGCAACACAGACAGTGTGCTAACCACCCTTGCCCACCTCCTTACTGCTGATTGGTCAGTATATCCTGTCGTATCTCCTTACAGCTTCCTTAATATTTTTTTTCCCCCCCATTTCTGGATAATTTATTTTAAGTTTTTCTTCCATGCCTTAACATGACATAAAGCTTGCCATATATCAAATTAAAAAAAATGTCTATCATTGCGTTTCTGTTTATATGTTCATTACCCCAAGTATAAAATTGCTTGTTTATGACATTTCCTGTTCTACAAGTTCATGTAAGTGATTGCCTTGTGCTGAGGATCCGAACTGCATTTCCCCACAGTGCTTTAATCAAGGAGAGGTCGGGAGAGGAGAACGGCGCCTCTGGTCCGAGCTATTCCACATCTGGTGCAAACAGCGTGTCGGTGATGACCTGTCACCTGCTGTGTTTCCCCTTCGCTCTTGACATCCCTGACCAGGCTGTGGAGGAAATCCTGCAGTCCTATCAGCGCTGCGACATCGTCCCTCGCCTGCTGCAGGTCAGACGCACGGGTTTGAGTTCCCGGCTCGCGCCTGGGACACCAAGAGTGCGAATAGGGGAAGAAATGTGTCTCAATGCAGTGAAACAAAATGAGGGGGTTTGGGTTCAAGGCTAGGCAGATATCTTTAAAAAAATGCATCGGTCTACTTACATTAAGTAGAAAATGGAACAAAGTAAATATTATAGATCCGATTTTCCTTTTCCGTTGCACTCCAGTAGGGAGTTTTTGAATTGGAACAGACAGGTGGCAGTTATAGTCTCGTTCTTGTGGCCAAAGCCTTCTGGGTGTGGCTGTGCTGTTTTCTTTTACTCCTACATCTGAGTACCCTTTGCGGCAGCCAGCAAGACGATCAGAATCCGCATTCGCCATATCAGAGGTCGTTGTGGTGTGTGGTGTTATCCGAGTTCTAGAGGTCCTACATGTGGACTCGCTGGACTGTTGGTGATGCCGACGTGGTCGACCAAAGGACAGTTGTCTGCTGAAGCCCCGGAGCCTCCAGTGGTTCCAAACGCTGGTCCTTGAGCAGATGTGTCATTGACCACACCGTGTGTTCGTGTGTCTCCCCAGCTCTCTCTGGCGCTCCCCCTCACTCTCCTGGAGCTCCCACTCTCCTTGCTGTGCCGCCTCCTGCTCAGCGACCCCCAGCAATCCCTCCCGCGGTTTATAGCGGCGGCCGAGGCCTGGGGCTTTTTCTTCCCCTCCGCGGAAGCAGAGCGCAACGGCGACGGCCAGCCTCCCAGGGGTGAACCCGCTGGCAGCGAGGGGGGCGGGGCCGGAGAGGGTGATGTCAGAGGCACCGGCCAATCAGAGCACCGGACCGCCAGCTCCCTGCTGGCCTTTTTCCTCCAATCAGAAGGCCTGTCAGGATCAGCCGTGGAGTTGCTGTCCCTCATCTCCCAGGCTGCCCGCTGCTCCCTCCACCCTCCTCTACCCGTGTTGTATGTCAGGCCCTCCCTCCTCAGAACAGCTATGGACCACCCGGACGACCGGGTGAGAGCCGCCACCTGCAGCCTTCTGGGAAATATCAGCCCGCTGGATGCCCGCGCCCCATCTGGTCAGCTGTTACCCCTGCTCTTCCAGAGCCTGATTGAGAAGCTCCAGGACCCCTCCATACAAGTCCGGCGATCCGCTTGCAGGGCCGTAGGGAATTGGGTGGGGCTCGTCGGCCAGGCCGAGTCACACATGGAGAATGAGAAGCCCAGGCTGCATGGAGCCAAGCCCAGCATGGGCACCGGCCCGATGAAAGAAGGCCGGCACTTGTTCACAAGGACAGAGCGTGAAGCAGGGAAAAGGAAGGGGGATGTGAGTAAGACAGCTAAAGGACCGGGCGGTGGCAAACCAGCCAGAGGTTTTCCTTCCAAGGACGGCACGACCGGGACTGCCGCCTGGGCGGAGCTTGCCCGGGGGGGGGTCAAAGCGCTGCTGCTGCTCTCGTCCGAGCCAGACCCCGTTGTTCGCCGGCACTGCTGCGCGGCGTTGGGAAACCTCGCTGCGATCGAGGGGGGCAGGGCTGCCCTGCTGCAGGGCGACGGGCCCCGCCTGCTCCTCCGGATTGCCTGCACGGACTCCCAGCCGGCCGTGCAGCTAGCGGCCCTCACCGGCCTCCGCGCCTTCAGCCAGCACGACGCCCTGCGTCAGGTGAGGGCTCTGACAACACGCCGCTCTCCGATCAATGTGCCGCAGGAGCCAGACTGACCAGCAGGCATAAGCATTTGCTCAGTTTGACATTATCGTGTCGTTAACAGTCACCCATAGCGTCAATTATTCAGAAAAAAGCCAACCACATAATTCTGTGCTGACCTATTCTTGCTATTATTCGAAGGCCAGTGTCTACAAGTCTCATAAGTGGTGGCTACCAGGAGATTTACAAAATAAACTTCCAGTATTACTGTCGCTGGAGTTATGTTCTGAACTGTTTACCGTTATGAAATGCATGAATTAAAGGGGACTTGTGGGTGTAAAATTAGTTTTTAATTGTTTTGTTGGGAGTGCTGTAGCCTTTGAGGACCAAAAAGGTGACCCTGCATGCATCCTAGGCTGCCTGCTACTGTTACAGAATAATAATTGTTCTTTTAAGTCTTATTCTCTCTCTGTCCATCTGTTGCAGGCTCTAGTTTCTCTGGACGCTGGTGAGAAACTGCGGCGTGTTTCCCAGCATGCACCCCACCAGCGCCACTGCCATTGGCTCATTACTAAGCTCTGCCCCTCAGTCAGCGCTTGAAATGTGTAAGAAATCTAAAGAAAGTCCATAAAAAAATGTATCTGCTCAGGTTTCGGTAGTTCAAGCTCAAGAAACTTGAGGACAACTGAATTCTCTTGTTCCAAATGCTTATAAATTATTATTTATTGGATGTATATTAGAAAGATTTGACATATTTTGTAATCTTTTCAAACGTAGACTTTGTTACGACTTTATTTGGAATAAAGATTTTTTTTACCCTAATATAGTTTCAGTCTCGTCCTGCATTTTACTGGATTCACCTTTATGTTTGATGGGGAGGAATATAAAGACACTAATTTGACTACAAATTACATGAGAATACTGTACTTTATATTTGTAATAATAGTAGACACAGCTCAGAAAAGAACTTGCAGGAGAATCCATCAGGACGTGCAAGATCTGTAAGTCTGAGCTTCAAAGAGCTCTGAGAACAGGACAAGCTCAGAGCTTTGCATGAGGTCAGCTGGCTGTTTTATACATACTGTGTTTCTATTGTGCACCACTTGTTTATTTTTCAGTACTCTTCACAAGCCACTGCTGTGCAGGGGAAAGGTACTATTGCACGTGATATGGGGAAACCTAGTGTGAAGCTCAGAGCCACTGTATCTCCTGTATTATGTACCTGATCTTCTCTAAGGAGAATGTGGTACTGGTTTGTGCTATAGAACTGGCCCGGACTTGATATGCAACAGGGAATCCAGAAAATGAGCTGGAAATGAGTCTGGGGACAGGGAGGCAACTGGACACTGTGGGTGCTGTGACTGCTGATTAAGAGATTATCAGTGAAGTTATACCCTATTCCTCTGTCACAAAGGTATGACTTCCATTTTCCCTCGAAATGTTGCTCCACAAATTGTGAAGTTCATGTAATCTAGTGCTTCATTCTCAGCATTTATTGGTTTGTCATTATTAAAAGTTCTTTCATTTGCAACAAGCAGCAGACGTGCAAATATAGTTAAACCAATTTAACCAGAGCCTAAAGTGAGGGGGGGCTGTCGGTCTAGTTAAAACAATAATTTGATCTATTAGCCAGCTGACTGTTTAGGCAGAACAGAAACCTGCAGACGCCACAGCCTCCAGATGGCACAGAGTTGTGAATGCTTGGGTTAAACATGGTCTCCTTCCCTCAGATCCAGCAGACCTCTCCCTTGATGTCTATATATATAGCTTATGACATCTTCACGTGTTTTCCATAGATAGATTTCCGCCCAACAGAAGTTACATGCCAAGGAAATCCAGTCTCGGGTCCGGGATTTGTGACTATCAGGTGGGTCAGGCCTTCTAATTTGACGCTGGTCTAAATGCACCTATATCATGTAAACAGAAACTGGCAGAAAAACAGTGCTTTTACTACAGCTGTGGGAAAAGGTTTAAGCTTGGCCTTTATATCAGGCACTTTGTGAAAAGTAGTTAAGAGCAAATAAAAGCAAAAATGCCTTAATTCTAGAAACGTTCTCAGGATCTTTTGTGACACAAAACTCATACAGTATTTTAAGTCATATAAACTCATGTAAAAATAATTGATGTGATTTATATATTTATATATCATATAAATATTAAATATAACCTTATCTGTTATGTCTTATGGATATGTTACTATATCATAACTGTTTATAGATAATGTAAATTGTATAATATATGTGATTAATATATTTTTATGGTTGGTTAAAAATATAGAACCACTTAGCAAGATAGTGTTAAAAGCTGTCCTTTTTACACCTTTTCTTTTAAAATGTGCTTCCGTCACATAACACCACTGCACTACCCTGCAACCCCATGATCAGCACACTTGCTTATATTACATATCCTTCAACATAAAAACATCCTCTACATCAAATAACACCTGCAGCTTTATCCAGGAGGGGCACAAATGTGCTTGCTTTAGCTTTACAAAACAACTCCAGACACTGGAGAACCCTTTTCACTGATCTAAAATTAAAAAAAAAAAACAGATGCACACAGGGTTTTGTTGTCAAGGTTGTGCTCAACAGCTTCGTTTTTGCTTATCTGCCTTACCAATCAAAATAACGCGACTTCCTGACCGCTATGTGGTCTCAACCTAAACCAAGATGAGCATCTAAAATCTGCGAATAACTGCACATTTTTCTTGCTGCAGGAACCAAGTGTTTCCCTACTGAAACATGAATTAACCGCTGACACATTTGCATTCAAGGGATGAGTGTTCTAGTCTCTGTCTCCGAAGTCACTGTAGTTAGGTGAAACCGTTAAGGTGAGGTATAGCCCGAACCTCTGGAGTTTAGTGCTGCTGTCTCTCTGCTCCAATCTCCCTCAACACACACGTTGACAAAGCAACACTAATTTGGAAGGGAAGGGGGGGACTGATAACTCCTTTGGTTCACATTTTTCAGTCTATGTTGAAAACACGTTCACAATCAACTCATAAAGCAGATTAAAATAATGACTTTGACCAAAGAGATACCAAAAGCCAAAGTTGCGTGACTCACTTTCTTAACGGATTTTAGAAACAGGGCAGGAAATGATTTTGCGTACCAAATTTTAAAAAAAGTTAAATCAAGGACTAATCTCAGGTTACACTCTTTATGTTAAACCTGTGGTGTGTTATAGGAAGCCACCAGATAGTTTTCCAATGCAGTTTATGTAAGCGTGTGTCTGCAATCTGTCTTTCTCTGGAATGGTAGGAATGCAAATGTGTGCAGAACACTTTTACCTCTGTGTCCTTCTTGTTCAGTATTGTATGTTGGGTGTTAGGCTTTGACAGCTTACAAAGTCGCACTGTGTTTGCTCCCAGAAGCACTTCTCCCACAGGGCCTCACCTTGGAGAGTTTCTCTCTGCCACCCACCAGAGCTGAGCGGTGTTTTCTGGTAGCGCAGAAGCACCTCACCAAGCTCCAGTCCTCCAGCAACACGACTCTTTGTGTTGCTGAAACTGTAGTCAGCGATATAGGTGCATTGTTTTAAAAACACTAGAAGATAATGTAAACAGCAATGCAACATTGTGTATACCACAGTTGAAAAACATGTCTGCTTGAATATCAATATTGTTTGTAAAGATTCAGTTATTTGTAATCATTTTCTTGCACGCACTAAACCAGAAAGATACAACCTTTCTCTCAACTGTGTGCTCCACTTCCCAGTAATGTCAAACATCAATATCAGTGGGATGCTCAGGCTCTTAAAGTGAAGACTGAAAACGCGTTCAGTAACAGAGATACAAATCACTTTATTTAGATGACAGGATTAACAAGTTCAAACAAAGCAGAGAGATGACTAAGTTACAACACTTGCCGATACAAAATCAGTGTACTGATAGCACCTCGTAATTCCCTGCTATATCAACATGACAACCTTGGATACATTATATATTAAGCTCAGATATTTGGCCCAATACAGACCTCTCGAAACACAGAACAAGATGAGACAAAACTGGATACACGAATGCTATGTAACTAGCTGATTGTACATCGCCGAGATGTGTCAACGCGTAAATTAAACAATGCAGCTTCCTGGTCTCCCCTCCGTGATTACTAAGAAATAAACGAGCACTTCATGCATCGAGTGCAAGAAAAAGAAAAAAGCTATTAAAAGGCTCTTCCCAGCATTACAAGAGCCACTGCAGAATGCCATAGCAAGCTTATAGCCATGCTGCCTAAAGGTATTAACAATAGTAGTGCTAATAAAATGATGGGGAAAAAAAAACCCAGGATGCTGCATCTCGTCAAGCAGAGCTACACTTCACAAAAGCACTAGTCAGGAATAAAAACAGCCAAAGAAGATCAACAGCTCTTTCCTTGCAATATTAAAAAGACACAATTCGAAGAGTATTCTAATTTGCTTCCACAGCAGGGGGAAAAGGGTATTAGGAGCAGTATGTAAAAGCAGCAGTCAGCAGATAAGCACGCCTTTTGTGCAGCAGTGACATCAAGTTTCTTTTACAAAGGAATCCCTGTGTGAAGAGCAGATTCAGATTTGGGTATTGGGGGAGAGTGGGAAGTCTTTAAGCAGACTTTTTGTACAAGAGCTGGTGTAGATCTGTACACACTTATCAGTGTCGCGTCCATTCACAAAACTCCAAAACGTTCAATTCAATTTATGTTTATATAGCGCCTTTCACAACAAGGTTGCCCCGAGGCGCTTAAACGTTCACTACTGTTGGCAGTCAGGGGTGCCATGCAGAATACAGAAATCTATGTGACTTTTGAAGTTGTCCTGGGATGCAACCTATAATTCTTGTAACCTATAAATTCTATCTAACTTTGGCTACTTCAGCCAAAGAAGAGTGATTAACTTGTATACGATAAGCCTGCAATTGCTATGAAGTGCATATTTAGAAATTTATTGTATGAGGTTTTGTAAATGGTATATTTATTTTTACTCATTGTTGCACCACTTTGCAAACATGGTCTTCTTTAACTATGGTAACTGCAAGTTAAAAAACATCAAAGAAGTCTCTCCCTCCTTTGACATGAACACATTTTCTTAGCTTCAATGTCAATGAAATGTATTCTGATTCATGAATTAATAAAGAATGAAATACAACATTTTAAACCAGTCTTCAGAAATAAAAGCAAAATGTTTTCAAAAATTAGACTTATGTGTCCCATCCAATATAACGCAAAGGTATAGCAACAAAAGACAAATGTAAATCTTTTCAAAGCGACACCAAAACACAAACTGTACGGTTTCATAATTATAAGAAAAAGCAATGCGTTTCAAGACCTTATAACAAGTTCCAAGACGCCAGAGATTGTCAGTTTCACAGTGCTAATGGATGTAATCAGTTTTTCTTTTTCTCTTTACCAATAAATATTATTGGATGGCATCAGAGGTGACACAAGAAGGACCGTCAAATTGTGATTTGGAGCCGACAGACTGAAATCAATAACGCAACAACAAAAAAAGGGAAGAATCACCTACAGTCTCCTGCCCCCCCTTGACACTCTAGGTCCTTGGTTTTCTTGGTGTTTAAAGCTGGGTGCCCCTTGTTCCGGGGTGTCAGGCGCTGGTGTCTTGCTTGAGGCGCTGGCTGCGTGCCTTGTAGACTTCGATGAGCAGGTCTTTGACGTACTGGATCTCTCTCTCCACAGACTCGGCCTTGTCCCGCAGCTCTCGGTTCCTGCCTTCCAGCCCCCTCAGCTCCTCTTCCAGGCTGTCCAGCTCCGCTCTCTTGCGCTGCCGGTACCTGGCGCGGAAAACCCGAGACACGTGAGCGTTCCTAACCGGACCCGACACCCCGCGACCTCCGGCTTGGCGGGGGGTCGCCGGCTCTCAAAGAAGAAGCCACGTAAGTCCGGTCAGGCACGGTCATGGTTGTCATCTTGTTAATGTCAAAAATGGCTTCACACAGGATCGGTCAGCTGTAAGGTGCGGGCGTGACTAATTCAGACCGTTTCAAGGCCGAAATCCTCAGCCGTCTTGGTAGTTGAGACCACAGAAGGCACAACCAAGATGTTCCAAAGGAGACCTACCTGTGAGCGGCAGTCTTGTTCTGATCCCTTTTCTTCTGCTTGCGTTCTCCATTCCTGGGTTCACCGGTGGCAGTTTCTGGCTCTGACTTGACATCGGGGTCCTCTTCCTGTGCCCCTCTGACTCCTGCTGAGACCCACGCTGCTCTGGGGGGGGGAGACACTGGCTCCGCCCCCACCAATCCCCCTTCCTCTTCCCCCTCTCCCCCTAACGCCTGCTCTCCCAGGAAGCCAGCGAAGGCAAACCCCTCGTGCTGGCCTCCAGCCCCCAATTCCCCGTCTCTCGCGGACTGGGCGGCCGCCTCCAGGAAGCTGCCGTAGGGCTCTCCCGTCGCCGCGACCTCCGCGAAACAGGGCTCGCCGCCCGCCTCCCTGCCGACTATTTCTAGCAGGTCGCTGCCTCTACCGTCACCCAGTTTTTCTGCCTCAGTGCCATCGTTCCTGCCGCCGCCCTCCTTCGACCCGTAAAACAGCTGCCCCCCTTTCTTGTGGGCGTTCTCCAGCGCGCCTCCTAGACAATACGCCCCAACGACCTTAACCCCACTAGTGACATCTTCCGCAAAACAGTAATTCTCTTCCTCTTTCAGCAACGTGCTGTCTTTCCTAGCTCCCGCTGTGCTATCGTGACAGTACTCCTCCCCAACCACCCTGTTGTCCACGTCGTCCACTATGAAGCAGTAGCTAAGGGCCACCCCCGGAGTTCCTGAGTTATTTCCTTTGCCGTTCCAGATGCTATTATCCAATCTGTCGTCTACCCTTCCACTGTCTGAGGCTCTCTTACGACCGCCACTGCCACCTGGGTGGCCGCAGCTGTAAGGGGCGGGTCTAGGTGTTTTGGGTCGGCCAATGGGGCCGCCGCAGAAGCTCAAGAGGTCAAGCTCCCCAGTTGCCAGAGTAACGAGAAGTGGGCTGGACTCCGGCTGACCGGAGCTGTAAGCGGTATAGGGCAACTGGTAGTAAGACTGGGGCCCCGCTGGGAGAGGCGCTTTGTCGGCTTTCTCCATTTTCTCCGGTTCCGTCTCTGACAGGAAGTAATCCTCCAGCTGCGCCAGCTCTTCCTGCAGCAGGGAGGTCATGACCTCCAGGTCGGAGGGCACCTGGACATCATGTTGGTGGGGGGGGGAGGGGGGAAGGGAGGGGTTGGGGGAGGGGGAGGAGTGAGAGGGAGGGAGGTAAGAGGAGAAATCCACTTTTTCCGTCATCCAGTCGGTCAGACCATCACCTGCAAAACACAGGAAAAGAAGATGACATCGACAACTAGGCGAAGGTTTCCTAGTCTTCTGCGCCTTCGGTTGGGTGATAAATAACGGTGGTGTTCCACGTAACGGCAGACAGTGCCCTCCCTCAACTAATGATAAGTATAACATTTTCCATTTTTTGACAAGCAGACATGCAATATAAAAAATCAATTAGATAAACGAGCGTAGACCTTCGGTACCTTGCGCGTTCGGAACACACAAAAACTGCCGTCTCACAGCACAGGGTCCATCAATTCGCCTTTCTCACAGGTCCGATTGGGATCGTCTCCTCATCCTGGAGCGTTGACACCTGTAATGTGGGGGTGGGGGTGGAGGGAACCAACAAAAATCGCCTCACCGGAACTCACCAATTAAGTGCTGGCTCTCGGCTGACTCCTCCCCCCTCCTTCCCTGGGATTGGCTGGCGTTAGCCTGTGGGAGAGGCAGAGCAAGGTGGTCTGCCGGGCAGCCGAGGGGGCTCACTTTCCAGTGAGCAGCCGACGTCGCCATCATTCCTTGGATTTCGATTCAGGACTCCGAACGGATGCGATGTACCAGAGCTGCGCAGATGAGCCACGGAGGACAGAGCTGAGGGAGCATTGTGAGACCTGGGAGAGAGAGAGACAGACGGACAAAAAGAGAATCCAGGAGAGCTTTATGAGACAGCCCTGCCATGTTATCTACCTGAGCAAGTGAGAGCTGTGTCTATTACATCAGCAACAACAACATCCATTTTGCAGAGTTTGCTGCCATATTCTATGTGGCTTCTTGAAGGAGCTGCTTAGCTTTCTCCTCCAAAAAACTGCCCCTAGGAAGGAATCTGATATAGTGCCTTTGAAAGCCATCCTCTCAAAACTACACAATGTTCAAGATATGGTCTTCACCAGACCAATGACCGGACATATCTTGAGCTGCATAGCCCCTCCCTCCTAAACCCAGCTATCTGAGCCTTTTTTTTTTGGGTGTTGGGTCACTCGCAATCAGGGGCCAAGAGAGTGAATTCAATCCAAAGCTAGAAGGGTAGTTCCTCTGGAAACCGTGAACATTCAGAAATCATGCCTATGCCCTAAGCGCCACCCTCCCACATGCCCACACCTCTGGCTTGTTACAGCCCAGTCATCTCCACCTGGACTTTCAAGTCTGTCAAGTCAGGTGGGATCCAGTGCGAAGCTGTTGAGACATTAGCCGGCACCAGTGGCGTGACTCCAGAACATCCGTTAAACTGTAAGGCATGCAGAATTACAAGCAAGTCACGAGTTAAAGGGGTAAACCACAAGATCATCACGCTCCAGTTTTGCCTGCCTACACCACAGCAGTTTCCCGGCAGGATTCCTTGTCCCATTGGCAAAGCGCTCGAGTGGAAAACTACGTGCGTTCGGGTTAATTACAGAACAAAGTAATAGACACATACCATTTTACTGTATTCATAGTAACACACAAGGAACGACAGTTAAACTAGGAATAACGCTAATAGCGACAGAAATAATACAACAGGGAAAAAAAGGCGTGCATTTTGCTAGAACAGAACAGCAAAGTTGAGCGAGTGCGACGTAATGTATTTCGTCACGGCCGCCGAGAATGACAATCCCCTCCTAACAGAAACCATCAGATAGATTTTCCTCCCTTCTTTGTGACGAGACACGGTGCATTCCTAACTGCTGCATGATGCGATACTGAACCGCAGCGTAATTCTATAACCGGGAACATCTGTTGCTGAGCCACAGAGTTGCGAAGTACAGTATTACTGCTTACTGTCACTTGTACGGCGGACCACCAGGTTACAAATGGGTCGTTTGCTTTTCACTTACTCCACATTATGCACTTGTCAGAATCAGGTATTTTAACAGCAGGGCTATTACATTAGCCGCACGTAAAGACTTCTAATGTGGATTAAGACGATCATCAGCATGTGCTCCACTGTCACCATCAGTCATTATTTTGATGAAACCAAGCTACCTCCCGGCTATAGTTACAAAGTGCAATACACTGTTACTTTGTTCATATCTGCAACGCTTGGCAAATTCAAATTAATTCACAGACTTAATCAAAAAACTACACGTGCTACGATCGCAAAAAAAATAATAAGCTTTATTTCAAATACAACCTTTCAATGAATGGTGTCAAATCTATCAAAAGTTTTTCAACTTTTCCAACACACTTTTCAAACACTGAATATTGTACTGCCACTTAACGTCCCCCAAATAAAGATTCAGATGTACAGCGCCACAGCTCGAATCGCAATTAATCTTTCAGCTGTGCGCTACATAACATCACCAGAGAAAGGTTCAGTAGCGGTAATCTATCCCTCACGCAGCATGTGTACAAAAAGAAATCCGTCCCGGGTTATACTCACTCCATTCTTGCAGAATTTCGTGTTTGTTTGTAGAGGGTGCGTTGCAGATGCAAAGCACGGTTTTCTCGGGGTGGCGACACTAAGTTTAAAAAGCCATTGTTCCCTGGGATAATCCGGGACAGTTTGCAAAGTGCTCTGCTGCTTCGCTGTCAGATGAGTTAAGAATGAAAGTTGCCGGAACGTAAAGTAGTTCCTCACCCACACCCAGCAACCAACCGCGTCACCCGGGGATGCTCGGATCCCTCCGCGGTCGCTGTCACTTAAGAATGATTCGGAGACATAGTCGCCTATAGCGGGCTAATAGCAGGAGCAATGCCATCGGCTGGGGAATTGGCATCCAGTGCTAACGGACTTTAAGCAGTCCTACACTGGAAAGTGGACAAGATCGATTCTCTTTCATGCTTTGGATTAAAACCCACCCCGCCTGCCTAGGGTGGCTGCTGTTCTATGGAAGTGTATGAAAGAAAGTTACTGTCAGCAGTACATCAGTGCAGAACACGGAGACTTTGGGGGGAGTGGTCACGCACGGTTTTGCGATAGCATGCATTTAAAAGCACGCGTGTTCTCAGCACCAGGGCGAGGGGGGACTAGTTAAATTCTCGAAGACGAGGAAGGACACAGTCTTTCACCCGGCAGAATATTGACTCCTATTGCAAGCTTGTTGCATCAGCTTGCTGGGCTGCTAGCAGATTCGCTGGCTGGAGTAAGCCTGTCGCAGCTCTATTGGCTGGGTCGTGGGCGTTTAATTGGGTAGCTAGCGAAAGGCTTCGCTTCTCAAGGGGGAGAAACGGTCGGAGGGAAAAATAACTTTTTTTTCTGTCACGTGTGCGTTGTAAATACACAAACTACGGCGTGAGAAGCCACGTGGTCTACGAAAAATCTGCATTTCGAGGTTTGGCTAACAGCGTGATTTTAAGAAGTTGTAAAGGCTGGATTTTTGCAAATAGAATGTATCATTTATAAAAAAAGAAAAGGATTCAACATAGCAAGGTCACCCACTGCACACATCTCCCGCTCTTAACTATATGCACTATTCAAAACGATCTTAATGGAATTTAAAGTTCTTTCAAACTGTGTGAGACACCAAAGAAAAGGTTTAAATATGTCTGGAAAACATCACCCTTTTGTTGTGTTCATGCATTTAGTTATTTAATTTACAGGAAAAAACTATTTTGTTCATGAAGTTTTATTAATTGTATAAACATTTTAAACATTTCATTTACAGAAGCCAAATATATTTTATTCCATATGCCTTGTCTTGCCTAATCTTGCAAGAAGTTGAGGTTTTATTTGAAGCTGTTTTTTTTTCATGTTTAATACTCATTGTTTAAGGTGTTTCTGCTGCATCAGGGTGGGTCTGTGAAATTTATTCCAAGACAGACAATGGCCAGTCATCTGCAGCAGTAACATTGAAGCTTATTTTCACAATAGACAACTACAGCAGAGAGATATGTAGGGTGTTTTCCACAAACTCACATTATGTGTTCATCCTTTATATCACAAGGCTTGTCAAGTCGCATATACAACAGGCTAAAATGCACAGATTTACAATGTATGTACAATGTAAACTTGTATTTTCTTCAATGGGCTACTATGTCAGCCACTATTACTGCTGAACTCTGAGGAGGAAAACTCAGAGTCCACCCATGATGCGGCTATTCAATATATAGTTCTCACTTCTATGTCTTTGCAGTTGCAGGTTGCAGGTTTTATTTGATCAGTTCCAATCGCAGACGAGCCATCAAGTTCATTTCAGGTACAACGTCTCGGAGTAGTATTAGAAACCGATTAACACCCTGCTTTAACTGGAGTTGCTATGCAAAGTTTTTTTTTTCTTCCTCAAAACCCAAAGCTGATTGAAGTAGCAACTTCTTCCTGTTGCTATAGTAATAGCGAACACTGCCCCCTGTTTTAAACATTTTTTTTTCAGTTTGCTGTTGCTATGTGATTGCCAAAGCCTCACCCTTTGTGCCTTGATATTCTTTGTGCCTCGTGTTTCGAGCTGCAGGTAAAATAGATTTTATTATTTTATTTAGGTGTTGACAAAGAGTTGCCAACTGAGTTGTTGTTCTGGAAAATGTGCATGGTGTTAGGTTCTCTTCTTACTCTTTTCAAAACATGTACAGTTCAGAAACATTAAAAAGGGTTTAAGTGTTAAATTCTCTACAGTTTTAATACACCCCACACACCATCCCGTTAGAGTCTGGGCTGTGAAGTTTGAAAATTTCCTAATACCTGTAGATTATTTAAAATAGAAACATAATGGAATGGAAACTGTAAACCACACAGAGGTATGATAAGAAATAATCATGCTTGCTCCTTGATTCCCCTTGGCAGACAAATCGAAGAGATTGGGTTTGCATGCTTGAGTGTGTGCGAAAAGGAGATTGTTAACCCCACCTGTTTGCAGAACTGTAACTAGGGGTTCAAACAAAGTTTCCTCTTAGTGTGGTTTGCAGTATTGCAGTTCTTGCAAACACCGTGATATCAGTGTATTTAGTAGGGCACAACAGGTCACCTACAAATGTTCTCTGCAGAGTGATGATTGAGTTGCATAAGAGTGTGATCTGATGCAAGATTCATGATCACTGCAGTAGTGCAGAAGAAGTGCTCGCTGAAGTTCACCGTGTCTCTGAGGAAAAAGCTCCATTGTAATTGGTCCACTGAGACGTGCTGTAGTCTGAGAATAACATTGCAAGAAGAAGGCAGAACCCCGACACATTTGCTATATCTTCACTGCCTCAACCCTTCGGTTTGGCCTTTTCATTGGGAAATTCTAATAGCTGGAGATGCAAAATAACCCAGCGGTTAGTGCTGTCGCCTCACAGCTCCGGAGTCCCAAGTTCAGTGTTGGATGGTGCCACCTTCCGTGTGGAGTTTGCATGGTCTCACCGTGTTCTGGCCTCCTACTGCTTCTCAAAGACAAGCTGTCAAAGTTCCTTTGTGAAACTACAGAGTGTGTATATGTGCGTGTTTGGCCTGCTACAGACTTCAGGTGGCTGGGATCCTTAAGTCACTAAGTGAATAAGTGTCCTTCTGACGATGGATGGATAATTATTAAAGTTTTCTATAAAAGCGTTTGTAACGGAACTGATAATACCCCGAAATGGAAAGTCTTGTCTTTGGTGCATTGAATATACAGTAATACAGTACAGAAAAGACCTAGTGGTGTGCTGTGACCATTGACAAGCTATCACTCAGCCTGTGTTTTTGACAGATATTACATAAAGAGGCAGTACAGGACAATACTGCATTAGTTACTGAAGGAGACACTGTTTTTACTTCACCTTCAATCTATGTGGTGTTTTTTGTGTCTGGTGAATGGTGACAATTCCCTTCAATTACATGTTCATTGACTATGTTTTATCAAATTGTGTGCCCTAACATTGTGTGAAGTATTCTTATTAGAAGTATCAAAGCGACTGTTTTCTTTACTATAGCACCATGAAGTGAAGAGATAAGTGCAGTTGCTAACCAGGTGTCCAGTCCTGTGAGAAACAGGTGGTAGTGTTTCTTCTGGTCAAAACATTTCAGTAGATTTAAACCCTCTTTTTGTTATAAGTAGCATGCTTGATCAATGGAAGCTCAAATGCCGGTCAAATGAGCCATTGTCTTAATAATCAATAATCATAATCATGTAACGTTGTGAAAACTAACAGAGGAGGTCTAGATTTCCAGTTTCGAAAAAAGTATTTAAAGTATTTATGTGCTACCATATAGTCTAGTATTAGTATTCCTGGTTTTCACCCACCAGCTCGCAACTGGCAGCCCACTGAAGCTCAGCAGGGTTGAGCCTGGTCAATACCTGGATGGGAGACCTCCTGGGTCTGCTGTTGGAAGAGGTGTAAGTGGGACCAGTAGGGGGCGCTCACCCTGCAGTCTGTGTGGTTCCTAATGCCCCAGTATAGTAAAGGAAATGCTATCCTGTTAAAATACCCCATCCTTTGGAAGAGATCTAAAACTGAAGTCCTGAGTCTCTGAGGTCATTAAAAATCCCGGGGCGTTTCTCAAAAAGAGGAGGGATGTAACCCCGGTGTCCTGGCCAAATTTCCCATTGGCCCTTACCAATCCTGGCCTCCTAATAATCCCCATCTGTGAACAGGCTTCCTCACTCTGCTCTCCTCCCCAGTGAGAGTTGGTGTGTGGTGAGTGTAGTGGAGCATCATCCAGGTGGGGTTGCACACTTGTGGTGGTGGAGGGGAGTCCCCATTACCTGTAGAGCACTTTGGGTGGAGTGTCCAGAAAAAGTGTAAAGAATTATTATTATTATTAGAAAAAATCAGTGAAATGGATTTATTGAAATGAAGTGGAATACGGAGATACGATTAATTAATCAATTGATATATTATTGGCAAGCGTCATCTCTTGGTTAAAAGGATGTGCAGCGTCTGAGTTGTGACAGTCCCATGTATGAGTGCCCTGTCATTGTCCACTGCACAACCACACACCTGTCTTGCCTGCACAGGTATAGAAGGGAGGTGTATTTCTCATCTTTTATCACATGAATGTGTTTTCTCATGATGGGAGTCAAATGCCTATGTCAAAGGTCACAGAGGTCTGCTCTGTATCAGAAAAGTACATTGTTGTTGCTGAAAGGCTCTTTCAATACGTAAAGTGCAATGGTCACATCAGCAATAATTAATTGCAAAAGAAAAAAGTAAACATTGTGGTGCGCATATTCCTTGAAGAGAACCTCCATGAATTTATTATTAATTTCATTTCTGTTTAGTGATGTAGAAATGATGTAAAAAACTCAGCGTACAAAGCTTAGGGTTTAATGCCATGGTTTCAGTTATCTGCCTTAAAATACAAGAGCCAGTCAAACCAGTTTTTAAAGGTTTCGCCTAAGAAACCTCTTTTACAGCCCTTTAAAGACAGAAGAATTCTATTGTACATAAAGGATGCAGATCAAGGTTTGATATTTCTGTGCCCTACGGTCTACAGAAGAAGGAAATAGTTGAACTGATATATTTCAATTAAGATACATGACGTCAGAATCCTTTTATTCTGCCCTACCAGTCCTGGTATTCAGATATTAAACTCTGGAACATGCAAATATGTAGAAGCCAATCCAATAAATAGGCAAAATCTAATTATAAAACGATTGACATCTTCGAAAATCTGTTTTGCTCAGCTTGTGAGGAATGACCTATAATGCTCTTGTCCTCTATTATTGGAGTCACTCTAAAGTCTGGTGTTTCTCTTTAAGAGCTGTTTCTCTTCCTCTGTGAGCAGAGCGAAGCAGTGTAAGGAGCGTGGCAGCCTGCGCAGAAAACAAGTCCATTTGGAAACCTACAGCTCTGGACAGGAAACAGGTACGGACTGAGTCTTTTGGCTGAGCTTTATTCTGAGCTTTATTCTGAGAGAAAACATCTCCGGTGTTAATTGCTGACACAAGATCCTTCTTCAGTGATGATGCTGATGATGTTAAAGGAGTTTTTACACATCAAGGCACTTTTGATGTCAGAGGACCTGCAATGAATGCAAACCTGTTTTAAGTTAAGAGAAAGGTGACCTACCTTCATGAAAGATTACACCTTGCATATATTTTGTAGTGGCTGCATACGTGTTAAATACAGTTTTCAGTTTCTGAATATGTTCAAAGTTACTTTAAGTAAGATAGTAGTAGTATGCCACATTCTGGATCAATTTTATTGCTACATTGTGTTCAGAATTCAAAATTTTAATGTGCTTTTTGTTTGCTAAAGTGCTAGCAACCAGCTGTGAAGGCATAATACATATATTTGCATGTCAGATAAACATATACTTTGCTGACTACGGGTCAAAATGACACAGAAAAGGACATTGTGTGTATTTAACAGGATCCCGGTTATTTGTTGTCTGCAGAGAGATTTGCAAAGCTAGGTTTTCTTTTCACATCACTAGTGACAGTAATGAAACTTTTTAGCAATCCTCATCCTGTTAACTTAGTGCGTCCACCTTGTGCACCTTGAGAGGAACTATTAGTGAATTATGAATTATTAACTATTAGTGAATCTGTGGTAGAACTACGCTGCTCGGGGTGTTGCGACATGTGCAGAAAACTGTGTCATAGAGATTTGATCTGGGATTCTCCATGTAAATCTATAATGAGGTTACTGGATCAATTAAATACTAGGACTCATGTGAGTGAAAATGGTCAATGGCTCTCTCTTCCACTTTCCTTTTGTCATTAGAGTTGGTGCTACATGTACTGCAGCACGACCATCCCGGACACATACTGTCGTGGTTTACAGGTGGCTCCAAAGTGGACCTCATGTGTGTGTCTGGGTGTGTTGTTGGGTTTGACTCTTGTGCACTGTGAATGCACCATACCATCGAAGAGTGTGAAAAGACTCTTTTGTCACCTAAGAAAATACTAAAACTCTTAAGAAGTGGCATTGGTATGGAACCTCATATGCATGGAGACCACTGTGTTTCAAAGCACTGATTGTTTTATTAACAAAAACTGAAGGTTAAGCTATGTCGAATGTCTGCCAGATAGGAGCAGGAAGTACTCGTATCTATATATTTTATCAACACAGCGTTAATGTGTAATTAAAAATCTTTGTAGCATCAAGGCTGTTATTTCATAACAGAGAAGAGTATAAACTGCAAATGCTTTCTGGATTGAAAGTATGAACTGCTGTACAGTATTGTCTTCAGACTGGGTTTTTTATTGTCCTTATGGGAAAACACCCCTTTCAACAAAATAAAAGACAGTTTGCCTACAATTTCCCACGCGAGAAATTGGGACAAAACCACAGTGTTGTTGGTGCACATTTGCCCACTATTGATTCACTTTCAAGGAGCAGTTTAATCAAATTCCTTTGTGAAAAGGCTGATAGAAACCAATGAAGCCATATTCCAGATCAACAAGCAAATGGAAACTGTATATATTGTGTTTTGTGTACCATTGAACTGTTTAGGGTAATTTGGGTTGAAGTTTTGAAGAATTATAATGTGACCTTTTATAGCCATTGCCTTGAGGCAAGCATACAAAGCTTTAATGGAAACAAAAGATTATTTGTAGGATACTGGGTGAAATTCCTATGATAAAAAACAATTACATTTTGTCTGAGAATAGAATGCTTTCACTTAAGGCCTCTTCCAAAATTGAAATCAAGCTGCGACTCTCCCTGAAAATGTAGTTATAGCCTCGATGGGAGTCCGGAGCGATTTTCATTCCCTTGCAAATAACCTCCGTCTGTCTCGGATAAAACTTCAGCCTGTGGATTTCCAACTTGTCTGTTTCCCATTGCAGTCAAGGGCAAAGTAAGTGCTGCATGGAACATTTAGATTTATGCATTAGACAAAAGGCTTGGGTACTGATGGGCACTGGGGTTCTGAATAGGTTTGTGTTCGTTGCTAGTCTTCTGGGCTGCAATTTCAAGGTCTTCTGTTGGTGGATGAGAATCCTATGGTTGTAAAACTTCCAATTGGTATGTACTGTAACACAACAGCATTGCATGATTTCTTCTGGCAGGTGCTATGTATCCTAAATTACACAGAGGATTTTATCATGAACGCTTCAGAGGAATGTTCATTTTTGTCCTAAAAGTGCCGGCCAAAAAAAACGGTGAAGTAGGTGAACAAATATTTCCTCCAAGACTCATTTGCCAGGGCAGAGCTGTCTGAGAATACTGCTGGCCCCTGCCTGACCCTGATCCCCGATCGTTTGAACAGTGTTTGTTTCTTTTATTTTTCTCGGAAAATAATCTACAAAGCCCAACACTGGTAGAAATGAGTTGTCCCAGCCCACGGTAGATTAGGTAGGTTTTCATAGAGAAGAAAACCTCAGCCTGGGCGGTGACATTCGTGTTTCTTATTGTGAAAACCAAACAATTGCAGTGAGTGTACAGCATTCAGTTCACACAGCCCTTTTTGGTAGTTACTGTTTAATTAAGCTGTTAATAGTTAAACAAGCCAGACAAATTAAGACCACCCAGACAATAGGGTTACTGGCAGAGAGCAGAATATTCTTTTAAGATGGGCAATGCAACTGCTTATTTTTCTCTGGATGGGTTCCAGAGCAGCAGTACATTTTGTTTTGTAATGTCTTTCACCACTGTACACAATATTCCAACTGCCCTCTTGCTTGTGCATTGCTCGTTTTTAACATGATGTCCTTCAATTAAATCCTATGCTTTATCGGAACATTTTGTGTGCCTTTTTTATGCAGCATATTCTAAACACCTATATCTGTTTCATAAGCAGCCTCTTCAAACTTGTTTTTCCCTTTTTGTACTCGCGGCATGTAATATTCTGTACTGTCACCTGGCAGGTGTTTTCCCAGCCTTGAACTTTATCTCGGTCTTTCTGAATATCATGTTTTATTATTGTCTGCTCATCTGACCGGTGTACTAATTATATCAGAATCTAGGTCATTGCTATAAACAGGAACAGCAGTGCTTCGAATACAATAATGTAATTCAGACTTATTCTTCTGTAATTACATGGTCCTGTTATTACAGTGATTCAGTTATTCTATGGATGTACACTTTGTTAACAACTTCCTAGCCCTGCCAGTACTGCGTCTGTCTTGAGTGACTGTTGGAGGAAGTCTGTTAACGGCTTGTAGATAACATATCTTTTTTTATGTTTCCAATGAAGATAAGTTTACAAAAAAGACCTTCTAGAGACATTTTCAGCCCCGAAGAGACCTGACTGAGAGGTGGGGGTCTGTCTTCTATCTCTTCAGCACTGGAGATGGTCAGAATTGGTGTTCCATATTGTATTGCATTGATATGATTTAATAAGTGATAATATTTCAATGCCCCTGACAGTGTTTCTACAGCTTCTGTTAACAACCTGCTATGAAATGGTCTGGAAACAAGACAGATTCATACTTTGCTCACTAATTCACCAGGTTTCCAGCTAATCTGTTAAGTAGAACAGAATGATATAATCAGGTAAACAGGCTGGGAATACTGACTCTCTAGGCAAAGTTCAATTAAAATTACCAAGATAGTTCCTAGAAAGTAAGGCGTGCACAGAAAGGTTAGACAAATCTGATTTCACTTTACCCTGAGCGGAGGTTGATATGAGCAGGATATGATTCATATATGTTCAAGATGTAAGATGTGTCAAGCTGAGTGATTGTCTCATACACAATAAAGGCAGTAGAGGGTGCAGATATATTTCAAGTGTGGATATGAATAGGTTTTAAATAAATATGCCTTAATTTTCTTGACTTAAAGAGGGACCTTTGTAATGCTCTGCTTAACTGTGTGACACAGGGAGATTCACTCAGACCCTTCAAGAAGCATCTTGAAGAGAGTCCTGACTTATACCTTACTGGCAATCAAATCAGCTACTGTACATGCCACCATTAACTCCTCCCTCATCTCTAACCTTCCTACCGTTAATGAGTGGAAATTCCCTGAATTAACCCAATGGCATTATTTCTCTGGAATGCAGGAAATGTCCTGACACAAGGTTATAGAAGTCATTAGGCTGCGGTTCTGAACTCAAGTTCGTGTGTGCAAGTGATTTGCGATTTCAGTTTGCTCTGAAGTGTGAAGCTTGAGAGTTTGTGGAATTTAGTTTCTGTCAATTGATTTTGAACTCTGAATAAGAAGAATTAGAAGTGAGAAATAGGAATTGCACATTTTTACCAGCTTGTAATTTAGTTGTTTCATTTGTAGCATGGTTGTAGTTAATTCTTATTTTTCCAGGTCCTTTCATGCTACTGTACAATGGCAATGGTAATCTGAACCGGCAATGAGATTTTTCATCAGCCTAGAGGTGATAAATATTCTCCTTTTGAGTTGTTTTGCATCAGGTAACTATCACATTTTTTATTTATTTATCACATGTTCTTTATTCCCCTGTATTGGTATATCAGCATTTGAGATCAATCACAAGAAACCCCTTTATCGGGTACCAGGTAATTTTTGTAGCACATTAATTCTTATCTGTCCTTAAATATTTTCACAATTTAAACAGTATATGTGGGGTTATACATATTTCTTTATTCTTTAAAAATTCTGTAAAATGCATCAAGCAGTTGTTTTAATATGTAACTTAAAGTATCAAAAGTGATACACTAATAATGTCTACGTGTGAGTAATCAGAATTATTATATATGTACCAGTTAGCTATTTTAAGTTAAGGGTGGCTTAATTTGAAAACAATTGTATGCTAATTAGCATAAATTGCATTGTCTTAGCGTCCTCAAAAAACAGAAATGGATTGAAATATACAAGCTTTTAACAAAAGACTGGGCAATAAACAGCTTCTAAAAGTGCTTGTGACACATTAGTTCAAAAAGCAAATGCACTTGCCCCACGAGGGTGTGAAGGTATTGGGTCTGAGTAATACTAAATCCCAAATCTCAGCACTGCTCTTTTCTTTACACACAAGCTGTACACATACAGAACATAACATAAACACAGGGCTTTGCTTCCAGTTCCCCTGTGAGAGGTCAGTAGGTTCAGACGGAATGAAGACTCTTGTCTGAACTTCATTCCCCAGAAATCTGTGGCCAGTCACCTGGCCTGTTGTCTTATACAAATTGATCAGGTGACTAAGGACTGCAGGTCATTCACCACAGCTTTTTGGAGGAATGTAGCTCAGACAAGAGTCTCCATCTTATCTGAAAATACTGCCCTTTCAACACCCCCATATCTGGTTCACTGATTTTAAACTTTGGCTTTATAATTATCTATAGCTCATTGCATCCCAGACAGCAACTGAAACTGTTTTATGTTTTGTTTGTCCTTTGTGTGTGTATCAGTGACCACCAGCCAGGCTGTCAAGGTGGTATTGCTTGGGCAAACTGCCAGTCTCCCTTGTCTTTTTGCTCAACGATCCCAGAATGATTTGACAGCCACTTGGACCAAGAAGGGCAGGACTCAGCTATCAGATAAGAGTCTCTTTGTCTTCCATGCTGGAAAACGCATGCCAGACCATCATACAGAGGAGTACAGAGACAGGATCTTCATAAATCAAACTGGATTGAGTGATGGCAATGCTACGCTCTTCCTGAAAAACATAAGCATCTCGGATGAAGGGGTGTATGAATGTTTCGTGTTTATGAACCCTGAAAAGCACAATTCAACCTTAAAGCTCGAAGTGGCTGGTAAGCTTATATTTCACATTTGTGTTGTATTGGTATGTGCATTAAGAATGTATGAATGGAAGAAAGGATTCAAAAGGGAGAAAAACATATCTTTCAGATCTCCATGGCTGTAACTTGTTGATCCAAATACGTTTCAGTGGAAGATCCCAACACCCACCAAAGATCCAAAGAAAGATCCAAAGAAAAAACCTGGCTTCAGCCTTGCTTTTTGTGAATCATGCCCCCTCTCCAGAAGTATGTTTGTATGTACTTTGAGAGTTGCCTGTTGCTGAAGTGCCAGTCACGTGGCCTTGCCTACCAATTTGCAAAAATTAGTGTTAAATCTAGGATGATGGTTTGGAGATTATTTTCTAACATTAAATTCCGAGGTGCTAATTTCTTTTTCAGGGAAGTATTCATTTATTTACTGGTTCCTAAAATAAGATTGGACTTACCAAACCACTGTTAAAGCAGGGAAAAGAGGGTTAAGGGAGATAGTGGTTAAAATATGGTGAAGCATAGAATCAATTGAAACAATGCCATGGGAATTTAGAGCAGTAAATGTGCCCCATTGTGTTCTATTCTAGCTTTGTTCTCAAAGCCACAGATCTCCTGTCAGCAGTCCCCCAGCTCACAGAAAGATGAGAAGATGGAAGAATGGATTCTGAGCTGTGTCTCAGAGAATGGCTATCCTGAGGGGAGACTGCTGTGGGACCTGGAGGATGGATTGGCCGTCCACAGCAGAAACCAGACCAATCAGACAAAGGAGACCTGGGGTCTCTACACCCTTCGCAGCCAGCTGGTCATCAACCACATGTTTAGCAAGAATCCCTCCTGTATCGTCCACAACCAACGAGCCCAGCAGACCATCTCTTCTGTGGCTGTGTGCAATGTCTCAGACAAAGGTACTGGCCTTAGCCTTTTTCTGGTGGTGATAAGGGAAACCCAGGAACATTCTCCAACTGTTACTGTGTTGTCGTGCTGCTCAAAACTGGATTGGGCCGGGATTCAGATTGGAATTCTGTGCATGAAGCTGGGAAGAGATGTGCCAGAGCAGGCTTTTCAGAATTTGTGTGAGAATGAAAGAAATGCAGCTTGTCAGTCTGACAGTATTCTCAGAGCTGCTGGCTGGAGCCTGATCTAATAGGAATTTTAAGACAGGATGGACCTTGCTTGGCTTTTTAAGAGAAAAAAAAATAATAAACTGTCCGGAATTTCCCATTACCAATTGGGAGACTCACAAAGAGTCAGCTAGGGTGACTGAATAAGTAATGTAGATAGATACTTGATTAATCCCATGAGGGAAATTATAGTGCAACAGCAGCCTGGCACAGTAAGTACAGTCAGTGAGAAGTGCAGTAAAAAGTAAAAAGAAAATGGAGTATACAGAATTGCTCACAGTACAGAAGATAAAAACAAACCAGAAAGTACAGTACACAAAAAGATGTATTGCACATTATAAATAAATTGCACAAATCCCCAGCATATATTACACAAAAATCCATTGTAAACAGGAAAACCAGCTGTAAACAGAGAAATCATGTTTAGTCCAAAAGCAAGTCAGTGTTGCCCCTGCCCAGACACACAGTGGATGAGTTGTAGAGTCCTATGGCAGAAGGCGAGAATGAACTCCTGTGGCGCTCCCTGTCGCACCATGGTTGGATCAGCCTGTTGCTGAATGTGCTCTTCATTCTCACAAGCATGTCATAGAGAGACGTTGTCCATGATGGCCATTCATTTGGACACCATTCTCCTCTCAGCCACTACCTCCAAGGGGTCCCTATCAGACCCAATGACAGAACTAGCTCTTGTGATGAGCTTGTTCAGTTATATGTAATTATAGTTATGTAGTTTTAGTATTTAGTACTCCTCCCCACTGAGAGCTGATGTGTGGTGAGCGTTCTGGCGCACTATGGCTGCCATCCCATCATCCAGGTGGGGCTGCACATTGGTGGTGGTGGAGGGGAGTCCCCATTACCTGTAAAGCACTTTGAGTGGAGTGTCCAGAAAAGTGCTATATAAGTGTAAGCAATTATAATTATTATTAATTATTATAGTTATATGTACAAGGTAACTATAAGTTATTGTAATTGATCCCACTCAGTGATTTTTGAGAAGCAACGTGCATTCAGCAGGTAACAATGCTTACCTGTCGTGTAAATTTGTTTCAGTTTAGTGGTGAGAAGCTTGTCCACTCTCAAAGTGTCTAGCCGACCCTTGAAGAAAAAGCACAGAGATGTATGCAAAGTGCAGTCAGCTAAAAGCTCTTTCCACCTCTGTGACTCAGTATTGTTTTCTGCATCTGCTGCTTCACTTATGGAATTCACATGCACATGAATTGACGTGCACATTAGGCCCAGAAAGCCAAACACTGGAGATCACTGCACAAGGGGACAGCAGATGAACTCCATTCTCCAACTGATGCTGCCATCTGCTGTTTTCTCAGGCATAGTACAGCCAATGATGATGTAGTAGTTTCATATGAGCAGTAGTGTAGAGGATTACGTGCTGGTTGGTGTTGTTACCGAGAGATGTCAGTGTTAAATGACTTTTCCTCTGGCCTGTGTGTGAAGAATAGTAAAGAACTGATGCTCTGGTTTTAGTGTTGGACATGTCTCTCGGTACCCATGCTGCTCAGTGTGTACATAGTGGGTTTTGAAAAATCTCAAAGCTGTCTGTGAAAGTACAAGTTACTAAGGGTAGTATTCTTGAACCGCTTTTCAGTGTGTATTGAGTTTTAGTTACTGTTTTTTTTGTTTGTTTTTCCAGCAGCAGTAAACCAAACGCCAGCCAAACCGAGACATCGACTGGCAATTGTAGCCTCAGTTCTGGGATATCTGTGCTTTCTGCTGCCAGTGGTGATCCGCAATCTCACCTAGACGTAAAATGGGACACTACCCGCTCTTTGGAACTCATTTCTGAAGCATTCATATGTTACAAGCTTTGCCCAGGGCTTACAAACACCTTGGAACAATCCTGTTCACCAGGTTCTCCTTGAGGAAGAGAATGGTGATATTCTCCCTGGGGAGAAAAGGCGGATTGCTGTAAGAATAATGGATTAATTCACATGCTCAGACTACTTTTACCATTGTGTGAAACCTGTCTGGTCAGAAGAAGATTTGATCAAATGCCACCAACATTCTCTGATGTTGTACGATACAGGCCAATGGCATTTTCCCCAGGCCTCTTCTTACACGGAGAAAAAGGGAGATTGCAACTTGCTGTCCAGCATTTGTGAGCTGCAGCAATTTATTGTATTCCAGATCAGGTCATTTCAGATCTTGAGTTTCCTCTCTTTCACACAGCTTTGAAAAATTACATTTGAGGGTATTTACATCTAATGGTTGTTCCAAAGATGCTACTAACATTTAATGAAAATGTCTATTACACATTTGAGCCAGGCCCTTTTGGTTAATGATATTCGAATCAAAAGATGTCTGTTATAGAAAACTGTTGTCTCATGTTTTTGGCAGCAACGTACTTATATACAGTATTTCAGGTGGTTAGCTGCGTCAGCATGCGTAGGCTGCAAAGGAACAAGTAATAGGTTTATTCCATGCTGAAAAAAAGAAGAAAGAAAACACAACGTTTCGGCCATGGAGCCTTCTTCAGGTGTGAAGAAGGCTCCACGGCCGAAACGTTGTGTTTTCTTTCTTCTTTTTTTCAGCATGGAATAAACCTATTACTTGTTCCTTATATACAGTATGTCAAGAATATAAATAAACTAGAATTTATCTTATCCTGCTTCCTTCCCGTGTGTCGATTATATGCACTGTATATAAAAAGAAGAAAAACAGAAAAGACTCAAATGAACACTGTTTTGCCATTGGTGATGTTATTTTCTTTCAGTAGGCTCCTGTGTATTACATTCTCTTGAAAATGACAGAGTTGCCCAGTGGTGATGCAATTAGTGGAAAAAGAACGTCCTGTTTTTCTGTTTTATTCCTGTAAGTGGTTGGACTCGGGACTTTTAAACTTCCTGTGCTAAATCCCACCTCCGCTGCTTGAGCTGACATTTCAGGCGCTCAGGAACAGGAGTAGATTGAATCTCTGTTGGAATAAATACAGCATCAGGCTTCTTGTCAAGCCCAGAGAGCTCTGACCAGTTTGGGAGTGAATGTTAAAATGATTGGTCATGACTTTTCTCACAGGGATTACAGTACTGCCACTTACGCTGTCTGCTTAGGGCCTCACATGTTTTACTTGCTCAAATCTGCCCACACCAGCACCTTGTCCTCCTGCTTGTCAGTCATAAAGCCTGATGGTATTTGCCAAAGCAGCTTCTTAAGCTCAGAAAATGGTTGAGATTTAGTTTCCTTTTTTATGGTGGCCATATAAGCATAAGTATATGTTTGTTTTTTTCTTTAACTGTACATAATCTACTCTGGTAAAACTCTTTCTGTCCCATCTAGGATTTTGAGCTTTTACACGAGAACCATCATGTGTTTTTGAAACACTGCTTCAACTGGGCTATAGAAGCCTCTGGCTGCTTTCACAAGGACATGGGTTTTCTTTAAATTTGGGGTTCTATAGTAAATGATTAGCTGCTGGGTGTATGTGGTTTGACTCATGAGGACCTTTAAAATATTTAATCTAAAAACAGTCTCTCCTGCACTGGACAAGACCCTGAGTTCTGTTTGTACTCACCCACACACAGAAAAGTGTAATATACTCATTGACTGTGATTTCAGCAAAAGTCAAGGAACAACAGGAAAACCAATAAACATTATTGGCATTAGAACTCTTACTCTTATTTAGAAATAGCAATTTACTTAATCTTTTACGTAGGAAGTAAAATAATGCAAACATAAGTGTTACAAGTGTTCAGTGACACGGGGGAGTATAATCTCTATGATGAAAGCAAAGCTGTCTGGTCATTTCTGACTCTCTAGAATCAACTCAGATCGCTTTGTTTTGGCTAGGTGTGAGCAGATCAGTGTGGCTCCTCTGAGCGATATGTAGGCTTTCGTCAAATCAAAGTTGCTGAAATGTTCATTGCACAGAGAGTTCAAAGGTTGTCTACTGACCCTTCAATTTTGATTAGCTTGTGAAAGACTGGTTTATCAGGTGCAGGCAGATACAGAGATAGTGCAGGCTCCACACTGACTCCTGGGCTCGAGGGCACCGAAACATCTGAACACTGGACCTGTCAGGTTTTAAACAACTGGCCACATAATAGGATCAAATTATCTGGGCTTTCTTGTCACTTTTAAGTGACAAGAGTTCTTGGGAAACTTTGAAAACGAGTGAGGAAAAGAAAAGAGAAATAAACCAAGCCTATAATATAGTAGCTACAGTCAGCCCAATGTCTGGCTTTAACATTACATAATTTGCCAGTTCCTGCAAGAACACAAAATGGAACGAAATATCTATAAATTCATAAAGGTGTGACAACAATCATTATGTATGTTACAAACGAGAGTTTGTTTTGCTGACAACATTAACTTTACTGCCCTGTGAAGAAAGTTTAATTGATCGTGGAGCGATCACGAGCACCTGAGGTGGGATATGGGCACAGGGCTTCCCAAAGGTCCCAAGGCAGCCCAGACGGACAATGTGGGCAGCGGTGCCTCACGTAACAAACTGGCAGTGTGTCCCGAGGGTTGTGGCAGATGGAATTGATTTATTTTTCGAGTTCACTTGAAAATCTGGTTGAAAGCACACTCGATGGGTCAGATTCATCAGCTGTTATGACTGAAAATACAGTCCGTTTAATGTTTCAAAAGTGTGAGTCTTTACATCATCAACGCTAGTAGGTGGAAAAAAAAGAGCACTTTTTTCAAGGATTTTTTTTATTCGTTTAAGAAGTGAACAGAACAGTGTGTCGTTGTCATGAGAGTTCAGTTTCACCTGCATATACTGTATGCACCTTCCTGTGAACAGAGCTTTCATGCTACCAGGCTGGACCTGTACTGTTATTTGTCTGCTGTTTGATTATATGCAAACCTCTCACAGTAATACCTTGTCTGCACAACAGTGTCATGTCGGCGGCACCTTTTCAGAGATCATCGCTGTTTCAGGAAAGTGAGGTAAGAAGGTGTCTGATAAAATTGGAATGGCTAAGGCTTTGTAGGAAAGGTGTAATTTTGACACTATAGAACATAATGAAGACACTCAACAAACTGAAAAGTGGGCCTACAAATGTATTGCTTTTCAAGCCTTAAACAAAACAGGAAAGACGAGACTGGGACTCTCGGAAGACAAATGAATAATCACTATTCATTTTCCTCCGGGTATTGATTTCCCTCATTGACTTTCCCGTCTTTGTTCAGAATTTCACCGCAGACCGTCTCGATTTTTGTCATTTGGCAGGTCTGGACTAGGCTACCTGCTTAGACGTGCGAGCGCACTTCCTCAAACTTTTGGAAAAAGTCTCAGTGGCAAAGGTTCAGCATAAAGGAACTTTTGTTTCAGTCCCTTTTTGTCCCCCCCTGTTAGAAAGGGAACTCCGAACGTCTGATCGTGTAATGAACCTCATTTTTAAGTCGCCGGCCTCCTGAAAGAGCTGCCCAGCGTGTTGTGAGTCAGTCCTTTCCACCGGCCGAGGAGGAGGGCCGGAGAGTAGGGGAGGGGGTGTTTCTGTGGCGCACAGAGGAGGTCCAGAGGGAGGGACAGCACTGGTGTGTAAATAGCAGTGCCTTGCAGGAGACGAGTCACATAACCTGGGCTGCTCCTCCATCCTGCATCTCCACTCTCTACCGAAGACCCTCGCTGGAGCTCGTGATGTGGAGGGTGTTGCTCCTCGCGCCTCTGCTTCTGCAGACTGCCGTAGCTGACCCGGCTCCTGGACCGTAAGTGACGAAACCCGTCGTTCCTTTTGCTGAAGCGGTGCTAAGATGTTCCCTAAATGATTCTGGCAGTCAACCAGACTGAAGTGTCCAAGTTCTCTCAGTACTGCGGGAATGTTGTTGTTGCTCCAAGTTGCGTTCAGCAAAACAAGAGCGAGCAGACCTGTTTTACTTCAGCCCAAAAAAGCTTTAAAGCTCTAGTTTCTAAGCAGAGATTTCTAGTTGAATTGTTTTTATTATGAATGTAAAATGACTAGATTGGGTTTTAATACGGATAACTACTGTTTCAGTGATAAGCATTTTTAATTTTATTTTTGATTTTATATGTAGCTAACACAGCTGTAAAAACCTTACTTTTGAACAGACAAAATAAATGCAGATACTTCTTGAAGGTATTTACTTATTATTCTCACCTTAAAATGAAAACAAGCACTACGTGTTATTAAATATATAAAACTGTAGATATAAAATTCTTGGCTTTTTACTGTATTTCACAATGTTATCAGTTTTGCCCAGAAGGTCATGCCCACCATCTTTCAAAAATAATGATTTTCTCAGGAAAAGAAGGAAATTTCCAGTGCTATAAAATTTAACTTGGCCAATAAATCTGGTAATTAAGAAAGTTTGCAAAGGAGAGGGAGCAAATTAGCCCAAGTTGCTAGCTTTCAGTAGCTAATTGATCACTTTTCTTCAAAACGTGTTGTCAAAGAAAAATAAATTGGAGTATTACTTTTGGGGCGACCTTCATGTATATAGAAATTTGCTATGTCCAATAGTTTACCTTTGGTGTAGAAAGCTCACACATTTTAGAAAAAAAAAGTTATGGTCTGTTCCATCTCTCCTTCACGAAAGGTTTGTTGACAGCACAGCCACTGATAAATAAGTACATTAATGTAGAACTCAGGAGCAAAAGCAGGTAAATTATAGATGTATATGGACTCTTAACCAATGAAATGTACGCCATAAGCTGGAAATGAGCACTGTAAGAAAAAACCTCATATGGTATTTTGGGATCAAGACTGTTTAGTGGTCATGTCTACATGTTTAAGGTCTTATGACAGAAATCATACCTTGAAGGTATTTAAATATGAGCTACGTCACATACATTAAAAACACAGTCTGCTGGAAACAAGTTCTGTTTGAAATGGGGCCTTGAAGGAGCAGGGAGAGGTGGATAACAATGATGTCAGATGATCTCATCTCTCCCAAACTGCGACTGCCAAATTGTCAGGGACTTGTTGACCAGCTCCCGTTAATCTAACAGGTTTAATCTAACGGGTGGGTCTGTTTCACGGCTCAGAGATTTCTGACTCTGAACCACAGGGCCACTCTGCTCCCACATTGTTTGTGATAATTTATATGTCTGGGCGTGACGCCCTGTAGTCCTCACAGCATTCCGCACAAGTCAGAAAGAGTCGTTTGTATCATCACTCATGCTATTTGCCTTTTGAAACTCCTTCATGCTAGAAGAAATTTCTGCTGCTTGAACTCCTGGTTCTCCCCTAAAATTCTTAGTCGTGGTGACTTTCCAAGACGGAAAATTACACCCTCTGAGCAAAATATTTTGCTTTACAAAAGCTGGGAATCTTTTGCAGGCAGCAGTTAGGGAATATGCTGGTCACAAACAACTTGGGAGCTGCAGCACACAGCTGACACCAAAAGGTTCAGAATACATCCCATCACATCGCCTTTCCATCCATGCCTCCCTCATCCCGGGAAGCTGTCTACCCTGGTAGGGTACATGAAGCTGAGCTGCTCCCTGGCTGGGGTGCAAGTTTTTCACAATGCATAGAGGTGCAATTTAGATACACTAACCTTGCATGCAAATCTTTTGGAAGGTGCAAAAAAACAGATTGTCATGGGAGAATGGGAGGAATGCATTCTCTATTTCAGAAGAAAGATTTTAGGAGTTTTTCTCGTGTTTGCAGAAACGACATCTGCTATAGTGAGTTGGAAGCAGTTCATAGAATTTTCCCTCTTTAGTTGAAGTCTCTGGAAGGCTGTCACCTCCCTTTCAGGTGTTTCTGTGTTATCAGAGTGTGCAATCTTCTTCATTGTCCGACAAAATCATCCTCCCCCTTCCCTGAAGCCTGGATGAGTACTGCTCCTCGGGATGACTGCTCCCGTCTTCTCCCCTGTCTCTCTGCAGCATCTACCTGGTGACGGTGACATCCAAGACGACCGGGGGCTCCACCGAGACCCTGTGTGCTCAGTTCTTCCACCCCAATGAAACGCTTTCGTTCACCATCACCCTGGTGACGGAGACCAGAAATCTCTCTTTGCTGGAGGAGCAAGTGAAGGAGAAGGAGTTCTACCGCTGCATTCCCTTCCAGGTAATGCCGCAGGCCATGTTGCCTTTCTACGATTTCACCAGTCCTTTGTCAGGAAAAGCTCAGCAGCCTGCAGATCTGGCTAGCCGTACTTTGGGTGTAACAGGGACGGAGCCAAACAGCTGGGGACAGCGCTTGTCAAATTTAGTTACCTTCTTCCCTATTGACTTTTCCTAGTTTAGTTTATGAATCAGACCCGGGATCTGAACTGCAGTGTCAGGCAGTCTTCCACTCCTCCCAGTCAAGCTCACTGCTTTCCCCCTGAGGATGAAACTTCTTTTGAGAACCCAGGGACGTGACGGAGCTCTCCATGCTCTTCATGGCTGGACAAGGTTCAGTCCCGACTGAAAAGGAGAAAGGAGGAAAAAAAGCCCAACATTTCAGCTGCGCAAGAGACGGGAGGCCGGAATATGACGCAAAGGGCTGGGTTAGGGTAGAAGAGCAGCTTGTGAGAATCGGGGGTTTTGTAGGAGAAACCAGTATCAAAACGGGGAAATGAAGGGGTTGAACTCCAGGTGTGAAAAGCTGAAATTGGTGAGCAAATGGAGAGGTAGGAAAGCAGCCGCTCACTTTAAACAAGTACAGAGACGCCCCCAACTAACCATGCAATGCCCCAGCTTGATTCGTGTTCCCGGGAGAGAACATGCCCATGTAAGATAGTTCTGCAATTTCCCTCACGGGATCAATAAAGTATCTATCTAGAACAATTACAATAGGTCCTTTCATTTGCTTGTGGGTATCACCAGCTGTGTTATTGCAAATAATGCCAAGCCTGATATTAAGTAATGAAATGTCTTTGCAAAAATAAAAAATAAAATAAAATATGAGAAAAAAAACCCATGCTTGTGTGCTAGAATGAGTAGTAGCAAAAAAGCAATAAGAATGGTTCTCGTCTCAGCTATCTTGCTGCAGATATACTGAATCTGCTCTTCTTTTCTGGGTTAGATTCTGGCTTCCCTCTACCCCTGAATTGAAAGCAGCGGTTAGAAAATGGATGATTTGGTCATGATTGTCGGCTACAATGAAAATGACCGAATGGTAGAGGCAGCGTGCACTGAAGGCAGTTACATAAGCTGTCTTACATAAGCGCTCGGCCCCATTACAGTTGGCCCAGCCTTGTTAAAGACTTTCCTGCAGCCCCAGGCTGTGACTCGGTCCCAGTGTATTGAGTCAGTTCTCGGAAGACAAGTCAGGACAGCCCAGATTGGACAGGGCTCCAGCCACTCCATTCGTGTTTGTATGCTTCAGAAGGAACTCTCTTTGCCAAACCCAGCCCTGTCAAACAGAAACCCTTTTCAAAGCCGGCAGATGCTTGTTGAAATTACTCCTCTGTAGTAATGTTCTCGGCTAGAAGTATCAACACTTTAATGTGAGACCTGAATGTAAAAAAGTAAATGAACGGCATGCCTGTAAAAGAAACAGTCTGGGACACAGCGCGAGAAAATCAATGCTACATACTGTAAATGACAAAAAAGTTGAAAAAATGATATTATGCTCTACTGCTCCTGTGTGCAGGAAGCAGAACAAGAATTGCCCCAGTGTTTATATGGAGTAGATACCAACGTTACTTAATGTTTGCTGCACTAGTTCCAGCACTCTGTACACTATTACAGTAGTTCCAGCACTCTGTATGCTCCTGTGTATTAGTAATAGTTAGCAGTGACAAGTCACCCTCAGAATAACAAATTTGAACATGTGGTTTTGTCACAAAGAGCCTGTTTGAGGGAATCGGCGATCCCGAGGAGAAAGAGGAATACTCTGTATTAGTGTGTGGGCAGGGATAACAGCTTGCTCTATTTGCAGAACCGCATAAACATCATGTTTGCGAAATGTCCTGTTTACCGAAGAGAGGGCATTGCCTGTCTTTGAGGCTTGACTGAAAACAGCTGTTTCATAAGAGCAGGGGGATTGAAAGAGTGTTGCTTCCCCCCCCCCCCAAAGGAGTCAATAAATGAAACCCCCTTTTCACTTTTTAGTCCGGATTTAAAAAAAAAAAGCTTTTTCTGTGAGAGCAGAGTTATTCCTGTATCAGGGTTGTTGCCAGACTTTTTTTTATTACAGTGTATTGTGTAAGCAAAAAGGTTTTGAACTGGGAAAATACGGCCTTGGATATGTTGTGGGGGAAACCTTTTCATTTTTTCTTATTCGTTTATCTTTTATTCTTACCCCCTCGAGTGTGGTGTCTGTCAAGGGCTTAAAATCGCCACCTGTCCAGTTGCGTCTCTCCCTGCCCTTCCTTCTCACTGTCTGTCCCACTCCTCGCAGGTTCCCACAGTGAACACCAACACTGTAGTCCAAGTCCGTGTGACCGTTAGAGGACAAACAGTGGAAATGGACAAAGAGACGAAAATCCTCATCCAGCCCAGCGAGACTCTTACCTTCATCCAGACTGACAAGCCCGTCTACAAACCAGGACAAACAAGTAAGGTTCCCGAATGTAGGAAGTCCTACCTGAGGCCCCTTTTCCTCATCACATCCTTTCCCTCTTTCCCATCGGAATTGCTATCCGGCAAAACATCTTTTCAGCTTTGCAGCCTACAGCATTTCTATGACCTTTGTTTCTGAAAGACTTTGATATCTGCAAATGTGTTCATCCGAAAGAGCTGGACTGGAGTTTTTCACCTCTCTGTCATTTCTCGTTCTTGTTCCCTAGGCTGATGTACAGTATAAAAAACACAGCTACAGGTTTAAAGCATCCTCTGATGTCACTATGCCCTATGGCTGTGAGAAGAAGACATTTTGTGAATCCTCTGTATTCCTGCATTAATTGCTGTTCATTTAAGTCATGATAATAGATAAACACAATCGAATTAAACAAATATCACACAAACGATTGTCTATATTAAACACATTTTTAAACATCTAAGTTACTAAATCAGTTAGATTTAGTAACTGGTGAAACCTTCTTTGGCAGCAATGAGCAAAAGCAAACGTTTCCTAGAGCAGCTGATCAGTTCTGCACATCTGTTTGGGAGTATTTAGGCTCATTCCTCTCTATAAAACTGTTTAAAGTCATTGATATTTTTGGGTGTCTTGAATGAATGGCTTGTTTCAGGTAATGCCATTCCAAAGTGTTCACCATAAATATATAGCTGTGGTATAAACTGAAAATGGTCAACCTAATCTGCTTTTTAAGACTTAAACCCAATCTTCTTATTCAGGATCTGAGTGCTTCAAACTTGACAAGAATATATAGCAGCAAGTTTTAATGTAGCTATTTTTTTAATTGATCTTTGGGCTTTTCTGCTTTATTTTATCTAACGGTGTTGCATCTGTCAACATAGGATGCACAGGTACCTTAAATACAGGGTATTAACACTGCAATTACCTTATAATTGTGTGGTATTTCCACTTTGCAGTACTGTACATGTACTTATAGTACATTCAAAATATAATAACCAGTAATGTAATTGCATTATGCAAGTATTACACCAGCAATTGCAGTGTAATTACACTTTTCAGGATATACAGTATAATTGCACATTATATCCTATGACCAATCTCTTGACTGAATCCCTAATTATACTATAAATGTAGATTTTTCACAGAATGCTGTTGTACTTGTAGCTCATGTACCTTCAGTAAAAATGACATAATAAAGACACAGTATAATATTGGTCATATATTTAAATATATGTATTTTGAAGTGTAAATAAGTACAAGGAAGTTGAAGAGGAAAGAAAGCTGTAATTCTTGTAAATACCGTACATTATTTTGACAGTTAGTGCATAAGTGTTAAAATCTGCTGTAGGGAGTAACTCGGCAAATTGTCTCTGTTCATCTTTTCAGTTAAGTTCCGTATTGTCTCACTGGATTCAGCTTTCGTGCCTCTCGAGACAATGGTAAGAGACAGCTGTTTCAGCTTTTCATTCATACGTTTTCTACTTAGGCCAGGAGGAAAGAAAATATAGTATATACAGTAGGATCCGTAGAACAGACTTAGAATAAATGAACATGAATTAAATAACTAACAAGACAAAGAGAGCTAACATTCCACTAGACCCTACATTTGAGCATCTTGCACGTTTAAATCCCCTAAAATGAAAAAGAAAAAGAGAAGAAAAAAGAAAGAGGGACCAAGTTCAACACACAGGGGCAGTCAGAGTCCAATGACAGTGAGGTCTTATCTGGTGTGATGGACAAGGCAAACAGCAGCTCAAGGCCTGTGGAGTACAGGAGTACAGCACAGATAGCTGCTAATGGGAGACACAGAGAAGAAGCTTTGACACCAAGAAAAGATGGTTGGTTAACATACTTTCTCCCTTTTTTTCTCCTAGTACCCCACAGTGGAACTTCAGGTAAGATGGCCTGCAGCCTTCATGGTGGTACTCTTACATCCACTTGTCATGGATGTCGGAAAGGACGGACCGTGGAATGGCAGGAGGGCGAAAATAGACCCTATGCGTAGCAGCGAGATGGGGGTTAGCCCGGGCTCAGCTGTTCAGGAAATGCCATATAGAAACTTATGCCCTCAAGCCATGGACAGGAGTGACCTGGTGCTAGGCGGGTCTCAGGACATCTGAACCTCAATGCTGAGCGATTAGCAGAGCAGAAGCAGGAAGTAAATAGGCTACACAACAAGACACACCAGAGAGACATGAATAATCACAGGGAACTAGGAACAGGAGAGAAGCAGAGCGCCCTCTAGGTGTACTGGGCGTGACACACTGTTACCTCACACTTTCAAGACACACTTAAAATGGGACAAGTCAGCTGGATAATGGAAAACACAACCGTCGTAAATGGATATTAGGGTCAATGCAAATTTGTTGGTACCCATTGGACATTCACAAAAATATCGATTTTGACTAAATCGCTTTCATTTTTGAATCTATAAGAATAAACTAGCAAAACGGAATTTGAAACTACAGGGATCTGTTGATACTCAATTTATGGTTCTGGAGACATTTTGGAGCAATGTGTGTTCCTCTTCATGGAGCAATTCTGATCCTCCAAATTCCCAGGATCCTTCCTCGAACCGCATCGCCCAGTGGCTCAACAGGACGTCTACCAGTGGGATCGTGGACCTTTCGAATCCCATGAGCCCGGAAGCACTGCAAGGGTCGTACGTCATAACAGCTTGGAGCCAGACAGGCAAAGAAACCACCCACTCCTTTGAAATCAAAGAATACGGTGAGAAAATTTACATTATGGCCTTTCTTGTGTTTGTTGCTTGTAGCCCCACATTCAACAGAAATATTTCTAAGGCTTCCATTGATGAGTTTTTAGGCTAGTCTGCTAAAACATAATAGCTCTTACTTTTGCTCTCAAGCTCTTGTAGTTGAAATGTAGTTTCTTGTCGAATGTATACTCTTCAATAGGTACTAATTTGTCTTCAGTGGTGAGGCAGACGGGTAAGAGTTCTAAGTAATCTGTTCTGTGTCCCATTTAGTCCTACCCAAGTATGAAGTGAAAGTCCATCTCCCCAGAGTTATTACCATCATGGACAAAGAGGCAACATTCAAGGTCTGCGGAAAGTAAGTGAAGTTATGCAAGCAGAGCTGGGTCATTTTCCTTTTTTTTCCACTTTTCTGTGTTATTGTTGGGTTTTTCCAGGAAAGTGCTTCACAAAATGGCCTTCTCTCAGTTGTAGCTCTCCCAGGGTTAGAGTCTGAGACAGAGGATAGACAGTTCTACATAAGATAATGAGCTCTAAGCAGGAGAGTGTGCGGACCTGAAGCAGAGATGAAGGGGTCTTTGCACAGTGAGCCTGCAGGCTGTACATTTCACTTACCTTCACGTTTCCTTTGCTAGACAGAACCGTCACAGCCCACAGGCAGAGAGTGGCCTTGGAGGGGGGATACAGCTAGAGAAAAGGAGAAAACAGAGAAATTGTGTGTTAAATATAAAAAGAGGGGCTGTGTGGTGAAGCAGAGCCCCTTCTGCAGGGGAGAATCTTTGGAACAGGGATGCAAACCAGGCTGCCATAAGCCTTTGCCTGTGCTGGATGATCAAAGCTGGGCCCACACTTGTTCACTGGGCTGTATTTCACCACTGCGGGCTTGTATGTCCCATTCCCATTATGATTTTCTGCTCACTGAAGAAACTGTTTTGTCTTTTCAGGTACACGTATGGAAAGCCAGTCTTAGGGGAAGTCACAGCGACTTTCTGTAGAAAAGGCTATAATTATTACTGGTATCGCTCATCAGACACGCAAGACATCTGCACAAAGTACTCCCTTAGGGTAAGTACTGTTGATTATTGAGCACAACTTAGCATACCCTGAATGGGAGCAATAAATAGTAGTGTAATGGTGGACTACAGGTTGCAAATGCAGTTTCTAAATATAGCACAATTTCTTCTAGTAATAATGTCTACAAGTGAGATTACTGTAATGATAACCAATCATGTCTGTAAATCATGTTTCTGACCATTGTCTGTACATAGTTATAAATTGTTAAAAAATTAAATGGTACTGCTAACCCTAGTTTTAAGATAAGGAGTACTGTTAATAACATGGTAATAAATTGTTTATATAATGTTATAATGGTTACCTAAACCTTTTTACAAGGTGGACTAGAGGAGTGAGATGCCTCTATGAGATAATATTTTTCATATTTAATAAATCTAAGCAACAGTTAATAAAAAAAGGAGAGAAATGTATTTGATAAAGATTTACCTTTACTACATTAATACCTGAACAGGCAGAGAAAGAAAAATCCTTGTGATATATCTTCATTGTTAATAGAATAAGGAAATAATCATCTAAGATGATCTTGCTTTGTCACTTAGACTGACAGGACTGGATGTGCCACCGGCACGGTTGACCTGACAAATTACGCACTGAACAGAACGGGATACGAGGATGTGTTTAACTTGGAAAGTTATCTGGAAGAGGATGGGACAGGTATTCCTGGTTTCTCTAATTTAGAATCTCCAATTATTTTTGTTATACTCCGCTGATATGGAAAAACCATATTGTTAAATTGTGTGCTTTTCACATCCTGGCTCACAGCTACAAACCCTGTGACCGCACACGGGGGAGAATGAGGAAGTGTAGACAGACTCCTCCCACCCACCTGCCTTTGAGCTGCTTGCTTCTTAATACATCACAAGTATTATAGCCCCATACCAAAGACTTAGCGCCAATTGAAGGACAGACATGTCCCTTACCGATAGCTCTAGATATGCCCATGTAACCCTGTCTTAAGGGGAGCTGGGTATAAAACACTGGCTATGATTGCTTACAGATGTAGTGTTGGCTTAAGAACTACAACTCCCATGAACGCAGTGAGTAACTTCCTGATGGGGTCCCTGTTTTGCCTGGCTGTTGTGACATCTAGCAGGTCTCTCCCCGTACAGGCAGCTTCACAGTTGATCGCTGCTTATCACCAGCGCATGCAGGAGGAACTCCCATGGGATCTCTTTTTATTTTTAAAAAGCTTATTTTCTTAAAAAACGAGAAAAAAAAACCTGGGAGGGTTTCCAGAGATATTTATCTCCTGTGTCCCCACCTCATCACCTGGTTACTCCTGCAAGCACCCCACGGTTTCGGGGGTCGCTGTGTTGAGCAAGGTCGAGAGAGCCCTGGCCGACTAATCTCATCCTACTGTTGGTGGCAATAAGGCATGAACCTGTGATCATAGAGCTCAGCCTGTGCTCATGCAAGTTCCTTTACCTTTTGAGCCACTCTCCAGGTCCAGCAGTCTCTATTTATTTGGTTGGCTCTTTATTTCTTTTAGGACACTTGAACACTCTCCCAAACTGTTTTCTGGGTGATATACTGTATAACTAGTTCAAATTAAAGAAACTCATGGTATAACTGTGTTCTGTCCTGTCTGTCTGCTACCCCACCAGGTGTGATTCTGCGGGGCAGCAGCACAACTGAATTTTCCTCCGATATCATCAGGATCCAGTTTGAAGATTTACCAAAGGGTTTCAAGACGGGCATCCCCCTTACTGGAAAGGTGAAGGCACAACAAACATCTCGATTTATACACGAAGTGCTTAACAATAAAGGAAGTGATATTTTGGAAAACGTTGTAGCAGTCCATGCTCTCGAAGCGTTCTCGTGCTCCCAGGGTGTCTCCACAAACCATGAGAATTCGCTACAACACAATGAATATCTCAAAAAAACGGTTAAGATTTCAACATAGAAGTCATTGCAATTGTTATTTTTTGCAATGTATATCCCCCCCCTACATATCTTATTACATAGGATTACACTGGCATATAATTCTTAAATGTTTTATATATTGAGCAATGCACGAATCGAGAAAATCGAATCAGTTGTCTATAGCTAATAAATCAGCTAATACTTTTGTAAGTGTTAAAAGACACATTATAAGGGCATAACAAACTATGAACATTCCGACATTACACATTTATATGCAACTAATCTGAAAGTAATTCAATAAATGTAATTAATCGTTAGTATATACCGGTTTCCATCAAGTTTAATACTTTTCTGTGTATATTACTGGTACTGACAGTAAAGGAATGGTATTTCTGTTTCTTTGCGCAGAATATCGGTTTGGTTGGCTTTTGTTGTTTTTATTTTGAGACCTCTCTCTCAGTTGCCTTACTCAGACAATCTTAAAAAGCTGTTTTCTACCTAGAGGTGTCTGCCTGGTTGTGCTGTTGAGATTAAGTTGCGTGTACCGGTTGTATCTATACTCTCACCTTGGAAAGCAGAATATGCACTTAAACTGGCTGCTAGAAATTTCATGGCCTTGTGGCGTCCCGGCCATCTGAGATGTGTGATTTCTTCTTGTGATATATCTTACAGTATGTGGAAAAGCTTGCCAGCTAGATTTATTTAATTAAATTGTTTTCATGAATAGATGGAGATAAAAAGCAGGAATATAGATAAGAACATAACAACCCCTGATGCCTTTGAAGGGCAGGAATGTGTAGAGGATTGTTTTTTATTTGACAAGCCCTATTTACAGTAAGAAGATTATCACACAACATCTTCCTCTTGCATGATGCCCAATGTGAAACGTGACTGCAAAGAAGAGATGAAGAAAGAGAAAATACAGAGACAGACACCAAACAGCTGCCGTGCAGTGCTATTAAAAATAGTCTGAAACAACAATGCAGATATCCAAACTTAAGAACCAGAGGAACGTGACCTTAGATTACAATATACTGTCGTTCGAAGCGGTTTACTTGGTGGCTATCGGCTTTTCACGTGATTTTTGTTGCTTTTCTGCCATCCGCAGATTAAGGTGACAAGGCCAGACTCTTCACCGGCTGCCGGTGAGCCAGTTGAACTCGTCCTGGCACAGGGTGAGATAAGACAAAGCCAGAATTTCACCACAGACAGCAATGGTTTGGTCAGCTTCTCACTGGACACTTCCTCTTGGAAGTCAGACTCCGCTAGTCTCTCGGTCAGTATCCGCCAAACTGAGGACATTTCACTTTCTTTTCTAGATGCCTTTCTCTGTCTTTGTCTCACTGTTTTTGTATCCTACTCGCTCTCTCTTCCTACTGGTGCAAATGAGGTTTTTCTGTTCTATTTCCCCGTAACAGTAAAGACAGGTTTTTGCTTGTACAATGAACACGTTGCCCTGGAAGATGGGATTTTGTATTCCTGCTGTAAGAACTATTATTTGAATGTGCCGATCATCCTTGATATGGGGCGAAAATCTTTAATTACATATCATGGTAAAAGAATATTCTTCCATTAACAATTAATTGTGACAGCTTCCCTATGTCTCCATGCAGGCCGAGTACCGTGGCTCACAGGATTTCGAGTTTGAGATGGACGTGCGCAGACCTTTATATCGGTCAGCCTTTCAATCGTTGCTACCATTTTATTCCAAAAGCAAGAGCTTTCTGAAGATACAACCAGCCAATGGGCCGCTACCATGTGACAAGGATGAACCAATCGGGGTTGAATATATCATTCAAGGGGAGGAGCTGCAGACGGGGCAGGCCTACCTTGATTTCTATTACCTGGTGAGTGTTTATTTCCAGGTTGGACACTCTCAAGCAACAATGGCTCATTTTCATCAGGCAGTTTGTGCCAGTTATCATGATCCTCTGTCTTGTAGGTGGTGGCCAAAGGCAGCATTGTGCGAAATGGGCGTCTGGAAATCCAAGTGAAAACAGGAGAAGGTGATCCCTTTAAAATAGAATGTCACAAATGTCTTGTTTCAATGTCTTGACTTTAGTATGTCTGCTGGCAAGCGCTGATGTTGTATTTTATTTGTAATTCTAATGGATTGTGTCCGGACTGGGCATTGTAATACACCCAGGGTCAAGACAGCCTAGCAAGTATGTTTTTAAAAGGCAGGGCTAGGTAAGAGTTTTAGACACAACTGTAAAGAAACAAAATCTCTGTTTTTTATTCATACAGTATGGAGGAATAAACAAAACAAAACCCTCAACAGAAGCAAAGCCCTATCGGTTCTTGAACTCGAAAGTAAAGAACTTAGTCTGTCCTCTCTAGATAGTCAGGTTATCAATCTGCTTGCCAGCTTCAAAACAAAACCCCCCTCCCCAGAAACATTTTCTCAAACTCACAAAATATTAATGGGTCCTTACCGAGAAAAACATATATCTTCTAAACTTGCACTGGTCAGTTGTTTTTGCTTTGTTCTCCCTCCAATGTAAGGAATCTCAAAGGCTCTGCTTACTGGCCAGTGGACATTCATTCATGTTCATCTGGAACTTCCTGGTTTTTAAATGTCACCTACCCACTTTTCTCCTTCCGATTGGTCCAGGCATTGAGGGCAGTAGGTCATTTCCACACAGATTTCTGGGTAATATATTGTTCCGACAGGAGGTGCCATTTTGTCTGACATAGATGTGCTATCATGTTTGAAACAAAACCTTAACCATCCCCTTTGGCCTAGTTATTTTTTCATGGTTTTATTTCCTGCTACGCTCAGCCTTGAACTCAGATTGTTTCTGTTTTTCCTCTTCTAGTGAACAAGGGAGAGTTATCGTTAATCCTAGAGAAGACCATAGAGTTGGCCCCTGTTGCACAGGTCGTCGTCTACACAGTGCTGCCTAACGGGGAGGCTGTGGCAGACAGCTTTGACTTTGAAGTCCAGCTGTGCTTCAAGAACAAGGTAAAGCTGTGGGATTTTCTCAAATTGAATATTAAAAACCCCACATTGCCTCGGGCCTTACGGGTTACTATTAACAAGATCATATCATCTTTGTTTGCACATGAAGCATTTTATTTTGATTGAACGGTGTGACACTTCATGTAGCCCCAGTGCCCGCATGAATCTAAAGCGGTCATAGCTGATCAGTCATTTGATGAAATAATACAGTGCCACTCGGTTCTGGGATTCTGAATGCGCTTGAACAGCAGGAATGAAGTTTGGAATTTGATATACAGTATGTAGATGAGCACAGGATCCCTCTTGTCAATTGTTCCAAGGAGACAGTTTAAACACACAGCTTCCACAAGCCAGCTGGAAGTGATATTTCAGGTGTGCTCAATAGGCATAACTTTGGTGAAGTTGCAGAGTATCTTTAGTTGAATTATGAATAATCATACAGTAGCAGCTATTAGCAGTTATAGCACATACAGTACCTTCATAATGAGTCCACATAAGGTCCTGGGTTACTTGTAAACACAAATAAAAACCCCTATGTACTTTAGCTAAAAATGACCTTGTCTGTGACTTCTTAAAAGTAACAGACATTATTAGGTGACATTATTTTTTCTAAAACATTTTGAGAGATTTTTTTGCGATACCTTTTACAATTGAAGTGTTTACAGGTGAGGACTGTGTGAACGTCCTGAAGGTGACAGACATATCCTCGAACAAATTCATCTTAGAACTTACAGAATGTACATATTACTTATTCTAAAATGCATAAAGGAGGGAATACTGTATAAAATCTAAAAGTCCTAAAAATGACCCAGGAAGAGGAAAATGCCAGCTTGTCCATTAATAATTTTACTTGCAGTAGTGCAAGTATTTTTTATTATCAGTATTAAGTAATTGATCACAATACAGTCTAACTGCAATCCCATGTTACAGCTGTGCTGGCAGGATTTACTCCTGCTTATTTTCCCCTCCAAAAAAACAGTTTTAACACCCTAGGGTTTTCATGTACTCAGAGCAGAGTGCTTTGAGGGACAGTTCCTGAGACAATCGCAGAATTGTGAAGGTGACACACACAGGTACTAAAAGTAATCAAGCGTCCAATTTTGCAAATGCTGAGCTTTACTTTTTGTGAAAAGAGATGACTGTGTTTAAAGGTGAGGACTGTGTGAACTAGGTTGCATGACTGTGGCCCTGTGCTAATTACAGGTGTCCCTGAAGTTTTCCTCCTCTGAGGAGCTCCCAGGGGGTGACACAACCCTTAGCCTTCAAGCTCAGCCTGGGTCTCTATGTGCTCTGAGGGCCATCGATCAGAGTGTCCTGCTCATGAGCCCTGAGAAGGAACTGAACGCTCAAAACGTGAGTCCACTTCTTTCTCTCTCTCTCCCCTGAAGCTAAAGGTATTTATTTAATTTTTAAGCTGTTGTGAAAAACGTTGTGTGTTTCTTCCTATGTCTTTGTGGTCTGCTCTTAAATCAGTGTGATATACTTCTTTCTCCTAGGTGTACCGGTATCTACCAATTCAAAAGCTGTCTGAGTATCCATATGACGCATTGGATAAAGAGGAAGATGTCTGCATTCCTAATCCAATTGGACCACCAGGCCCATTCGGAATGAAGAGGCAACGTTTTTTCTACTTTCCTTATGAACGTAAATATGATGTGTACCATATCTTCCAGGTAAGTATTCTCACTGCCACACAGCTCCTGTTTACAAACGTGTTAGCTTTATGAATAGTCATCTGTTGCACACTGACCAGCTCTTGGTCATTTTGTACACTCAATTCCTCTGATCATTCATTTTCTTTATAGTTTACCTTGTGCCTTTAAGCCCCCTGGGCCAGGCAGTGCTTGGTATTGTTATCAGTTATTGGATTTGCATGATCGTGCCTCTTACCTAAATGAGAAAGGTTAAAACTGTTTGACATCCGACGTCATTGGATTTCATGCAGAGCATTTGGAAATAGTTTGACCAAATCGTTGTCCTTTTATTGCTTTTCTTCTCCACCCTGACTGAACAACACCTTTCTGGTTTTCTCTTTGCCTGCAGGATGTGGGTTTGAAGATTATGACCAACTCTGATATCAAGAAACCAGTGGATTGCCATTTCCCTATGTACGACTACATGGTTGGTGCTGCAGGCCCATTTCAAGATAACCCTGGTATGTTTTCTCTTTCTTTCCCTCCATACGCAGCATAAAATGATATACAGTACCTTGCAAAAGTATTCAGACCCTGCTTATGGTGTCCCAATTTGTGAAATTACAGAATGATGCATTCACATTTTTTAACTTAATATTTTACTGAAAACATGAAGTGAAAACTTCTACTGTATATGTTAGCAAAAACTGTAGAGAAAAAAAAATGAAATACAGTAGAGTCACGATTATCCGACCTAAATGGGACCAATAGTATGTCGGATAACCAAAAATGTCGGATAATGAGGAAACTGACCAGACAAGTCACAGATTAATGGAAGCGCTGTATTAGTATGAAATCCGGTTGAGTAATACTAAAATAACAGAGTATAGAGCTATTGTTAGTTATTATTTAAAATCGGTTTCCCAGATGTGCTCCTCTTCCTTGCAGCAAGGTCTCGCCAGTGTCTTGGTAACATGACATCAGTAGTAGTTGCCTGCTCCTGTTGTTCAACGTAAGCTAGTGCCGCTTGGAAAATACAATAGGAAAAATAATAATAACGAGCACGAAATCAGCAAGCAAAGCTCTGTCAACGCAGGCTTGCAGGCGTTTCCACAGATTCTCAATGGGACTGTCATTCAAGGACATTCATTTTCTTATTCTTAAACCCCTCTGGTGTAGCTTTAGGTTACTGGCCTGCTGAAAGGTGACATTTTGTCCCAGTTTTACCTTTTCCTCAGTGCCTCTTTGCCAGTACTTTTGCTCTATTTATGTTCCTCTCAGTCATGATAAATTGCTATCATTCTGCTGATGAGAAGCAGAACCATAACATAATGCTGCCACCACCATACAGTACGGGACAGCAGGGCTGGTGTTGACTGAGTGATGCACCATGTTAGGTTTGCAACAGATGGAACATTTTGCATTTAGACCAAATAGTTACGTTTCGTCATGTCTCACCACAAACTGTTTTACCAGAGGTCTACAGTATCAGATCAAAAATTTTGTTGGGATTTCCACTGGGCTGTTGAACTCTATAGTTGTTTCAAAGTCTCCATTAGTGTCAGTTACATCCTTAACAACTTTCCTCCTTGCCTGCACTCAGTTAAGAGGGACAGCCAGATCTAGGCTGCATGTCTGCATGGTATAATATTCACTGCTCTTCTTAATGACCAACGTGTGCAAAGGTTTATTCAGTGTTTCTGAAATTTTTCTATGCAATACCTTTTTCCTGATTTGTGCCTTTCTATAACTTCATCTCTTTTTTAAAGATTCTTGGTCTTCATGGTTGAATCCTGGCTTGAAATTCACTACATGACTGAGGGACACAGCCGTCCCTAAGGGGGCAGCCTAGCATTTCTTTTTTTTAGAAATATTGAAAAATATTTACAGTATGGAACTAATCTAACATTTCAATCAAGTTTTCTTTTTCTGTCATGACGAATGAAAAAACGTAGCATCATCTGTAGAGTCACGTGTCTCAAACTGGCGCTCAAACCCGGCCCCCCAGTTAAAACCAAATGCCCACCCGTTCAAATTGTCCTGGTGAAGCCCTGCTGAGGGACCTGACAGGGATATTTATTGTAGAATCATTTTATTGCACACATGCTTGAAAAGGCCCCTCAACTAATTGTTAAGGGATTTTGTATTCCTTAAGACTTGAATACTTGTGCAATCACGACTTTTCCATTTTTTACTTTTTGCGGTGGTGTGTACAACTGCTGCTGTCAAAGTTTAATGACTGCAAGCAACAAAATGCAAAACCGCCATAAGGGTCTGAATACCTCTGTACCTACAGCATGTTCTGTAGAAATGCCCTGGTACTGAAGTGTGTGCTCATAGTCTGGAATTTAAAATATTCACGCTGCATCTTACAGGCACATCGAACAGGGTAAAATGGACTACTGTGCAAATCTTTAGGTAGATTCTCCAGTAATTGCAAACAACAGCCTGTTATTGTGTCTTTTAATAAAATAATCATAGAAAAAATAGCTAGAAATAATCAAATGTATTTTAATAACAATAAATTGTTGTCTAATTTACCGTTATCTGTCCGCAAGTAGTTTGAGCTCATGGAGGACGCATTATCTCTATCCAGCTGAGGCAGACTGCATTCCCCTTTGAATATACAGTAACTGATTGGGTACAGTTTTAGTTCGTAAAGGTTTCGCAGAGGAACAGGACTCGGATCCAGTGCCTGTGATGGATTTTGCTGTGCAGTCTGGAATGAGTTCCGAGCCGCCGAAGAAGACCATCCGAACATACTTCCCAGAGACCTGGATCTGGCAGCTTGTCCCAGTGGGGTAGGCTTTATCATGAGCAAATGGAGGCAGTGCTGTTAGCAAATAAATACAAACCAACCTTTGTATATAAGGACAAAATAAATCAGTATGTAAATATTGTGAATATAAAAAGTGGATTTCTCCTTGTGCAACACTAGATGACCCTCTACTGTCCCCATTCTAATTAGTCCTGCGTGACAATGTATACCCGCACCTAGGTCTTCATTAGAAACCCTGTATTTCATCCTCACGCAATCTCCTTGTGTTCGCCTCAGAAAAAAGCTGAAAGGACATCCATTTCATTTTCTTAGAGAATTCTCGTCCCCTCGCGTAGATTCTCGCCACTTCATTCATTCTTGCGGGCTAAAGAGAACACCTCTCAGTGACTACACGTCAGCTCTCCACAAGGCAGCCAGAAATCCCACACTGTTACAATATGAATACATATTGTTCATCTTTAGGAAAAGATGAACATCGTGGTCCATGGTGATTTGCAAGACTTTCAAAGTCTACTATAAGATGTCCAATAAAACCTCCTGTACAATTTTCCACCCATAACACGTGTAGCTACGTTTTTAGTTCAAGTATAATGCTAATGTCTCTTTCTTGTTGTTTCCTGTCATTGTTTCTTACCAGGTTTAAACCTTACGACGTATGCAATTGCAGAACGATTCCTCAGACTCACCCAATACATTACACAGGCAATCAGTACACACCTAAACACACACCTGGGCACACGAGAATGGACACAAACACACCACTTTGGAATTTTGCTTGTTTTCTTTTCTATTTCCCTGAAACACCTGTTGATCTTGGGATTATATTCATTCTCCTTTCTCTCTGCCCTCTCCTGTCTTCCTCAGGGAGTCTGGGTCAGTGAAGATGGGGGAGACTGTGCCCGACACTATCACCAAGTGGGAGGCGGGAGCGTTCTGCACGTCTCCTGTCGGATTCGGCCTGGCTCCCTCCACCCAGCTCACAGCCTTCCAGCCTTTCTTCGTGGAAGTCACCTTGCCGTATTCCGTCATCAGGAGCGAGGTGTTCCAGCTCAAGGCCACCGTCTTCAACTACCTCTCCAAGTGCATCATGGTGAGGCTGTGAGACCCCTGTGTGGACGTCTGCTTTTGTTGATACATTTGTTCTGCTTCACCGCATTTAGACCCGTGAACTGCAGAAATCCAAAGGAAAAATGAGTTTTTTCCAGGAATATTTTTCTTGCAAATATTGCATTATTGATTATCTTCATCAAGACTACAGAGCTGCAGTTACTTTGACCCATCCTGTAAGGCCAATCGGTTTAGGACCTACATGGCCCATCACATATACAGTAGGTATCTCCTAGATTCCAGACATGGCTTCTGTTCTTTACGCTTTTAAGAATGTAAGAAAAGAAAGCTTCCAAGTGGGAGGAGGTCATTCTGGTCCTTTAGTGTGTTTGCCAGTAGCTAATTGATTTGAGGATTTAAAGCAGTCATTAACTGTTAGAAGCCAAGGCATCTTCTTCAACACATTTAGGAGGCATGTTCCAGACTCCCAGAATCATCTGTGTAGAAATGTGCCTCTTGTTCTCAACTTATAAAGTACTTTCACATCCTGTAGATATGGTATTAGGTCTTGCAACAGATCTCTGGTTTGATCTTGTCAATACCTTTCGGGATTTCACATACTTAACATTGAGTCTGCCCTCTTCAAGACTAAAGACTCTAAACCTGTACTGCTTTGACCTGTTTGTGTATGGTATTCCTTTAACTTAGTTGACTTTCTGTAAACTGATTACAGAGTAGCAGAGTATCATCTGCAATGTGGTGACCAAAACACAGTAGAAGCTTAGACAGGACTTCTAGATGATGGAAGGCTTCTAGATTGTATTCATTTAACTTCCCTTGCCTTGTCTTTAATTAAACGCTAGTGACAGAATAACCTTACATTTTCTTGGCCTTTTCTATTGTTCTTACAAGAAAGAGGTAGTGAGTGTTTGTCTGTTGGTTGAAGGAAACCTATGGAACTTTCCATCATCCCTTTTGGCATATTTCCTGAGTATTTCAACAATAAAATCAAAAATCAAAAAGAGACACTGGAATAATCAAGAAACACGTCTTTAGACAAAACCTCATGAACGGTTGGATCAAACTACCAAGACACTTTGATTGAAGTAGACGTGGTGGGATCTTCTCAGAAACAACTAAACAAGCATGGTGGAGCAAATAGCCTTCAAAACTTAAACTCTTTGACTGCTCTCATGAGGCCGCAAATGACAGAAGAAAAGTATTAGAGAGGATTTGGGGTCAGTTTTTTAGCAAACTAAACTATCCTTGCTTAATCTCCCTATGTGCTTTTTTGAACTGACATGACTATGCTTGAGAGGGAGACATCCAAGTTAAAAGCTTTCCATATTGTTTTAGGAGAGAGGACTATAGTCCCAGAAGGTCCAGGTTCAGAGTATGTTGTGGAAATAGAAAGACAGTAGCAAAATAGGAAAGATGAAGATCTAAGGTGAAACCATCTTTTGTCAAGGGCCTTTAAACTATGTTGCCTGCAGATGGGTATCTTGCTGTGGTCACCACAGGTGTCTTCTGTGTCCCCCTCAGGTGAAGGCCAGTCTGGCAGAGTCTTCTGATTTCAAATCCCAGCCCTGTGATGGCTGTCTGTACACTCAGTGCCTGTGTGCTGAGGAGAGCAAGACCTTTACCTGGATCCTCACAGCCACTACCCTGGGTGAGAATCGCTGACAAGAGACACAGCTGCACCTGCTGGCAGAAGGCACAATAGCAGTTGCTGCTTCAGACTGCAGAAAATATTCAATAGTGGCTTTGAAGGTGGTTTGTCTGAGCTTCCTGATATGTTTTCTTGCGTTATAATACAGTGGGGGCAATGACAATACCAGCACACCTGTTCTGTAACATGTCTCGGTACACTTTGACAAAGCTTTGTATTCAGAAATAACAACACTGAAAAATAAAACTACACAGAGAGAAGAATGGATGTAGCGCATACAGACTGATACCCATGTTTTTTAAGTACAACCAAATTCACCATTAAACACATATACCCCTGTTCCATTAAAGCTGGCCGCCTTTGTAGAGTTTGTAGAGTTGTAGATGAAAGTATTTCGTTTGGACTGATCATCAAAGTAGCTCGGACTTTGTAAGCAGGCCCAGGGCTGTTGTGCGCGGATCTGAAGTGGTGTCTCTGCCCCTGCTCCCAGGCGAGGTGAATGTGTCAGTGACCGCAGAGGCCCTGAAGACGGAGGACCTGTGTGGAAACGAGGTGGCCACTGTGCCAGAGAAAGGACGCATGGACATCATTGTGCGGACACTACTGGTGGAGGTGGGGATCCTGTTCACAGACACTGCCCCCCTCACTTTCTTTTAACAGCCTAAAATCTGCATTCCTTGCATGTTCGTGGCTTTCTCCTGAGGGACCAGACTGCAGTCCAAACTTCAGCACACTGCTGAAGGTCACTTAAATAATCAAGGGTTTCTGTGCACCTGTCTTAGAGTGGACAATAGAACCAAGCTAGCTTAAAACCACTCTAAAATCCCACAAAATATGTAATTACTTTGTTTGGTAGGCATCTTTGTTCAAGAACAAATACAAAAAAAAAGAATTACTTATACATTGTATTTTCTTTGTAGCTAAAAGGGCAGACAGATTCAGCAGATTTGAAACTTAACTTTTGATAATCACATTTGCGAGACCTGCAACCTCACGAGGAGCCTAATTATTCTCAGTTTTTTTTCTGGTTTTTCATGTTTTATGCTTTTAGTTTCCTTGCATTGCTATAACTTCATTTCGGGTGGTTGTGAAAGGTTGTGAAACGCCTCTACTGGGGTAATGGTGCCGATTTCTCTCTCATCCGTAGGCTGAAGGAACAGAGCAAACGAAAAGCCACAACAGACTGATGTGCCCTGCAGGTGATCCTGTCTTTTCCTCTTTCTTATCATTGTTAACACCGCTAAAACGTTTTAGCAGACATGACTGGGACAGCTGCTTTGCTCCATTGTTGGCTCGGTGTCTACACCTGTTACAGGATAGTATGAACCCAGATTACAGATTATTATGGTATACTGTACTGTCCTGGCAGGAGCTACAGCAAAAATAACATGATCCCAAACAGTGCTAAGTTTAGAATTGGACTTCATGTTTTATTGAACACATAAGCAGAACGTATTGCATGAACTGGCAGCTGGAATGCTCTTCCCTTCAAAGTGTGTTTTGAAGATTAAAAGGGGATATTGTCACTGATGTCGGAAAGGGCATGCCGTGGAATAGCCAGGAGAGCAAAAAAGTCCCTATGCGTAGCGGCAAAACGGGGGTTAGCCCGGGCTCAGGAGGTCAGATGATATCGGTAGAAACCTATGCCCTCAGGCCACGGAGGAAACTTCCTGGGGCTAGGTGGGTCTCAAGACATCCGAACCCTCAATCCTGAGCGAGGAGGAAAGGGTGACCCGGAAAAATGTAGCCCCACACAAAGACACTCCAGAAGGACAAGAAAAGCACAGGGAAACTAGGAACTGGACAGAGAAGGAGCGCCCTCTAGCTGAAGAGGGCGTGACAGATATATTGTGTGATATACTCGTGCAAGGTGAGTTCATTAATGAATCAGCGTGGAAGCCGTTTCCTAGGAAACAGAAAAAAAGAAAAACATGTCAAAAGAAAAACAATATGGGACCCTTTGAGGTGCACGGGGGCTTTTGTTCCATAGGTGACCTGGTTCTGAGCTGTGGCTCTTTTATCTTTCCCAGATGGCCCTGTGAAGGAACAGATTTCTCTGACACTCCCGGAAGTGATTGTGGAGGGGTCAGCCAAGGCCTCCATCTCTGTTCTCGGTGAGAGCCGTGTCCTGGAGATAACGGGTGACACAGGGGCTCAGTACAGAAAGATGGGTGGTAGGAGGAATATCGCCAAAAGTAATTGCGAGAGGGCTGAGAGAGAAGGAGGGTGGCTGAAGGTGTAGGAGACAGTAGGACAGTGCAGAGTGTACAGTCCCTCCTTATAGAACGAGAACCTCATTATATAAGAACTGGATTCATATGGAGTGAAAACATAAAGTCAAATATGTTTTGAAAAAATATCACTGATAAAAATAGCACTGACTGAAGACTCTGCTGGCCCCCTGTAGGAGACATCCTGGGTCGCGCAATGAAGAACCTAGACAAGCTGCTTGCTATGCCGTTCGGCTGTGGGGAGCAGAACATGATTCTCTTCTCCCCCAACATCTACATCCTCAAGTACCTGGAGAGCACGCATCAGCTCACACAGGAGATCAAGAACAGGGCCACAGGCTTCCTGCAGAGTGGTGAGTGCACAGGGCTCTCTGTAGCTTGTGAGGGGGGAACTGGCTGAATTGTCTTTCTTCATTTGGAGTGTTTCTTGACCCGTGCTATCTGGCAAAGTCTTTTGACTGTTTATCAGAGGAATAGCATTATTGATTAATACTTTTTTCAGTTGTTTTGCTATTGGAAGCAACAGAAATAAAAGTGAATTCCTGATTTAAGAAAGCACGGCAATTTTCAAATTTGTGGGAAGTATTAAGAAAAACTCCTTGTACCTCTGAGTCACATGGATATTTCATGTTCATGAGACATGCAAAATTTCAAGATGCAATGGAATTTCTAACTGGGTAGACAGGGGTGTTTCATCTCCCATTGAGCTCACTGTCCTTTCACTGCCCTACAGGATACCAGAGAGAACTGAACTACAAACACGACGATGGCTCCTACAGTGCCTTTGGGAAAAGTGACGAGTCAGGCAACACCTGGTCAGTCTAGATGTCCACAGCTCAAATTAGCACTCTGTGTGCTCACTGAGCTCTCTTGCACTTCATTCTCAGTGGTCCCTTATCCTACAGCTTTATTGCTTCCATTTCATTAATTTGCTTTGCATTATTTTGGAGCATCTGGGTGCTTCATGTTTCTCCAGTTCTCTTCGTGCTTTCACCAGGACGTTTCAGTATTCTTCTCTTCAGGATACTCTGCATCACCTGTTCTGCACCAGTTGTTTTTATTCCCAAAACAGGTTTATGACCACCAGCCTGTTCCCTTGAGTCACCCTCTCGACTGGGGCGTCTGGACATGTGACAGATCCACAGTCCACAAGGCAGAAACATGCAGGCACCAACCTCATTGGAGCAAATGAGAAATGATTGGACAAAAACAACACAACTCATTTATTGAATTGACTTATTTTGACACAGGATAAACCCTCCACAAGTGTAATGCAAAATAGCCGTGTGCTTTGCTGCAAACAAACTGTGTGCTTTACACCTGCCACTGTTTCTACCATCTTTATCTACAGCTCAGTACTTCGTATTTGACTTCCTGACACCTTTGCAAACGCAGCATGCGAAATGCCATTTTGAGGCATCTGTCAGAGTACTTTAATGTCAAGCAAAACAGTCTTTCGGAATTATTTTCAGAATCGCCTGTGGTGATGCCTATTTTAAAGCGGAAAAATTCTTTTTGAGCCGTTATGTTTTCTTGAAACTTGGCCAGTGGTCTAAACCTGGTGACTAACCTGGTGCTCACCCCTGAGACCAAGGCCAAGCCTCTCTAGAATGTTCTTAATGTATTGAGACTAAACACAGTAAAATTGCTTTTTTAATGGCTTCAGTCTAACAAATGTGAAATAGAAACGCAGCCAGAGACTTAAATATCCTGCTTTTAACAACTAACCACCAACCTTTACCAAGCATTTACCTTAACTTTATTAGGGTTATTAAGGAGGCCATTTGGCCTGTTGTGCTTGTTTATACTGGTAGTTTATTGAATATTCTAGCATGATTATATAAATTATTCTCTTACACATCTTAAAGGATGCCACAGAGTCAACTGCAACTTAATGATTAATTTGACTGACACTTTTACCCCAAGAACCTAGATTTTCACCCATTTATACAGCTGGGTATATTACTGGAGCAATCTGGGAGAAGTAAGTCTCACCTACACTGCCTCCCCTGGGATTTAAGTCCCCGACCTTCAAGTTACAAGTCCAGAATCCCAAACACGACTTCACACGGCTACCCCCATGTAAATATTTAATTTGTAGTTGGTTCCAGAAACCGACAAAACTCCTGCCACCTGTTTTTCTATCTGAAATGTATAACTTCCACTTCTATTCTACTCTTGCACTGATCTTGGAGAGACTTGGTTTTGAACACCCAAAGCTAGTTCCCATGTAAATCTACAATCACTCAAATGGTGAGTAACTGTAAGATTTCTTCACCCTCTTTCTCCTCAGGCTGACAGCGTTTGTGCTGAAGTCTTTCGGCAGTGCGCGACCCTACATCTTCATTGACCCCCAACACACCTCTGAGGCCAAGAGATGGCTTAGCCAACTCCAGAGGAATGATGGCTGTTTTGAGTCTGTGGGCAAGCTCTTCCATAATGAAATGAAGGTTAGTGGTGGAGGGAGCACAGAGGATGTGCACAGCTAGAGAACAGGAAATCGAGAATGAAAACAGCATGAGCACAAAAAATTCAAAGTACGAATCATCTGAGCCTGCTATGAGATAAGATCACTTTATTGGCCATATACAATTTCTTGTATTAGGAATTTGTCTTTTTGCATACCCCAAGCTCTCCATGAGACACACAGACAGGGAGAGAAGCTTGGGGTCAGAGCGCAGGGTCAGCCATGTATACGGCACCCATGGAGAAGCTGGGGTTATGGGCCTTACTCAGGGGCCCAACGGAGTAGGATTCCTCTGCCGGCAGTGGGATACGAACAGTCAACCTTCCAGCCATGCAGATTCCTTAGCCACAGAGCCACCACACCATCCCTGATGTGCTGAGTACAGATGAGAGAATCTTAAACTACTCATGTGTCTTCTGCTCACCCCTGCTGAACTGTTGCTACTTCTGCTGAAATCTTAATTGAGCTATCCCCAACTCTTCCAGACTTGTAAGAAATTAAATAGGTCTAATTCAGCAACTTACTGGTTCAATTAAGTGTTGGGTAGGAGTAATTATATTCAGAAACCTGGTAAGATCATTGATATCATATTATGGTCTTTACAGCTGGGGTAGTCCTGCTCAGTGATGTATGGGTCCAATGGGGGCTTGACAGAAATTCTGTATGGAGAGAATGACATGGAAGCTTTTCTTGTTTGTCAACTCCAGGGGGGAGTCAGTGATGAGGTATCGTTGACTGCGTACATTGTTGCTGGCCTGCTGGAGCTGGAGAAGAACGTCACAGTGAGTATTCTCCACTACACGCCCCGTTCTAAACTTCCTTTTTCTACTGCAAACACTGCATCGTTGAACACCCCTGCTATTGCACTTATGTCATTTCTTCCCCTCTCTTACGTGGAAATATTGCCAGGCATATCCGTTACATTTTATGAACATGAATATAATCCCATTGCTGTTTAAATCAACAGTTGTATCTAGCAATTAGTCTATACTGGGATAATTCTAACACTCTGTACATATATATATATATATTTGATTTATTAACTTCTAAATATAGCACAGAATTTATTCTCTCGCTCCTTACCGTTCATGATTGTAACAGTCTGTATATTACATGAGCGCTGTTCTTGAGTACTTTTCTCTGTCATAGGATCCCATCATCGAGAACAGCCTGTCTTGCTTGAGACCAGTCATAGGCAACCTCAACAACACATACACCATGGCTCTGCTGTCCTACACCTTCACTCTGGCTGGAGATGAGGCAATGAGGGGCAGACTTCTCACTGAGCTGGATGCATTGGCCAAGACCACAGGTACTGCCCACCCCCCTCTTCTCCACGCTACTTCTTAAATAATGTTATTCCTCTCACTGGTAAACGAGTCCAAGAGGTTATTCTTGGAGGTTTGACGAACAGGATTTTCAGGAAATTTAGATTGTATAGGTGAGTTCAGGTTACACAAATAGACTAGTCCTCTGGACAGGCCTTCTACAAAAAATTGAATTTAAAATTGAAATAAAATATTTCAACTAACCACTTAACTGAAGAAGTGGTCTAAACTCTTGTCATTTTGTCCCATAAAGTACTAGAAAATATGAAGACAAAAATCCAGAAATAGTACCAGAATTCTTGGACATTATGTATTTTCTGACCTCATGCATCATGGGACGGGTGTGTCTGACTCCCACTGTGTTGCAGGGGGCAGTCGTCACTGGTCACGCTCTGAGGACGATGGGGAAACAAGCTCTCTGGACGTAGAGATGACCTCCTACGTGCTGCTGGCCCTACTCTCCGGACCTGAGCTCCCCTCCTTCGGACTGGGCTACTCCTCCAGCATCGTTCGCTGGCTGGTGAAGCAACAGAATCCCTATGGTGGCTTCTCCTCCACACAGGTACTTCTTCCACTACCTTCTCAGTCATCTTCCCTCTCTCCTCTCTCCTCTCCACTGTTCATCACAGTTTCCCTCCCAGTACTGTTCTGTGCGGACTGGGTCGTTCCCAAGATGTAACAGAAACCTCTCACAGGATTTTACATTAGCAGCATCCACTTTTATCATACTTAACTTTTCTCCTTGTTGGGGATGAGATTACCTAGGAGCGAAGGCTAATCCCGTAGGTTCCAGATCCTAATTGACCGCTAAAGGAAATGTTGCAGGAAGGTAAGTCGCTCACATCTGACATCCCACACCAATTCTTCCCTCTCCAGGACACAGTGGTGGCTCTCCAGGCACTCGCACTGTATGGTGCCGCCACGTTCAGTCCAGAGGGTTCGACCACTCTGACGGTGCGCTCGGCAGGGGACTACCGACGAGAGTTCACCGTGAACCAGGACACACGGCTGCTCTACCAGGAGGAGATGCTGAAGGAAGTCAAGGGGGAGTACACCTTGGAGGCCCAGGGCAAGAGCTGCATTTTCGTGCAGGTGAGCGTCTTTCTCCTGGGTCCAGTCCCCCGCTCAGTGTGGGGCGTTGGGCCTGCATGTGTTCAGCCATGACCTCTTGAAATGAAGCCAAGCGGCTTGCTAACCTGGTTTGTGTCGTCATGCCTGAACACTCCCAGCCCGCACCCAAATGAAAAGCAAATGTCTGACAGCTTTAGGGGAGTTTCAGGAAGGGACAGCCTGTTGACCAAAATCAGGCTGGGGAAGAGCTGTAGCGTTGATTGAATTGAAAATGACCTATCCCTAATGTTTCTGAATGAGAACATTTTGGAGTTACAGCAGATAACAGTTACATAGCCTGTACTGTAATAGAAGCAGAGATGATGGTCCATGCTGACGTGCACCAATCAGACAGCAATGAGGAATTCTGGGCAGCAGCTGGGATGCTCTGTGCTCCTCTGGTGTGTTTTTAGGCTCCTGTCTCTTGACAGTTTCTCTCTTCCTCTCTTTTGAATCACAGATAGCCCAGAAGTACAACATACCTCCCCCTCCTGACTTCTCAGCGTTTACCATCTCAGCCGAGGCAAAGGGGAACTGCAGTGGCTCTGGAAAGAAGGTCCTGACTGTGACTGTTGAAGTCAGGTGGGTTGATTCCCTGTCCTGGGCTATGCAGACCTGAATTCAGGAGATGACTTATCATGCTTAGGCACAGTCAAAGTCATTACCTAAACTGAATAACAAAAATAGCAGAAATCTGCCAAAAGGTTATCTTTTAAGAGAGAGAAGATTTGAAGGTGTGCAGTGCTGCTGGTGGAGGAGGTAGGAGGCAGTGCCATATAGTAAAGAAAGAGAACAGGGCAAAACCACATGCTCTAGTATCTGTGTCATCAACTGGGGACATTGGCTTTCCAGAGACAGTCATTAGTGTTTCTGAAGAGAAGCACTTGGTGTTTGCTGATACTCAGATGGGTGCTGAGAGTGTGGACATCCTTGTCTGCCCCTTCTCATGTCTTTGTCTTCCCCTCTGTGTTCAGGTACAATGGAAAACGCAAGGAAACCAACATGGTCATCATAAACGTGAAGCTGCTGTCGGGCTTCATTCTGGTTGAAAGCAGCATACCATCCGTGAGTATGCTCTGCGGTGTGTCGCTCTGCAGCCCAGATTATTTATTTAATTAAATAATTGAGGACAGCACAGTGGTGCAGTGGTTAGCTTTGCTGCCTTGCAGTACTGGGACACTGGGTTCACTCCCTGTGGTTCTACCTCTGTGGAGTTTAGATGTTCCCCCTGTGTTCACATGGGTTTCCAGAGGGTGCTCTGGTTTCCTTCCATAGTCCAATGATATCCTGGTAGGTTCATTGGCTTCTGGGAAATTGGGCCCTGGTGTCAGTGTGTGTCTGTGTGTGTCCTGTGATGGACTGGTGTCCCGATCAAGGTGTACCCTGCCTTGCGCCCATTGCTTGCTGGGACAGGCTCTGCCTCCCCCACTACCCTGTATTGGATAAAGCAGTTCAAAAATGTATAGATGGAGGGAATTAAATAATTAAGTAATTCTCTTATTTGATCCTTTTATCCTAATTGATGTATATTTGTATCCATTTATACAGCTGGGAATTTTACTTCAGCAATTTGAATGAAGGGATTAGCAATTTGACTCAAGACCTTAGAGATGGGATGCAGTTGGAATTCAAACCTGCAACCTTCCTGTCCTGAGTCAAGAGGCTTGCAGCTGCTTCTCCTTGGGGCCTATTTCAGAATATTTTCTGTCCATTGAAACCCTCTTTTCTGCCATTGGAAATTGTAGTTATATGTCAGTCTTGCAAACAAATGGCTTTGAGATCCTTTGTTGTAGTGAAATATGTCAGTGGAGTCCAATCAAAGAAATAAACTATTTAGTGAAGTAATTTATTCATTAATTAATATAAGCATCTGAACTAGTTGGCTATATTTTCTTTCATCAAGCATCTGCCTTTAATACAATAGCAGCATGACTTGATCTTGTTAAAAAGACCGTAACTTTACTTTGTTTAGCATCTTCCTCGTATATCCCAACATCCGATTTCATTTTGAGAAACATCTACATGCTTGATTACAATCCCATATGTATAATTGATGAATTGAGAATTACTGAGGCTGTTGAGTGCAGTCTAACCCCTCTTGAAGTTCTCGCTGATGACCATGTTGTGTCTATTTCTAATATACTGTATGTTTTGTGCAATGCAGCTGAAAGGAGCAGTACTTGTGAAACGGGTGGACACCGATGAAGGAAATGTCATCATCTATCTTGACAATGTAAGCTAAAACATCAGTATTCACATGTCTCCATGACTTCAGACCGAACATGTAAAAAAAAACGGACAAATTCCCAACTGTAACTTCAACAACTGACATTAATGGCAGTGCCAATCTACATGTACAGTAGACGTGTTTTTAAAACAGTGAGGAGCAGATGTTCTTACTCATTTTTGTTCGTAGATATGTTGAACAATTGTTCACAATTGTTCTTTCGTTTATAATGGCATTTACTGCACCGACAGCAGTGGAGAACAGCCAAAGGGGTTAGAAAACAAAGGGCAATAATAACAAATGTGACATTTCTGATACATCTGGCAATGCTGATTTCTGAAAGAAGACTCAAGAGTTTCAGTCAGGGAAAATGATGACCTCGTGTCCTCACCTGTGCTCACTACACCCATTAAACAGCATGGTGGATGAGTGGAATAAGTGTCTCACATGCAGTTCTTGAGCAGTGTTGATCTCCCCTGCAGTTGGAAAGCATGATACCTGTGAGATACAGTTTCCTTATATCTGAAGACATCCCAGTGAGGAATCTGCAACCAGCTATCGTGAAAATATACGACTATTACCAGACAAGTAAGTAGAAAAGACACACCTTACCCACTGATCAAGAGACATTTTCTTAAGCCCTGTCTCTGGAGTGAACCTTTTCAAATTTTCAAGAAAATATTTGTCTGCTGTTATTCAGGACTAAGACATCTCGTCCCTAAATGTCTTTCTTGCTCTCTGGAAGATGAGAATGATTAAATTATTAATTCGTCAAATCACATTAGATTCACATATTTCAAACAGGAGACAAATGTATTTAATATGCTAAATCTCTACAATATGAAAAATGATTCATTCAACAATCTGTGAAGGCAAGCATGAAGGAGTTTTTTTTTAACAGGCTTGTTAGTATAATGGTAATATTTTAAGCCCTAGATTTTTACTGCAATGATTCTTCTCTGGTGGGAAACATCCTTCCTGAGGAACTATGCTTAATAACTATAAAAACATTTTTGTATTTGCAGGGGATGAAGCAGTCAGTCAGTACACCTCCCCTTGTGCTGAAGGTAAGGTCGCTGTCCAGCAAGACTTTTCCTAAACTTCATGCTCTACCTAGAAAACGTATAATTTCTTCAGTACAAAGGAGGTTTGTATTAGAAGCATTCAGGCACAAGCGGCATGTCGCTTACTATGAAAAAATCTGAAAATATTGTTTCAGCCATGTAAACATGCCTGACCTTGTGCCATCCTTTGGGGACAACATGGTTTATTTAGAGTATTGACTAATACTAAGAGGTTTCTGGCCTCAAACCTCCCCTGTCCAAAGAGATTTACAAAACATGGAGTAATACCTAAAGTAAATACACAACAAAATCATTTGAGAACAGTTAAAAAAAAAATCAATCAAAGTTCAAGTGTAGAGCACAGCAAAACCAATGTCCCTCAGGCTGTGAACGTACTGTAGGTAAGGAATCATAGAGTACAGTAAGGATGGAAGGCCAATGAGCAGTGTGCACTAACCTAACGATACTGGGAGAGAGATCACAGGAGATGCAGCAAAGTGGACAGGACTGAGTGGTTCCAATTCTTCACCCTGTTTTCAGTCCAGCCATATCGATGGATGTCAGTATTGTTTGAGGGTTTCTGTGCTAGTATCCAACCTAGTTATTTTCTGTCCTTTCACCCCAAGTACCTAAGAAAATCATATAAGATCTTGCCCTGTAAATCACTCCTGGAAGATGTTTATAAACTGTGCTGCCACAGTCAAATAAGACCTTTAGTACCTGAGCAACTTAATTTTGGAGTACAAGGGGAAAGCAAAAGGGCTTTTTCCTTTTAAGCAGAGAATGTGAAATTCCAACTGAACCTTACATAAGGAAAAAGCATGTGCCAAATGTCAGGTTTTGAACATGATAATAGACAAGTATTTTAAAATGGAAAAGCATCAAAGAATATGTACATCTAACTGTGATGTTTTTCTTCTTCATTTAGATGACACACTGAACCAGGTGTGAAAAACAAGACCCGACTTCATCTTCCCAGAGGAAAAAGCTTTTTTTAATGTTCTTCCTCCCCTGGTTTGGAAAATAAGTCCAACTTAATGCACTCGTAGCTGCAGTGAAAATGTTGTTGGATGGAACTTAAACCACCTTCTGCACGTCTGACACAGCCCTGTAAAATGCCTTGAGATAAAACTGCTGTTTTTAACACTTACGAAGATCTTAACACATTGCTGTTTTCAGAAAGCTCCTTCTAACTTGTGCTTTGTCAGTGTTGCCAATATTGGACTGTAACAGATGAAAACAAAGTTATAATAAAACCTTAAAACCTTAAAAACTGTGCGTTTGAGTTGTTCCATTAAGTGTTCAGTCAGGTCTGTGTCTGTGATTTTAAATTTCACATTTAAACTGATTTAATATTGACAATAATATCACTTTTTTACCATAATATCACTCTATATTACATTGCCTTTGCTTCTTAGGAAAGTTAAACAAAAGAGGGGGTTATTAGGTTCTAGCACATTTGGTAGTTAGTAGTTAATTAATCCAAGAATCTAGCCCAGCCATTTCTTGACGCTATGAAAAATAATATCGCTGATAGTTTCAGTGATATTTTTTTTCAGCCATGTTATTTAAGTAGTGTTACTGAGCAGCTTGTTCCATACTCCCACAACCCTTTGGGTAAATAAATGCTTCCTGTTTTAACTTCTACACTTCCACATGGTTTCCTCTTGTGTTCTCTGGGTCTTATTTAACTCTTCATTTTGAAGACCGCTAGGTTCACTGTCAGCGCCCTTGAGGATGTTGAATACTTGAATCAGGTCTCGTTGTGGAGGATATGCTCTGACATATGAAGAGTTATATGGGCAACATGAAACAAGAAAATTAACTAAAATCAAATTTAAATTGGTTTAAAATTAAACCAAATTAAATGGCCCACCATATCTTAGAAAATCTGACATTGGAAGACCCTCACTTTTTACTTGTGAGCATCCAGGTGAAAACAGTTTGTCAGGATGGCTGAATGCTCATTCAAAGAACCTGTGGAACGAGCCCCAGCTGCTCTTATTAGAGTCGTTAGCACAATCAATGCAACCGCTGGGATGTGGCAGTGGTCACATGACACATGGCCATGGAAGAGTGATTCTGGGGCTTATTAATGTGAAGATGGGAGAACTGAAGTTAAAAGAGTTAAACTGAGTCCCAGTGCTTTTCTGCGGAAGGGGAATGGGGATTAGTAAACTGAAGATTGAAAACTGGGCATTAAATTTAAGATGAATTCAAATCACCAGATTATTGAAGAGTTGAAGATTAACTGTATAGACTTGAGTGACATCATAAATACAAATGTAACGCCATAATTGTGAATGTAATTACAATTGTGACAGAAGAAAGGGGAGTATACTATGGGACTCTCCATTTTTTTTCCTTCCAATTCAGGGGTACAGTGAAGCCAGAGCTTATCCTGGCAAGCCACGGGCACAAGGCAGGGTACACCCTGCATGGAAATACAGTGCATCGCAGGACACACAGAGACATGCACACACTCACACAGTGGGCCGATTCTCCCAGAAGCCAATTTACCTACAGTATGTTTTTGAAGTGAGGGAGGAAACTGGAGCAACTAGGGGAACCCTCACAACTACAGGGAGGACATACAGTGCAAGCTACACGCAGACAGCACCCCAGGTCTGCAATTGAAACCAGGGCCCACTGGCTGAGACGCAGTAATGCTAACCCCTGAGCCACCTTGCCTCCCTATAGTCTCTACACCCTGTAGCTTTTCCTTATTCTGTGTTGAAGAAAAAAAAGCCAGTTAATTAGAATTGTTCTCAGTTAATTAAGCACAGCTGTTGTCAATGGAAGACTTTATTTTTTTCAGGGTTCATAAGGCAGTGTGGAAGGAAGGAGTGAGCTGTTTGTCCTAGAAAGGTGTGCTAGAGTTTTCTGGTAAATGAAAGAGAGAAGGAAAAGTAGCTTTTGGTTTTGAAAGAGAATGTTATTTTGGAGAACCAAAATAGGTATTGTTTTTTTCCTTTGACGAGTTCGTCAAAGTAAAATTAAGTCTCCAAAGAAAGAAGTTGTTTGTTTCTGGTTGCAAACTCTCAGCTGTTGTAACCAGTACACCTCCAAAGTGTCACACAGTGCTCAATAGTACTAGTACTATTTTCTAGAATCAGTCAGATCAAGTAATCGGGGGAAAAATGTACCACGTTAGTAAACAACAAAACTACTTGGCACTGTACCAGTATGCTGCCTGAGTTAAGGATACGCTAGCTAAAAATCTGTGAGCTGGTGGGAATGTCCCTGAAAGACTGAGTGTAGGAACAGTTAAGGATACAAGCAGATTAATTTAAAATTAAAAGTTCAGGTGGAATAAATATTCAGATGATATGGCAGTTTGACAGACCCAAGGGCCTGCAGGATTACAAGAAAGGTTGTGCTCTAGGAAAAAAAACCTTTTTCATTTTCTCCAGGTCTAGAGATTTTCCTTACAGTGCTCTTTCCTAGTTTCTGAACACTATCTTTGCACATTCTTTGCTGGGTTGTGCTTTAATGACTAATCCTTCACACAAGGGCTGGGCAGGAGGGAAGAAAACCTTCATTTGGGAGAATAATGCAATAAAGAGACGACAATCTGTGGTTGGATGAGTTGTAAATGAAGTTCACAAAGAGAACAAACAAGCCTTTTGTAATTTTTTTAATAGACCTGATTAAACTCCATGTTATCCATACATGACAGCACTGCATGTAGCAGAGTAGGTACCATCAATGTGATGTGGCCCAGGATGTGGCGGATGTGAGGAGCGGTGTTGGGGGGTGGGAAGGGGAGTGAGACAGTGTCTCCCCCTGCGGTACAAGCTTGGGCACTGTAGCTGCACTGGCTGGAAAGGGAGGAGCAGTAAACTCTGCCATTGGAAACCCTGCAAGTGTGGTACAAAGCTACAACACCAAAACGATACCAAAATAATCCAAATAAATACTTCTGGCAATGCATCATGGGCATTTACATCTTAAATAAGAGAGATTAAATACAGATCAGACCATCCCACAATGCTTAACAAGGCCTTCTTTAACAGCAAGTGTGTGTATATATATAATATATATACATATGTACTGTGTGTATACTGTACATATACATACTCTGTCCTGCATTTATGAACCTAAAATTGTGTTTTCAAAGCTTGGGAACTGCAAATCCTAGGATACAGTGTTAGCAAAGTTGGCTAACAATTGAGTTTGCAATAACTGAAATCAAAATCTCCAAATGCTGTGAAATATATTTTCAGTTTCTTAGCATGTTTAGGAAACGGGAGGCAGAGGTGTAATGCATTTAAATGATTGTGTATAACCAGTCTTTATGCTGACAGGACTCATTTTAACTTGAGTTGGTTGCAGATCTGCCAGGGCGGTGGAGACCCATCTTTAACTAAAATGTCAACTAAAAATACTCATTGGCTTTTACAATAAAGAAAAAGCAGTCATAGTTCCCCCATATTGTTTGAACAGAGGATGCTCGGGCTCTCGGGACATAAAAAAGCTAAAACTCAGCATTTTGATGTAAAAGTGCTGTACAGAATAAAGAATACTGAAAGAATGCTGGTGCATTTCTTGTAGTGTTTTGGGGCGAGTTGTGGTTGGAATAGAGGCTCTTAAAAGAGCCTCTCAGCCTATGATTTGTGGCCCCAGTTCTGTAAATGGTGAACCCCACATGCCGTAGAAGCATGGCTCTGTTCAGCCACATTCAAATTGCCGAACTGATAGCAGTCAGGACGTCTTCAGCCAAGCCCATGACGTTCTCTGTTCAAAGTCGTCGGCAGACTAACAATGCTATTTAAAAAACAAAACAGATTTAAAAGAAAGGATTTGAATACACGTGTAGTAATTCCAGCAAGCTTTCCACAAGTGTTAAAGAGTCCTAAATCCCTGGAGTCATGAATATCAAGGCACAGATGTCCAAGAGGTCAGCAGAATTCTCTCTGCCCTGACAAAGGGTCCAGTTTGGTTCCTTTTTATTTTAAATCCCCACCTTGATCCACTCCTCTGCTGCTTTCCTGGTTGGCAGTGAAGGGAAGGCTGCCTTTTCCAGTTTGGGAATAATGTCCCTGTCTTGTGATCACAGCTCGGCGCACAGACCTTTTTCGGATGTGTGTGCATGCGCACTTATGCACCGAGTATTTTTACCCTTGGCGGCGTTCACAGACTGACACAGTGATCTCCGATGAGCAAACTGGGAGTCCTTCTCCACGGACACGCGAGAAAAAATTACGCGACGCGTTCCTGAGCTTGTGTCTGCTTTGGTGGATGTTTTTATCCTGTTTTCAAACACACAGGAAGGTCGTTTTTTCTCCCCTCCTCGTAATCCGTAAAAACAGTTGGCTTTTATACAAAAAAGAGATTGAAATGTTTGTAAGGTAGTTTAAAATGCACAAGTTTAAATTTGGCAATGGGTCACTTTCTTTTGTTTCAGTTCCATATGACTATTATCTAGCTAAACCATCCCAGTACTTGAGAATCAGTTGGCATTGCACTGCCATTTGGCTATTTCCCATATTTGTCGTGTAAGAAAAAAACAGAAGTTTCAATGATTCAGAAACAAACTTTGACATACAAAAATGACACCATGGTTCCTCAGAGTAGGTCCTTGTTTTGTGAGAGACTGTTCCGTAATCAAACAGAAGCTCTCTTATTGGCAATAACACTTGAGGCCTAGCTTTGTGCTGCAAGGCCTAAAGTTGAGTTCTTGAGCGTTTTCTCCAGCTTATGTAACTCCTTCTCCCTGTCAGTTCTGGCAAGTAGGTAGAAAAAGACCAAGGGAGGGTGGGGTTGTACAAAAAAAGTGTCTAAAATATTTCATTGTGTGTAAAGATATTTTTTAAAAAAAAAAATTAAAAAGGATATATTGACAAGAAGGTCAAGTTATTTTGAGGCTGGGAGCCAGGCTTTGAATCAGCGGTCTCAATCACGCATCTCCCTGCTGAAACAGAAACTATTATTGGGCTCGAATGAGTTCAGATTGGTTCAGACTGGTTAGTCCTGGTTTTCCCTGCTCTCCTTCTCAGTTCATGAACTGCGTGTAGCCCTCCGCTCCCGTTACTATGACGTCCATCCAGATTCTCATGGCCTCTGGAGATGGAGCAACCATGTAGTAGAGTCTGTCGTGGGTCTTGACGCAGAATGTGAGCGAGGGGTTCGGGCTCTGAAATCGAGAGCACATCATAGGAAAGAACATGAATAAGGCAAATGACAGAGCATACAACTGTAACCCAGCTGCAACCAAAGGTGCACCACATTCACAATGCCTCACCAGGGATAAATTTCCAAATGCGTCCTTGTATTTTGAAGATAAAGATGTTCAAAGCATCTAAACTAAAAGGTCACATTCTCGTTGTTCTAGGTCATGCAGTTTTAGAAATGCTCTGTGAATGCAATACAGAGACCACTGACAGGCTAGAGTAAGACTCCCACTGCCCAACACGTTTAGTTATTTAGCCCAGCAAGCCCTGGGAACTGAAAAACGGGGCTCTGTGCACACTCTGCGTGCCAACCGATCAATCACTCTTCACATTCAGGCAGTGCGGCCTACAGAGCCATTTCTGTTCAGTCTGCACCACAGCAACTTCCAGACCCAAGGCAACCACAAAATCTCACAAGCTCACTTGTGAAAACACAATAAAACACAACTCTCCCCCACCAAAAAAAACATGCTCTTGCATTTTAAGCCCCTCAGAGGGATGTGAACACAAATCTCTCCAAAGTATTACGTCAAATGATGCAGATTTGATTAGCAACGTAAAACCTCACACAACTGATGGGTAATCGAACTAGCAGTTGTGCTAGGACTGGGGGGGGTCGCTTCTAAAACCTGCAGTCGGGACCAAAAAGAAAAATGTAGAGCCACAAACGACAGAATTCCACAACAAGCCCAAGCAGTATCCTCTTTGGAAAGCATGGAAAACACAAACTGGAAAGGCCTCGCCACCTCCAAGAGTCCCTCGCTCAGCGCTCCCGAACGAGCACTCTCGAGCATCGCGCTCGTCAGGCACTGAAAACGGGGCCAATTCAGACACACCTCTCTCCGAAACGGAGGTGGGAGCAGCTCGGCGATCTGCCAAGGGAAACAGGTTAGAGAATCACAGAGCAGCAGTGTCTCTCTCGGGGTCTGAATGTCGTGAATGCGGAGTCGCAGGCAGGAGACTACGGCATGGTAGACGGGGCCGTCTCAAGGGGGCAGTGAAGGGGGTGGCCCCACGCTTTGGGGGATTCCAAGTACCGGCCAGACCAACCCCCCCACCCCCAATTCCCAGTCCAGCTTCACACACGCATAAAAATATACATACATGTTTACATATTTTAATAAAGCGATGCCCAAAAATGATTTTAACTCAAGGTGAAATCTGAAGTGGGTGGGAAAGCAGGTGCTTTATTCAAAACTGAAGGCGGCGAGTCCCGCACTCCATATGCTACAAGCTAAAAGTGATGGCGGCGGAGCTAAACCAGCCTGAGTCGGTGGCGAGCACGAGCAGGGGACAGGGCCACATTTCGAAAAGACTCCAGTGGGGGCGAGAAAACAACAAGGAAGCAGAAGAGGGAGGATGCAAAGGTGGCACTTAATGGGTCCTTGGAAAGGTTGGTCGTAAAAACCCGGGAGCGAAGGCGGAACGGACTCGGGTGGCGAGATCTCGACGACAAGGGTGCTCGCATCGAGGCGCCTGAAGGTACCGATAGCGCTGGCAACTACGGCGATTCGTCGTTGCGCAGGCCCGTAAGGGAGCTATTTCATCACCCGATCGCTGCTCCCTGCCACCACCACTGCCCGCCCCCCCCTTGAGACGGCCCCATGGGTAGAGTATGGTTTGGATGGTCTCGCACATGTTTTCAAAACGCTTGACAGGAACAGGCCTGAAAGAGCCAAAAAACTTCCCCCAGTGACGGAAATCCCGTTGCAATAAAAACAAGGGTTTCAGGAGAAGGAATGCCATGTCGCGCTGTGCTTAAAAAGCCAGCGGAGAGCTTGGAAACAACAGAGGAAACACAAGGTCTATTTTCAAGGGGAAATCCACTAGGACGCTCTCCTCTCAGGAGAATGCTATCCAATACCAGTGGGTTGTTCCTTTATCTGAACCAGACAAGCATAAGAGGTCTCACCTCTGGGGCACATCCTCTCCCTTCTTCCTGCTTTGGTCTTATCTGAGCAAGCCACTAGGTCACTGCAGCGCCGAGATCAGCTGAACCACAGCTCATGACCGTTTTTTCTCGTACGGGTATTTTAAGAGTATAGTTTGTATCTATGCAACCCAAGCTTAATCCTGAGTGGAGGAGAGGGGAACCAGGGCTCCCAGTTCCCTGCTTCGTGACCACCAGGGATCAAACCCAATAGATTTTGAAGCCCACGCTCTGATTCCAGCTTTAAGTGACCTGATTTGGCTCCTACATTTGATCTATTTACACAGTTGGGTATCTGATTTACACCCACAAGCTTCCAGTTAGGAGTCGGGAGCCTGAACTACTTGTATGATTGTCTGGTTTAAGTAACGAAAAAACCCACTTGCAATGTCTATTCGCCTCTAGGTACCTCCCTCTTTCAGTCAAGGGATATCTACTTTTAACAGCTGTAAATATAACAGGTAAGACACACTGGACAAGGACATGGTTATCTACTCTGCACAAGACCACAGTTTCTAAGCAGCACCAGTGCAGCCCCTGTCCATGATGGTCATTAAGAAAACAACAGTGACATCCCACCGCCAGATGAAGAAGAAAAAAGCCCGACAGCAGCTTTTGTGCTGCTGTCTGGGTTTGGTTTCATTCTTCCTGTGTAATAGCCAACTTTAAAATCGCTTCAGAGTACAGAGCGCTGCACTGGAGAAAATGCTTAATAAAAAATTGCTGAAGGCTGGCTGGCCCTACAGCATCCATTCACACAGAGCGATACATACATTGGCCAAATTCAGGTTGAAAAATCCTTTCTTGGAGGCCAGGCGGTCAAAAGGATTGAATGAGGAGATAAAGAAAAATAGAAAGAAATCACAGCAATGAGAGAAAGACCCCCACATCAACAGAAATGAACAAAGCAAAATGCAAAACAAAAGTGTTTTATCAAACAGTGATTATAATAACAGTAAAAACTGAGAAACTGAATATGTTGTGTTTAAAATATAAAAATATGGAATGGGTTATAATATATTTTCAAACAGCTTTGAGGCATTTTACAGGTTACACCTGACACTGAAAGTGAATCCAATGAAAATATGTTATGGCTGACGGTGTTGAACTCCTCTGAGCCCGAGTTCTAACTTTTGCTTTCAAGGTCTGTCAAAAGAAAAGCCACGCGGCCATCTTACCTTTGATGCACTGCGCAGGTGATCGTAGTAAACTTCCTCAATGGCCTGGAAATAGATGACCCCCTTCAGCTTCGTCTCATGTTTGTCTGGGGGGAGAAGGAGGTGGATTCACTCTCGCTTCAAAGCTTTAAGAGAAATCTTCATCAACCACTTGGCAAAGTCAATTAAGATTGAAAGACTGCCATTGTGGGGGGGAAACATTGACGCTCAAAGAGGAATATACGGAGTTGAATATTATGAATTTATCACGACACAGTGTGGATTTTAGGTGTGAAGCATCGCAGTCACCCCCCACCTTAAGGTTTCATTGTGCCCTTACCTACGTAGTAGGAGAAAGTCCTCTTGAGGCGGTCGAAGACGAACCAGCGCTTCTTCCAGGACTTGATCTTGCCTCCCATTTTGACCAGGTAGCCTTTGCACATCTTCTCGGTGAGAATGACGTGATAACAGGTCTCCACGTTGTGGCCCGAGGACTCGATGTGCGAGCGCAGGTCAAACTCCTCCTTGCGGATGGGCAGATAGCGAGTCATGGGCCGGGCCTGCGGAGAGAAGCGGGCTCAGAGAAGCACCGGCCAGCAAAAACCCTCATGACGTGGACAACAGACTTGGGAAGACTGCCATCTGCTTTGTATCAAGACTTGTTTATATGTGGCCATTCATCAGCATGTTTTGTAACTTTTTCAAGGAGAATTAAGATGTCTGATAGGCTGTCTTGTGTTTCATGTTGATTTGTTCTTTCTTTTACCCATTTCTGTTCTAGGTCAATAAAAGGTAACAAAAGACTAAATGAGCAAATATCAATGGAAAGCAGGGAAAGAAGCAAAACAGGTGGAAATCCAATTTGGCTTTGCAAAACAATTCCCTAAAGGATTTCTGCAGAAAGTTGTTTCTGTAGCGTAGCTTCTACATAGAACCTGTGACTTCTTTGAGGTGATTGTACAGACAGGATGATCTGGATTTCTGATAGCTGAACAAAACCGCAATGTTATGTAAACCCAAGATCAATGAGCACGGTTCCAGCACGGATCTAAATCTACAGTTTTTTGTTCAGAAATCTCTTAATCGTCACAATGACTTGATGCCTGTTTTTCCCTCCATCGCAAAGAGTGCTATAAATATCAGGGGGTCTCAGTTTGATAGATTCTGTATTTTTTGACTTTGTACTATCTGAGGCAACGCAACTAAAAGAGATCCTGCAGTTGCGCATCAGCAAAACTTAAAAATGTCATTTTGAAATTAACTCCAAGCTTTACAAGATGGAAGAGCAACATTTCATTTTGTCCATGGAAAACTTTAAAATTAGAAGGACGTGAATCATTTTGCCAAGCAAGTTATGGGGAAGACACCGGTGTAAACTTTCAGGAAGGTGATGAAAAACCGATCTCCTCAATATGGCCTCGCTGAGGTTATTTTTGGCCTTCCAGAAAGGGTGCTGCGACTGCAGCGCCCCCTGTCTGCGGCCCACTGACCTGCGAGAAGTGCTTCTCTCTCATCTTCACCTCCTTCTCCACCAGCTGCTGTCTGTGCACCGTCTCGTCCTGCAGCCGCTTCTCGGCCTCCTCCCGCCGCCGGCGCTCCTCCTCCAGCATCTGCTTACGGGCCTGGGTCTCGCGTTCCTGGGGGGGTCGGGGGAGAGGGGAGGCACTCACTGTCACTCTTGTCCCTCTCGCGGAACCTCCTGAGCCACTCCACAAAGCAGACGGTCATCTACCAGCAACTCCATCACCCTGCCGCCTGCTGAAGCTCAGACCTCCTGGGAAAGCTAAGATGGCTGCTGGAAGAGGTGTTAGTGGGGTGCTCACACCGCGGTCTGTGTGCGTCCTAATGCCCCAGTACAGTGACGAGGACGCTACTGTAAAAAGGCGCCGTCCTTCGTATGAGATGTGAACCCGAGGTCCTGACTCCCTGTGGTCATTAAGAATCCCAGGGCATTTCTCGAGAAGAGTAGGAGTGTAACCCCAGTGTCCTGGCCAAATTTCCCATTGGCCCTTACCAATCATGGCCTCCTAATAATCCCCGTCTATGAACTGGCTTCACTCCGCTCTCCTCCCCACTGGGAGCTGGTGTGTGTTGAGCGTTCTTTGGCTGCTGTCACATCATCCAGTTGGGGGTTACACATTGGTGGTGATGGAGGGGAGTCCTCATTAATTGTATAGTGCTCTGAGTGGGGCGTCCAGATAAGCGCTACATAAGTTTAGGGACCTAAAACTTGCGGCGATGGCTTACTCGACTCTCGATGAGCCTGGCTTTCTCCAGCTGCGCTTCCTTCAGCATCTTCTCCATTTCTTCGATCTTCAAGGCATCCATTCCGCTGGCACTGCAGGGCAGAATGGGGGGGGGGGGAAACAGGGATGAGAGGCGATCTCCTCCTTTCGCCGCCCTCCCCAGTAAAAACGGACACAGTCGCCAGCAGCACTGGTATAACGAACTCAACCATCACTGCACTGTACATCCAAAACCATCAGACGCAGCGCAGCTCAGCTCACAACAATGCAGACGTAGAGAGAATGACTTCATGCAGCGATCCATGAACAACAGGCGCTATACAGACAGCGCCTAAAATGTCACAATGGATGCATAATAATTCAAAGTAGCACAAGATGGTTAAAATACTTGTCAGTGCCGAGCTACTGGATCTCGGACCAGAAAGCACCTTACTTTAGCCGCTGAACCACCTAGTAGGAGGATGACCAACCCAGAACGGACCTGGACATGTTGTCAGGCGAGCAGGCTGAATTGTTCCCGGTTGAGATGCTGGTGTCCATGCTGTCCGAACTCTCCAGGCTCAGCGTGTCGTACGGCCGCTCGCCAGCCGGCGGGGGGTGGTGGTGCAGGATGGAATGGTGAACCAGCGGCGGCCCACCGCCAGAGGCGAAGGGGGCATTGAGCTGGGTCTGTGAGCCGTGCAGCGCCTCCCACTGGCACTGCGCCTCCACTGCAGCCTTCTGCTTCAGCTCCGCCAGGCGCCTCCGCTGTTCCTCAATCACCTGCTGACCTGGGGCGGAGGAGACCAGTCCGGGGAATGTTAGCACTAACACACAAACATCTGGAGTCTGCGGCGCCGCTCTTATGAAATGTTGCCATGGTATTCCAAGCTAAACTGTACCAAAGCAGAGTGAAATCACAGCAAAAACACGGTGAGGCACACAGCTGAATAATGGAAGCAAGGGGAAACCGCACAAACGCCAACCAATTCGCCATGGCAAAGTTTCATAAGTGCAGTTAACACGCGGAGTCAGTGAATACAAAAACCCATGCCCTGAGTCTAAAGGCCTGATGTTAAGGCATTCCTCAAAGCCAGGCCCACTAGCCCATAAACTGTGCTTTTCTTTACAAGTGAAGAGATCAAGGCATACAACATTAGAGTGAGCACCTTCAAAAACACTAATATGAAAGCTAACGCACACACATGCTGCAGAAATGAACTCTACATGATCTCTAACTGCTCCATATGAAATCAGCCAGTCTACTATATTATCACACCAACATGCACGCAAGGAACAGTCACAGATGTGTATGAGCTGTCTCGTTCAGTGAGTACCCAGAGCAGAATAACAGGGTGTGCCCTTCAACCCTAGGCAAAGCCCCCAGAATCCCGTTAGGTCTAAATAAGGGAAGACAGCCCAAACAAAAAGAGAACCACTTGACAGAATATCGTACAAATTTCCCATCACCCTCCAGTGACCTGCTTGTTTTTTGTAAGAGCGAAGGTTCGGTTTGTCAGCAGGAAAATGGAAGGCAAGTGGAGAATTCCAACAGGAGGAAGGCAGACAGTTGTTTTTACAAGTTTCCATGTTAACGCCGTCGATGTTTTGAAAGCACGCAGGCCAGCCCAAAAAAACAAAAAGCCCGCTCCCAGGCTCTGGGTCTACCTGCGGGGGTGTCGTTGCTTTGGGGAGACTCTGCTGTGGTGGGCAGGGGCTCTGTGAGGCGGTGAAGAGAGGAAAGGTGATAAGCACAGTGAGAGAGAGACAGATGGACAGAACGACAGCAGTTGGAACGAAGGAAGTGAGGAAGTGAGAATGTTTTGGGCCTCCATGAGTACAAGTCAATTCCAAAACCAAGGACGCTACAGAGCAGACCCTCATCTTAGGGTGTTTCACAGGGTTTTAAAGAAATAGAACCTTGTTCTGACACTAAAGTGCTTCCAAATAGTCCCACAAAAAAAGCAAACAGAATAGAAGGGACATCCCACTGCAAATTCTTTTAGAGGCTTTTTGTGATTTCCAAACCCTGATTAATCGTGTCAACCTGATGCACAACCATCATGTGAGCAAGACAGGGTGGGTTAAGCCATGAACTGAGATCGCCCGTGTCTGAAGTGGGGCTCATCAGAAAGCAACAGGTCCAGGGCTTTGTCTCGATAGCTGTAGCACTGAGTTCCCAGGGGCTACCTTTCTGCTGCAATGCCAGCTGCCTCTTAGTCTCAATGTCCTGCAAGGTTGCAGCCAGGTTCCTGGGCAGACTGCCTGTACTGTTGGGGACCAGCAGGGGGCTCTGTTCAGAATCAAGAATAAAACAGGAGAGAAGATGTTACCAGAAGTCCGTCGGCTCTCCCCACTTTTAAATGTGCTCAGAATGTCAGCAAGTTATACTACAAAGTCATTCGACATCCCTCATTTGAAAAGAATAACTGCTAAGATAATGCATCCACATAAGTGTAGGTCAAACAGGAAAATATTTTGCTGCTGAAAAACACTGACCTTAAGAAAATGTGCACGTTACATGTATATGTTGCAGATGAGTATTCTGGCTTCAAATATTTGACCACAGCTGCATAAGTAATTACCTCCAATATTTTGCCTTTTATTTTAAGCTAGCACTTTTAGAAAACTCAGATGGGTTCAGACAGTGCTGCTCTCAGACTAAGCTTGCTCATGGAGTCTTGTGGCATGATCAGGGATTACCTTGGCTGGTGTGTTGCGGCCCAGTGTGGCTGCACTGTACTGTGTTGAGGATCCAGTCCCGGTCACGGAGCGTGACACCACCTGGCTGTTCTCACTGTCCAGTTTGGAGCGATAAACCTGCCAGCACAGCACATAAGTCAGAAGCCATCATCGAGCTGAACTGAGCAACTTTTGGGATGCATGCAAGTCTGGATTGTCAATCTGGTAGTTCTTAACCCTATGGATCTCAGATCCCATGGGTTCTCAATTCCCTGCTGTACAGAGACGGGGGTTTTATTGTACTTTAAACTGAAACACCAGCTTCACTTGTCTCAGAAACGAATGATTATACCAGAAACAGGGAAAAAATCATTTTCATGGGATACCAAATGTACAGATGCTTAATTGAACTATTTGTAAACAATCAATAAAAACCATACAATAAAATGGCATTTCCATTTCAATTCCAGGGTTAATGAAATTATTTCGATTACATCTATAAATCAGTTTACCTGGACAGCAATTACATCCGCTGTGTTTGAGTTTAGAGATCAATCTTATTGCAGAGGGTTAGGGTTAGATCTTAGGATCCAACATAGAATAAAACAAAAGTCTACAGAGTCAAACAGCCATCGTTTCCCTTGAAATGTCGAGCACTCTTTACTCCTCATCTCCTCAGACATACCTACAAACAATTTAATAATGAGGTTGTGTAGCGCAGGGGGACACACAGTGTTTCCTACAGTACATCATGAGCTCAAATGTTTCTGAAATGATGTGGACTTTTTTTTTCTATCTTGCTTTTATTCACATTATTAAGCATTAACTGCCCAATTGTTCAATTTAAAATATACCTAACCATCCTTCATCATTCATGTTTTTGACCTGGGGTGTGAGAGTGAGACTATTACTTCAGTTCCCCTAGTTAGCTCAGGACCAGATGGCCAGTTTTGGCAGAGACTAACTCTTCTACAAACCAATACTAACTTTGAAGCGCACACTTACAACAGGCTAAACACATCTGGATCACCCAAAAAACCGTGGACTTCAAAGTCCAGCAAACACAGTACAGGACACTAGAATCTTATTTTGTTTTCCGTAGCTACACGATGACGAGAGATGCTGAGAAAATGCTGGCGAGAACCCGCAATGAATAACAGGTAACCTGAGATGGACATGATGAATGAAAAGTCATGGAGCTGCAGACGCGCGGGTCTGTTTCAAAACCGCACAGAGCAAAGCTAGCGAGAAAAGCAGGGCTCTGCCCGTTAGTAGGCAAACAAACCCCCAGCAAGAGACCAAAACGCACTCCGTTTTGGAAGAGATGGAGAGAGTAAGCCAAAGATTAGGAGCGAGAGAGAGATTAAATAAGAGAGAGACGGAGCCCCCACTAGTTTACCTGCACTGGCCTGCGAGCTGAGAAAGATTTAGCTGGGAGAGGAGGAGGGCAGAGCTGGTTTGCTGAGGGACCGTTGTCCCCGCCAGCAGCCATGATCTCTTGGTACCACTGCTCTAAATCCAGAGCAGGCTTAAGAGGCCTGCTCCCATCGGGCTGGTACTAGCGCAATGAGAGACACGACGTGGCCAAAACAACAAGCGGGCGGGAGAGGAGGGAGAGGAGACAAAGAGAGGGGTGAGAACGGACAGTACAGATGAGAAGAGAGAAGAGAGGAGGTGGGGAGGGAGAGGGGGAGGGAAAAAGGATGTTAATGAAGAAATAAAACCAAAAAATAACCACTTGCTAAATGACAAATTGGTTCTGGAGGGGAGATAGAGCAAGCTATTCACTTGCACTAAGAGCAAATACATAAGCAAAACGCAATTCTTAAAGTGTTTTTAAATGGTTTTTCCAGTTCTGAAATGCCTCTCTCGATAATTTGCTTGCATACTATATGCTAGACCTGCTTTTTTTGTGGCTGAATTCCCCCCACTCGTCAACTTTTCTCAGCTGAACCAGCTCAAAGCCACTCAGTCCTAGAGGAACACCACAAAGGTAAGCTGCACAGAGAGCACCAAAAAGGACATACATGAACTTCGACAGAGTAGTGTGTTTGTAAGGTAACCCCCCCCCCCTCCCCATCAAAAATCACTTGAGCATGGCTGCTGTGCGAGAGATTTCAGATGAACTGATCCTTTGCTAAGGTCGGGGAGGGGGGAATTCAAAAGGCCTCTTTTTAAAAATTTAATATAACTGCTAATGGGAAAAAAAATAATTTAATTTAGACCAGGCATCCATTCCCAGCTCATATGTTGCAAAGCAAGATGGGGTGAAAATGGAGGACTAAACACCTTAGAAGCGCTAATGGCCACTGTGGAATAAGTGTAACACTGTTCTCACACTGTAATTGCACTGTGATGCGCAAAGCTTTGCGAGTTCCCCTGGACTGTGAGAAAGCAACAAGCGGGATGCAGATCAGAACACAATGTTGGTCTCCTAGGAAACAGGTGGGTCAAGGGGCGGGGACACACCTCGGCCGAGACAGAGTGGGCGGGGCCCTGGGAGGTGCCGCGAGAGGACAAGGCGGGGTCAGCGACTACGGACTGGAATGGCGCAACAGGAGAGGTAGGGGAGGGCTCAACCTTCGGCATCCCAAAGATCTCTTTTAACTGGCTGACCGTAACGTACTCCTTCCCATGAGCACATTGGGGGGCAGGTGGGCAGAAGGCAAAGGCAAGGAAAGCAGGAGAGAGAGAGAAAGATAAAATCATGTTAACAGGAGGAAATTTTGAGACTGCAAAGAAAGCTGGCTATACAATCTACACACTTTGTTATTTTTAGAAATAAAATATTTAGAAACTCTTGTCAATCATCAGCTGATAAATGCCGCTGATAAACGCTACTTGTTGTTGTAGCTGAAGCAGTGAAGCGCAGAAAGTGAAAGATGATTAAGCGTCTATATTTAGCCTCAGCCTCAGCATATAAGCTTAATAAAATTGGGTTAAACTTTCAGTACAAGCCAGATCTTCAGACATACTGAAACAATCAGTTTTGGCATACATATAAGTAAAGACAAACTGGAAATGTTGAAAAAACTCAGTTCTGCATTTGCAGAAGTGAGTGCCTCTGCAAGGGCAGACATTACAACACAGGAGTAACTACGCAAAAATAATGACTAAGTCTGTGTCCTCAGCAAGCAGGTATGGATTAGTGCAGCGACAGCGAGGGTGAGAGGAGGAAGAGGGTGAGGAGATACCTCACGAGCAGCTGAGGGCACAGCATGAGACAGCCAGTCCTGCGCGGCGGTGATCTGGGCATCGCGGTAGCCATTCCCATACATCTTATACACGTCAGAAAGCTTCACGTACTCCTGAGAGCCAGGCCGGGGCCGTGCAGAGGACGAGAGGCCATCAGTTCACACACCGTGTCCAGCACCAATGCGCACACACGCATGCACACACACACACACACACACACACACACACACAAGCAGGGCGCCCCCCAGGGTGAGACGACAGCGCACAGAAACCCCAGCCCCTCAGTACTGGATAAGAGACAAAACTCCATTGCACTCATGAGATCGTAACTGCATGCAACCCATCAGGCAGAATGTTTTTATGTTAGTCAGAGCTCACGGTACCCAAGTACATGTTGCACAATGCTTGGCGTCATGTTTATAAATGCTGTCTTGTCCTATAACGGTAAGGTCTCTCCTGCAGTGAAAGCTAACACATTTTCTCTTCAGCCTCAGTCCTGCTCGGTGCTGATCTGCTTCAGATCATCTGCAGTCACTCGGGTCACACTGTGTGGGAAGGGAAGGCTACTGGACAGAATAAGGCTAGACAGTGGTCCACCATGAGGAAGGACAGACGAGACGCAAGAGCTGCATTAACTAAGCGTGCAGTTCAGTGCAATAGGATTCGGGAGACAGGTTCTCGATTGTGACCCCAGTAAGCCGGTCTAGACAACTACATACAGCTTTGGGGATCCACATTTGCAAATTTCACATTGCAAATTCGCCCAAAGTTGTTAAGTGCATCTTTCAAGTTAGCCGCGCTACAGACTAGGATTGTAAAATGAATATAGCTAGTGAGTGAGCTTCTCCCTGGATCTCAACAAAATCTTGTTTTCATACTGTAAAAAACACTCCATGTTCTGTGTCAACAATGCTGGTGACGACTCTACAGGCTCACTGACAGTTTTACTGCTCTTTTCTTTACATAAGCAGAGAGAGAAAGTGCAGGCATCCACAGGACACAGTGGAGGGATTCATGTTTATTTTAGCTGATTCCTATAAATTTGTTGTTACTGTTGTTTAAGTTCATTAATATTATTTTCTTTAACTTAAAGCCAATGCATTAGTATTTTAATTATCATATAATAGAGGTTTACTTATGTCTGTACATACTATATGCTGTCGTACGTAATGTGGTGGTATAGAGGAGGACTTGCTTATATGGCTATTCAGGGCTATTGGTTCTCTGAATCAAACCCTCACAAATATCTAGAACCCAGTGTCATTCTTAAGGATCCTCTGTTGGACAGAACATTGGGGATGTCACTTGGTTAACCCAAACAGTGTTCAGTCAAGAATTGTGCACAGACTGTTCTGCACTTGTCAAGCAGAAATCAACTCTTTTTAAAACACAAATTTACAAAACAATTACAAAACTCACGATCCAACAGGCATGCCATTCAGCTGTCAGTGCATATCAAGTGAGCAAGTGTCATGCACACAGAAACACCTTGTGCAGGTTAAAACATTTGCCCAAGATTTCAATAATATGATCTCCAAGAAGTCCTATTTAAAATGATTAAGACAACAATGACAAAGTACATTGATTGCATGTTGGGAAGAATATCCTAAGAGCCCATGAAAACATTCTCCTCACGGCTAATTTCAGGACTTTTAACTTCCAGTTTTTAGGATAATAATACATTTTGGACTAAAGGACAGATCTGTCCTAAATAACAGCATGTCATACCATATAAATAAAGGGTGTTAAATGGGAGGTTGCCAAACACTGTGCTATATTTAACCAAAATGAAAATCATTAAGAAGCACAGAGGCTATCACTTTTCAAGAGTTACCAAATGTATCATCCAATTAAAAAATGGCATCTGTCCCGTTTCCTGATGGGACTTTTCTGCAAGAGGGGAGAAATGAGACAGAACCACCTATTAACCACTCTCAGATCTCAGTTCTACCCAACTTCTGCATCATTCCAATGGAGTGCTGCAGTCATCAGCAATAAGTCGAAATGCAGCTGTTTCATTAGCAGTCACACAAGACCTTCCTGCATGCTGCTTTGTGCTTGACCTCAGGCTGCATGCAGTGACGGTTAGTCTGGTTACCTCTTGCAGTCTGCTGGGGCAGACTTGGGAGGCAGAATTAGGTAAATAGGAAGCAGCAGGTTGCTGTAGGGAAAGCTGGGACTGGACGTCCTCTAGCAGGTCAGGCTCGCTGATATGAAGTACTTCCTGTTCGGAGTTTAAAAGGCAGGAAGTGGGGATAGGCCACTGGTCTTACTTGTGGGGAGCAGGAATCTGCTCTTATTAACTTTCTTTCTTGGCCTGTTATTCAGTAAAGCTTCAGCAAAGATGTCAATACGACAAACCAGAGGGGTATTAGGTATATGTGAGCAGTGCAGATTTGAACAAATCAATTGATCCCTAAAATGAAGAAGACAAATTATGCTGGGGTACAGGAAGACTAACAACTAGTTAACGACACTAAAAACCAGACTAGTATGCAGCTTAAGATGAAACCATACACAGGTGTGCGCATAGAAATGTAATAGAACTAGTTCTAAATGTAAATCTCAATTTTCTTCCAATTTTAAAAATAGATATGGTATTTAAATGGTCTTTTTTGAAAACACCTAAGAAACAAATAAAATGTGCTAGCCAGTGAGATTCTGGTAGAATTGTACTGTGCTCCTGGAAATTGAACATCCCCATGTTTCTCTCTGTGTGGGGAAAACTGCAAATTCGTCTCCTACCATCTCCAAAACTTGTTTAAAATTATAAAGAAATGGAGACTTGAAAGGGCAAACTTTTTCTTTTGTATTTTCCCTGATACCACCAACTGTAGAGAAGACGGCATCTCACCTCTTTCATCGTACTAGAGGTCTTTGGAAAGTTCCGGCCTCCTGTCAGGCTGTAATATCTCTTCTCCAGGGCCGACAGCCTCTCTTTCTCCTGTAAGCACACAGCAGCAGTCACAGCAGTGAATTCTACCTGCAGTCGTGACTGGGGATTAGGATTTCAGAGGGCAACGCGCACACATAGTTTTCCGAATACACAATGGCAGTGCCTCAAACCACAACAATGTCTTTGAAACAAATTCAAAATACTGAGCAAGGATAAAATTTAAGGACTGTTATCCTTCTACACAGTAAGTGGACCATGTCCAGACCGTGAAAGAGACTAGACCGAATGGAAGGGTGTGGACCAGAACAACTGAGAGAGATACTGGGCCCATACCTTGTGCAACAGCTGTAGGGCCAGGTTTCTGTCCTTGGCCAGCCTGTCACACTCCTGGGCTGCCTGCAGTCCCAACTGATTGGCCTGATTCTCCAGCGCAGCCACCTTCTCCTGGGGATCAAATGGGGAAGTGCATTTAAAAACCCAAGAACAACACACACGCGTCTTCACTCCAAAGGGTGACGGGAGTGGGGGGTGTGGATTTGCTCTCATCTATGTGTCATGGGTTAGGCATTAAAAGAAAATGAAAAGCTCATTCTGAGCCAAAATTGGAATCTGGTTTAAACTATTGTTTATCATTGATATCACTGCAGATTTCCTGGATGTCAGTGGGTTTTTTTCTCCGATTCTGTTGAAACACTATTTAAATTACTGCCACGGCACATTCAGAAGAGGAGGACTCCAGCACTTGCACTGGAATCTCCTGTCACCCTGACACTGGGCCTACCTTCCTCTTGGCCAGGCTGCTCTGGTATTCTGCTCTGTCCTGTAAGAGCTGCTGGCTGATGGTCTCCCTCTCCTCCTCCAGGCTGCTCTCTTTCTCCAGTTGCTGGAACTCCAGGTCCTCAAAGCGCTTGGTCTCTGACTCCAGGGTCTCGGCCTCCTGCATTAAGCCCAGTGGAGGAAGTGACAACAACCATGAGGCCTACTGTGTAACCCCAGCAACTGTGTGTTTGTAGCCTTTTTACATCAGTGGACGGCACCTAACCTTCGGAATTGTCTCGTTTTTACATGCGTTTTTACATCTGTGCGTTTTAAAGGATTTCCACATCCATTTTACGAAAACACCACTGAATAGGCTGGTTACCTGCTGCATTCAGAATGCAATGTACAGCAGGTAGGTCCACCCACCTACTTCGATGCATAGCTTGACTATTTATTCAAAATAAAAGTATTTTACAAAAGTAAAAATACTTAAATGCTTGTAAATAAAAGACAATTCATACAGCATTATTCGACTCACTAAGAGACCATTGTATGAATTCTCTAGCATTCAGGTCCAGCAGCTTAGGATAATGTGATCGTAAAGACGCTACACAGAACAGGCCAGCATGCTCTACAGGCCCCCGATACCCCCCTTACTGAAACATCCTGACGCAGGGATTTTCAATGTGGGTCCTGAAGGCCTACAGACCTGCTGCAGTCTTCATTCCAACTGAGACTGAATTACTTCACTGAAGCTCTAACTGCACTAATACATCACTGTAGATACAGAGCATCTGCAAGTTTTTATTTCCAAATCGCACGTGGACAAATCTTGTGTTTCTAAAGAAATGTGGTTTGTTCGAAGGGGACCACTGGCAGGTCTGAGAGCTGTCCCTCCAGCAGTAACGTCTTGTTTTCTAAGTGCCTTCTCGAGAGCCGGAGCCTATCCCAGCAAGCAATGGGCACAAGGCGGGACACACCCTGGATGGGACACCAGACCATTGCAGGTCACACACAAACACACACATACTTACACCAGTGCTAATTATCTCCCAGAAGCCAATTCACCTACCAGTATGTCTCTGGACTACAGAAGAAAACCAGAGGAAATTGATGCAAACATAAGGAGAACATACAAACTCCACATAGACAGCACCCCAGGATTTGAACCTGGGGCTGGAGCACTGCGAGGCAGCAATGCTACCTTGTCACCCCTGAAAACGCTCAGTTTAGATTATTCTGGGGGTTCAGTTGTGTAACTGAGTGGAGCTGGATCTGAAAGTGGAAAAGGACTGTGTTAGCATGCTGAAAAACCCCCTCCAGTCATTTGAACTGAGGTGTTGGGGGTAGTGGAGGGAGATACAGAAAAAAGTAAAGTTATTTTTATTGAGACTGAAAGAAAAAAAACTTAAAGCAGGTAGCTCACAGATCATCACATCTGGCTTTCCGTGTCAATACTTCCTCTCCAGAAAGAGAAAGAAGGAGAAGCGTTTTTTAATGGCTGGGGTCAGTTGTGACAGTGCTCCGGGGAGGGTCAATGAATGAACTCACTTAATTTCTAACCTGAAATTACCTACGACATGACAATCTCGTAGTGCTCAGTCTCTCTATGGAACGTGGAAGGCAGGCTGCTATTCTGCGCCAGCTCCCCCTCTACACAAATACAATAAAGAAATATATTGCATAAAGGGAAATACCATACGGGGGGGGGGAACACGTGCTTTTGCACATCAGGGCTAATGTAACCGGAGCAGCGTGTTGCCATGGAGGAGAGAATTCAGTAGCTCCCGAGGTGTTATAACTACGAATGGCCACGAGAGGCCGCCCAAGCATAACATTAGAGACGCTGGTTTAAAACAGTACGTGTCGTCTCAAACGCAGGTGTGTGGTCATTGCTGGAATGTCAGCATTCACACGAGGAAGCACAGCAAGAGGTCGCTGGGCTCACATAACTAATGAGCTGCAGCTCTGCGGGGGGGGGGTCTACTCTTTATAACTTCAGATTCCTGACTGGCAGGGTTTCAGAATAAAAACAATGGAAGTAGTGCTGTGTGGTTTAATCATGATTATAATTCTAATCATCATAGCGAGAAGTGAGACATCAACTCTGGATTAAGTAGTCATCTGTTATGACAACAGGTTTTAGCAAAAGGAAAGTGGGTTCCCTTGACAGAGTAAGAGGAAAGAAACCTCAAGTTGTTACCCAAATTAAAGAAATGAACCCTAAAAAACAAGGTTAAAGGAATAGGGAGAAGGTCTCTGACCATGTTACTGCATGTAAGGGCTTCCCACGATAAGCTTTATTTCCACAGGGCACAGGTTATAATCGTGTCATGCAAATACCACAGCTCCACAGTGATAATTCTTTCCAGACTTGCAGTAAATTGCACTGCAGCAACAAATCCTCCATAAATTATGTACAAATGAAATAAAATGTCATCGTAAGTGGAAAAGTAGCAAGTTTTTTTTTAAATACCCAGAACTATACCAAGTAGTAAGTGAAAAGACAAAGAACACAAAAAAGACCATTCTGAGGAAGTCAGAAGAAGTTGAGACCAGAAACATAAGCAAGGAAATACTCTGTAGTTTAAACCCCTTTAACCAAATGATGAGATAATTAATAGATTAGTAAGTGGTTATTGTTATGTAGTATAATAATAAGGTGGAAGAGGAAATACAGTGAAAAAACAAACTGACCACCCACAAAGGCAACATCACACCGGGATGCTACAGTCATGCACTGAGAAACCCCAAACCTTGACGCTCTTGACCCACAATGCACCACCTTACCCTTGGCCAGCCCAAATGACCTTCGACCCCGGCACTGTTGGTGCAGTGGAAACACACGGTTATAGAGGGGGGCTGGAGAGGGCCGGAAAGGGTTAGGGACAGACTGCTCATGACTTGGGCTGGGAAAAGACGGGGGTTCATGTTATCACTCTGGTTGGAACTCCTACAGTACTCCTGTCTCATTTAAACAGCACTGTGTTCCAATTGGCGATAAGATGGGCTTTCTTATCGGGGGAAGGAACATCTTGCACCTTTCCTGCCCAATCTCCTTAAACAAGGGAAGGCTTACTCATAAACAGGAGAATCTCTCAAAGTCGGCACGCTCCCTAAAACCAAGACTGAGAGTCAGTTCCCCTGTGGCTTTTCTTAGCTCTCCCATCTAACAGGAAAGCAGCTTGCAAACTTTAGTATCCGACTCAAGATTTTGCAGTGTTACAAAGAAAGAAGAAATGCTTGATGAAAAGGCTTTAACGCATCCTAAATCAATATGGAGGAACAGTTCTGAACTCCACTTTCACTTTGACTCTCCTAAGGGAATGGTGTAGGCCGAAGCTTGATGGACTTGGTGCTGTTTGGAATAACAGTTCTGTCTTAGGGTACACAAATCTGTCATTTAAAACCCTGTGCTAGCATTCACACCTTTTTTCCAAAAGCAACAAGCGTTAATAAAAAACAGCAGCAAAAGATGCCTTTGGTGGAATGGCTCTGTTTTTCCAGCGGCGCTAAGCAGGATAGCGACTGGGGCTTCTTTTTGAAGACGGGGTGAGAGAAGAGGGTTGGGGCAGGTAGGAAGGCACGTGGCTGCTGCTGTCTGGGAAGGACTGACCCTTTTGAGCTGCTCCTGTATCTGCTCCCTCACAGACTCGGGGCAGTTATGAAGCTGGTTCTTCAGCTCATTGTAACCATCCTGGAGCCTCTCCAGGGCCTCGCGCTCTGCTTCAACATTTGCCCTTTCCTAAAAAAAACACAAGCAATCCGGGGAAGCAGAGAGAGAGAGAGAGAAGGGGGAGAGAGAGAGAAAAACACACTGCTCAAAACCACGCCATGCAAAAGCTCTCAAGGTTAGACGTCTCAACAGTGGATAAGCCAGAGAATTGGGGGTTGGGGGTGGGTTGAGGGTTCGTTTGCGGCCTTCATTACAGAAAAAAATATTTTCCGAATTTTATTTAGCGCCCTACCCAGACCAGGAGCCTCTACAGGCCGAACAGACTTCTCAAACCAAATCGCTTTGGAAACACAGCACAACAACGGCACATGCTGTTAGTCTGTGCTTTGGCTGAGCTGCCATTCACACCACAAAAGTGTGTGAATGTAGCCACAGTGCCTGGTGATACAACTGCTATTCCAGCCTCTTGCAGGCCAAGCAAAAAGCTTGTCAGGTTCGTCAGTAATGCGTGGGGGAAGTCTTTTTACCAGTTTAAATGTACGTAATATTGAGAAGTATCCCTCAACAGAGCAGGACTTGTGCTTCTCTGCTTCACCTTTTGGCTTTCAGGAGGATGGCACATAATGTGCCCTTTTTAAAGGTGCAAACATGTTGCTCTGAATTGTAAACTGTTCATCCAAGTTGTTATCGCGTTTCTTTTTTACCTTCTCTGCCAGAGTGGTCATGATCTATAGTAATAAATAACGAGTTTTCAGCCTGGATCCTGTATAAATACTTGAAAACAACTAGCAACCCAAGGCTTTAGATACTGCCTGCAGGCATCTTTATCAGACTTTAGATAGTGCCTGCAAGGAGCTTTGTTTAAACAGCAATAAAGGTATCAAGGCCATTAACTTACGCTCTGATTAAAATTGATATGCCAGAGCATGCATTTCTACTAAGAGCTTATTGATCTGCCACTAAAGTGACTGGCAAGCCATAAATGATATTGGCTAGAAGGTCAGAACTGTGAAAACACATATCCTTTATAATTGGACGTTGAAGCACCGCAATTTACAGGCAACCTTTAAATGTATGTTCTGGGCCACACAAAGAGAAAGCTGTTGGTCCTGAAGGCAATTATATGGATTAAAGATGCCTTCAGCTAAGACTGACTTATCAGGGGAGAGTGAGGATCAATGGGGTTTTGGTGGGGAGGGTGTGGGGGTGGAAAGGGACTGGGAGTGACCCCAGAAGCCTTGAATTGCACCACGCTCTGGCTACACCTCTGTGCTAACAAACAAATGGCAAAGTGAAACACAAACATAAAAATCATTTCTATGAGAAGTTATTGTTATCATTGTGCATGTTTCTTTGTGGGGTTTTGGCATCGGTTAGAAGTTATTGACACGCCAGCTGAGGCAAAAGCCACAGGCTCACTTCTCTCTCTCTCTCTCTCATACACACGCTTCCCAGTTCTTCCAAGGAATTCCCCTTCCCTCCGCAGTGCTGGACATTTCTCCGCTGAAATTTCTGGCCATTACACAGGGGCTACAGCTCTTTCTGTGTCCCTGGCTTCAAGGCAAACCCATTTGTAGTCAACCTCCAGAGAGGAGCCAAACTGTTTTGTCTCAGGAGAGCTTCAGATAACTGCCTGTCCTCCAGCGCTCAGCGAAAAAGTTCAGCAAATTCACCCTGTAGCATTCATCCTGAGAAACCTTGCCGCAAAACGAGGTTTCAGCAAGGACACCTCCTGGTTTTTGTTAATACAGCGATAAGCCTCTTTCGACACTGGGCGGTCAAACATGCCTCATGAAGACAGGTCCCCTGAGGGAAGCCCAGTTAAAGGGACAGGAAGATAAACGGTTAATTAGAGGGGGCTTGTCCCCAGGAGAAACTGCTGCCGGACCCCAGATCGCAACATAGCCCACAGAAAACCGCCACCATCAAAGAAAAAGTGTAACCTCCCAAAGGCCCAAACGAGGGAGCCGAGAGAGGCCAGAAACCTCCTTCGAGTTGTATCGCTGCCAGAACACACCTTGCAGGAAACCAGACAGCCTTTCGAGCCTCGCTCAGGTCCGTCAGCAGCTTTCATTTTGGTTTCCCAAAATACCTTTCGGCAGCGCTCCCTTTGTCCCTCCCTCTCCTCGGAGAACCAACCTCACTGTGGACCAAGGTCAGAGGTCAGGAAGGAAAGGCGGGAGAGAAGACAGCTGCCACATCCCGTCAACTGGTCTAACCTCCTGTGTTGCAGCTTTCAATGCAGGTACCCAGTAACCTCTTCTCGGTGTGGGTCCATTCGGGACTCCCTCAGCACCACCCTTGGTTGCTCGGGGATTCATAACCTCATGGTCAGGGCGCCAAACCCCCCCTGGCCGAGCAAGTTAAAGCCAGGGAATGCCTTCAAACGTTTCGGCCTACCCAGCGGAACGACACTAAAGCCCATTTTAAGCTGCCGAGTGTTGTCCCTACCTCCTGAAACACAAATAAAAAGAAAATGAAAGAGGAAACGTGGGGGGGAGAGAGAGAGAGAGTCCCACAGCCAGCGCAGGGTGAGGTGGTGAGAGCAGATTAAGGGGTTAGTACAGAGGGTGAGTGGAGCAAAGCTGCAGAGAAGCCCTGACCAGCTCGCCTGTAAGACGAGCAGAAAAACCGAAAACCGAAAGGGCCGGAAAAAAAAAAAAAGGAGGCCGGAAAGGGCCGCATCACTTCCTCTCGTTTGTAACGGTTCTCATGGGTCCCCAATCTTCTCATGGGATCTACCCACAACCACACCAACCCCCCCCCCCAACCGCGACACCCCTGTGAAATCCCCTTTACCACTAAGACAGCCGCATCCGTGTTCGAAGCTATCGTAAAACTCACCTTAAAAAAGGAAAAAAAAACAGGTAGAAATATATTTTGATACTGTTTCAGTATATGGTATTTATATAGCATATATTAAAAAAATAGATACGAAAGTAGCTAAATATATAGATATGAAAGTACTTCTGTATATGATACATACTGATGAAATGAACTATAGATAGTGTGTACATGGCTATATACAGTGATATGTCAAATTTACATATGTTCTGTATGTATTATATACTATACTTCATGCACCCCTCTTGATATACAGTGGGCTACAGTTCAGAGTCACAGCTCTCTCATTAGACTGTGAAATTAAGAGGCCCATAAAACTAACCACAATGGAGCAGCATGACCAGACCTTGTTCTAGGACGTGTCAGAGTTTGACATAAATCTGCTCCACTACAATAAGGGCATGAAGATCATCTGGAGACACGTAAACCGAATTACGAAGATAATAAAGGGGGCATTAAATTGCCACGAAAATGAGCTTTTAAACGGACTGCACTGCTTCATAGGCGAGAACAGACAACCTGGGGGAGCTGCACGGACCTCAGGGTGGGAGGAACTGAGTGCATACCAAGCCGAGGCAATAGCTGTGATATCACCGAGCGAAAACGAAATAAGAGCTTGATACATTGGGAACCACCCTCCCCCACCACTGTTCCGTCAACTTCCAGATCCATCGCTTTTGGCTGCTCCTTGAGACGCTTTCGTTGGCTTTGATATCTTCCATCTTCTTTTGATATCTTTCAGCTTCATGCACCACGTTCCTCCCCCATTGTTGCATAAAGACGACAGACAGCAAATGAACCTGAATCCACCGTATAGCGACAAGTGCTCTACCCAATGCTTATAAACGCGTATATAGCGTGGACAAAAAAATGGAATCGCTGAAAAAATCACCACAGTGTTTTTCTGCAAGAGCCACACAGCTGCCCTGTTAATGCCATGCCTTAAGAACAGTGCCAGAAACCAGAAGAGACTGTTCAGTCCATTGAGGCTCATCCCCAGCTAAACGTTGGCTTTTAATGCAGCCAGGCTGCTGGTTCTGACTGTATTAAAGTCGGACATCCACTTCACAGCCAGCAGACCACCACCCAGCTCCCAGAGTAGGCTCTCGCGCTTACTCCTACCCTCGCACACCACAAACGCTGCCAGCAAGGAACCACAAACGCAGGAAGGAAAAGCACAGTCCCAGCAAACCTGTGCGTGACGGGGAACTGCGAACGCCGGGGAAGTGCGTGGTTTTGTAGGGAACAGGTGGGAATACCTGTGTGATGCAGGGGCCTCCTAGCAAACCGAGAACACAGCTAGAGGCCTCTTTCTCTTTCGTCCAACCACTCCAACCCCCCAAAAATCCTCCTCCATAAAAAAAACCTGCTTGGCCCAGCTATGGAAAACCCATTCATGCATTACTAGGATTGTACCCCAGTAATCAGATCTGCACCTATTAAACATCCCCACCAAGTCACACTGCATTTCTGAGTTGGTGAAGAACCAATAGAGGAAATAGAAAAAGCAAATTTCATCAACCCTCTTAAAGCAGGGTACCATGCATGTCACTGAAAGGGACAGCAAATCCTAAAATAGAACACCAGCTTTAAAGCTTTCAGTTCAACAGTCCAAAGTGAGATGCTTTCAATAGGTGAAAAAAGTTGGATAAACCAATCCCTTAACTGTTAAGTGGATATGAGACTTAATAATATAATATGACACTTGCCTGGCTTTAAATAGAAGTGCTAATGCATTCTCAACACTGCCTACTGTAGCACCGATTATGACCGCAGCTGTGTACAGTACGTTCACTGCGACCACTTACACCGCTCGGGACTCCCTTCCAATTGAACATAGTCCAATTATCTCATGTCGAGATCTCCCCCTAAATAAATGTAACGCTTTTACTCCCGACACCAGTGATGTCCCAGAAAGAAACATTTGATTCTCCGTCATCATTCGGGCTTGTTTTCAGGACACCCCTCCAAACAGCTACCTTCACGCGTCAGGGAGTGGGGAAGATCCTGCAGGTCTACCTGGAGAGATGTACTTGAGCTACGATAGGGGGATCCGGGACTCCCGAGTACCAGGGAGGAGGCATACCTGCGAGCCTCTTGGAGACGTGCACGCTCTGAATATGTTGAGGTGTTGGTGGTGTTATGAGCTATAATATCGCCACCCCTGTACAATTGGTACCTTATCTTTCTCCCTCTGAATGGCACACTCCAGCTCGCTCAGCTTGCGCCCCAGCTGCCCGATGATCTCCTGCTCGGCCTCCAGCTGCTCCAGCTCCGCCTGCCTCTCTCCCTGCAGGAGAGCTCGCTCCATCTCCGCCTGCGGACACACACACACGTTCAAGCAGGATTCCCGCGCTCCGGCCCTGCTCCTCATTTACAGACTGCCCGCTAGCTGCCCCGAAACCCCACGCCACGCCGGCAGAGCCCGTAGTCCCATGGGTTACCGATGGATCGTAAAAAGCAACGGACAACGTCCGCTCGTCCAGTCGGCAAGCGGTTATTAAAAACAGTTTGAGGGAGAACCGAAAACTAGCCAAACCCCAATCCCATGAGGACTTGAGCAGTTGACCGCCGAACTTGTTTCAAATCACATGTATTTACTTTATAACTACTTCATTATTTTATAACGCTATTTCTCTACATCAGAACTATTGTACAACAGAGAGGTTAGTTACTTATTATTATCATCTCTCAACCCTCCCACCTCCTGCTTGGACTCCTGCAGCTGTTGCTCTAGTTCGGTGACGCGGGCCTTTAGCTCGTCCACTCGGGCCAGAACCCGCAGCCTCTCCTCCTCCAAGTAACCCACTTCCTGTCGGCTGGCGCCGCCGCTCCCTGGGGCGTCTTCATGCTGCGGTTGGAGGCAAGGGAGAGTGAGAAGGGGCTGGGCACAGCGCGGGAGGGTCCCCACCCTGGATCTGGGGACACAACACTTAACCAAACACTTAAGGTTCCCCAGGAAAATGTGCCGTGGTACCATTACAAAATGCCATGATATTCACACTCCAGTGTTTTCATCTAAACAGCCTAGACCATTGCAAGGGTCACACTTAGACAAAGTGAACTGTAGCTCAGCTACTTCAGTGTGACATGTTTGACACAAAACCGAGGTCCTGACTCTCTGTGGTCATTAAAAATTCCAGGGCGTTTCTCGAAAAGAGTAGGGGTGTAACCCCGTCGTCCTGGCCAAATTTCACATTGGCCTTTACCTATCATGGCCTCCTAATAATCCCCATCTATGAACTGGCTTCATTACTCTGCTCTCCTCCCCACTGATAGCTGGTGTGTGGTGAGCGTACTGGCGCACTATGGCTGCCGTCACATCCTCCAGGTGGGGGCTGCACACAGGTGGCGGTGGTGGAGGGGAGTCCCCATTACCTGTAAACCGCTTTGAGTGGAGTGTCCAGAAAAGCGCTATATAAGTGTAAGCAATTATTATTATTAGTTGTTAACTGTGAGCCTTTGCTGCCTTCGTTCTTGCTGACCACAGCCATAGGAGCAGAGACTGCAGCTCCATGGGACAGCAAAGTGCTAATAGCAAAGGGAGGGGGAGCTGTCACGGCGCATTTCTGGAGTTTCTCTCACATCGGAGGCTCAGAGCTATAGTCACACAAGTCACACACTGACCCAGAATGTAGTCAGTGAAACGGAACAGCTCAGATTTTATTTTGGGGCTCGTGACCGGTAATATTGAACCAGTGCCCATTTTTTCCAAAACGAAACTGGTTTTTGGACCTCGAATGAGGTGGAGAAGGAAACGAGTGATGGAAGAATGTGGTCAATTGATGCAGGGGGGGTGAGGGAGTGAGGGGAAAGTGGCCACTGACCTCCTGGTGCGTGCTCTCTGTGCTGCTGCACTCCTCCTTCAGGTTCTCCTCGTCGCTCTCCCTCTGCCGCGGCGGCCCGCGGTGCGCCGGCGAGACCCCCACCTCCACCGAAGGCCTCCTGCCCCCCGCCTCCCCAGGGAAGCCCATCCTGCCCGCCTCGGCCCCGGGCGCCAGGTCTGCCTTGTTGTACTCCGCGCACAGATTGAGGATCGTCTCCAGGCGCTGCCGTTCCTGCACAACGCACAACCGGGGCCAGACCGTTACCAGACCGGCAACAGAGCGTTTCGGAGGAGCCACCGAGTCCCTAGGCTAACTCCCGAGGGTGCTGATCTGCCGCGGAGCTGAAGCTGTTTTTAACCCTCTCAGGACACAAAGAGCGTCACCTCTACAGCAAATGCGGCCAGCGTTGTTCAGTTTTCCCACCAAGAAACGGCCGTGGGGTCTGGACAGAGGAAGCTACGCCCCATCTATCGCATTTTGTCCTGTCCAGAACCGCGTTAATCAGTGTGGGATCCAGCCTTTATCACGGCTCACTTCCGTGCTTGAAAAGAAGGATGGGCTGTTGACCAAGCAATGAGCTGAGGGCTACACAAGAACCCTAAAATATTCTGTCTCTTTCACACCCAGCAAGCTGCACGATGAAATCCGAAGTACTGAGATCCTCCTCTCACTGCTCTGCAGCATCACCTCATTCCTGACATCCACAGCCTCTTCCATTGCATGACCTTCCCAGGATTACAAGGCAGGACGGCCCCCAGTTCCACAGATGCTTGCTAGTCAGTCAGGGGCCTAATTAGTAACCAGTCAATTCAGCTTGTAGCCTGAGGCAGACATGAGCTATCTTTTGCTTAATAAAACAAGGAAGGTGCATTCGATCTGTGACTGTGAGTAAAGACCGAAGAAGCAATGCCCAATGGGTTTATTCCCCCGTGAACAGATAAGAAAATATATATCGTTATCCTCTGCTTGGTTGCAATTAACGATTAAGCTCGCTCCTTAAACGTCTCTAAAACAACACTGAAAGCAGGGGCGGTTATTTATAGCAGACAGGTTGTTGTCTCCCAGCTGACCTCGGCCCTGTGCTGCTCCCGTCCTCTCACAGACACAGCTGTGCTCAACTACAGCAGCTGCCCACTCTGAGCTCCCCGCCATGCCAGTGCAACAAGGGGACAATGACCTCTGACCTCCCACTGACCCTTCAACCCAGCATGCCAACTGTTGCTGGCTCCTCCTTTATCTGTAGACTTTGTGGCACCATCCAAAAATTCACAGGATCCCTTGGGGAGCCCACTGCCAGTTAGAACTGGATGCCATTCTTTTTAATGTTTCTAATGAATAAAACGTGATTATCGGGACTTAAATTAGAGATTATTTTGCAAGTCTTTAAAGGATTTTGGACCTTAGATCTTATGCTGTTTATACTTAAGTTCATTTAAGTTAATGTAGAACATGTGAAACATGAATATTTCGTAAAGAATCTGATATATAGGAAGCATGCTAACATACCTGTTCAGAAAATTAGGATGGAAAATGTAACATGGTTTTTAGATTGGTATTTTCACAATAAAACTTAAAAAGTAACAGAAAAATGGATTGATGCATTGCGAGAACTGGAGTCTATATCTGATTCTACTATAGCTGGCTGTGCTGCTTTTCCGCTGATGGAAAATATTTTTTCTGCGTACGAGACATCGCTAACAAGAAGCAGAAAGCAAGCTATTGCTCCAGTTGGCAGCTCTCAGTTTTTCTGTTCCTCTGGAGCTCAGCCTTATCAGTGCTCTAGAAGGCTGGGTCTCTGCGTTTACTCAGTGACCTCAGCCTCCGGTCTCTTCAGTGGGCTGGAATTTCCAGCAGCAGTCTACCCTCCCTGTAATTATGCATCTCTGTGTTGTGTGACTAATGGCCATCATGAAGAAGGTTGGAGAGAGACACACCAGGTGAACTCAGACACAACAGGAAAACTCACAACAGGAAAGAGTAGAGCACAGGGTCATGTATCGGCATGGTTAAGCTTTTAGAGTTAAGAATCACCTACAAGGTAATCTGTAAATTCGAATTTATCTCGAGGACTGAACCTACAACTTATTTGCCTTAACATCACATTTTATTTGTACTTGTACTGAACAAAGAACAAAGTAAAATTTAAGCCAGTCAGAACATTGCTGTATCATACCAGGAGTCTTTGAATTGGGAAGTACAGTAGCAGTCATTATCAGACATGAGTGTGCTATGTGTTGGGATTAGACACTGTACCCAATTAGTACAATTAATTCATTTTGATAGCTAACAACCCAGACACACATCTGCCCACTTGTTGAACACCGAGTGACTGAACACAAAGATCTATCCCCCAGTACCGTAAACACAATTTTCTACTGAAATCTGATTTTGAAACAAAGTGCTTCATTCAGGCATCTAAGTTTGCTTTTTTCCATCCCATTCTGAAGCAGGATCTAACAAGGCACAGGGAGCTCCAGGCTAAAGAAATTCAGTGGCTTGATTCTCAGCCTTGGATGAGGGGACACACAAGACTTGCGTCTCCATTGCAGTCAACTCCTCACTTATTCTTTCATTACTTCTAAACAGAGATAGTAAAAATAATAGCTCTGAAAGCAGTCTTTATACCCAGGTCTATTTGCATTTGTAAAGGAGAGAGGTGATTGCTATTGGGTTTCTCTCAGAATTTCTTCCAAAATGTGACATATGATCATGAGAGCACTGGAAGAAAAACAAGCTGGACACAAATCTCTGTAGAGTAAGAGCTCCGAGGATCTTCCATGTTTTGAGGGTAGTTTTGAGGATTACAATTTTGAAAATTCTTGTAGGTATGTTTCTCCCCCCAAAAAGGGAGTGAATATCTTCTGAGACAATGAAATTTGATTTTAGAACTTTTTTTTATTTCGATTTTAGAAGGCAGTGAGAGGCACACCTAGTCAGACGGGTGGTAACCCCCAGAGCTCTCTGCTCCTCATAGAAAGGAGACCACTTTAAGAGCAAGGCCTCCTGTCCTCGTGTTTCAAGATTGCAGGAGCAGTGAGGAGCTCACTGGGAAGCTCTCCGCAGGGAACAGGGGCAGAGGAACCGCTGAGAGAGGCAGAGAAGAGAAATAAACAGGCAAACAAACCAAGGAGCAAAGGCCTGGAGGAAGATCAAATTTCTCATTTCTAATTCCAGCCTTTTGATCTTCACCAGAAATATTCCACCATTAGGTTTTCTATGGTTGCAATCAAAACATGACACTGCTATAGTCAATCCTATAGTGCCTATGTGGCTTAAATCTAGTTTTCCATAGTGTAGTCCCTAGTATTGTAGGCACTCTTAACACTGAGCTAGTGAACACGCTGCCATTCTGCACTTTAATTAAGGACTGCCGAGTGCACTGAGCTACTGGGCTGACTATAGCCCAGCAGTGTAACCATAAAGCTACTGATACTGCCGACTACCACATGACAGAACATGCCTTTGTCACTAAAATGTTATGTCTGAGTAAATGTTTCTAGCATGACTCTTTAAAGAAAACAGCACACTGAGTTTCAACTCAGGTAGCCTAAACAAGCCCACAACGCTATCCTGCACTTTGTTACGAGTGCATTCTGTGGCGACACAAAGCTGTTCTTCTACAGGCGTCTCTGATCAAACAGAGGACCGATAATCCTGAGTTTTCCCCAGTCGATCTACTCCCTCGCATCTGAATCAAAGGCCGTAACTGCCTTCTGCAGAAGAGCAGACAGCAAACCGCACTCAAAAAAGCGCTAAATTCAAAGCAACAGTTTCGACACCCCTTATCGTCAGCTCCAGGCTTCCTAACCCTAAGGAAACAGTTCCACCAAAAACCGAACAAGATTTCTCCATTCCTGCCTCTGCTGATCAGCAGAACTACAAAATCCCACCATACTCACGCGCATTCTGCATAAATGTTCACATATGCTAAACAAGGAGACCTCCGGAAGACGTCTGGGCACCAGTAACTCATTTAAGAGAATGCCAGATTCACCCCAGCCCAGCACGCAGACACGCAGTACATGAGTCAACACTGCGGTTCCTATGTGTCCCACCCTTCTCCCTGCTTCTCCTTACTAACCTGTCTGCTCAACCTGCGGGCAAGAAGGAGGAGGAGCAAAACCACAAAGGGAATAAAGTTAGTGCGCCTTTATCTCCACAAATTATTATCCACCTAACCGCCAGTGTTTCTTTTTACAGCTGCCAGCATTCTTTCACTTTTATGAGCATAGTTTCTCTAGGCCCCTGGTGGGGGGGTTGAAATATTTATTTCCTCATTCATAACCTTTCCGATTTCAATTCAAAATACTGTTCTTCATCCCCAAGGTGAGGGGGGTTTTAAGCAGCAAGTGCAACAACAACAACACATTCCAAATCAAACAACTTCACTAAGGAAAATATACATAAACGGCAAATGGACCATAGAAACAATTAAGGAAGTAACAGCGATATTTCATACAGTATTAAAAGTGTGTGCACCTTTGTACACGGGGCTACATTTCTTTTATTTGTCTTGCAGTGAAAACATCGTCCTGAAGGCAAAAGTTCAAAAGAAGAATATGAGATGGGTCTTCAGTTATAGCACTTTTTGATAAAAAGCTGTGCCAGGCATCTTGAAGGCTCACTAAGGATTTCAGAGCTAAGGTTTACAACATTTGAAGGTGGTTTTTGTCTTTCTGAGTGAAGCGAGCAAGTGGTGCATAGCTTCACGTACAGATCAGTCATGTGTGACTGTGTGTATCCATTCACAAAGCCGTAGTTTAATATAAAATGAATACAAAAGGCATTGCCTGCAGAGACCTTAGACTAATTGCAGCAGTAATACAGTTAGAAAATTGAATCCAAAAAGATCAACCCTTTAACCAAAACTGGAAAAAAAACTGTGGTTTCTTTTATGATTTTACTAGTGCTCTTTCCCAGCCAAGACCATGGGACTTCAGAAAAAGTACCAATACTCTGATTTTTAAGATTAACAATTTGATTTTAAGAAGAAAACCACTTTTCTGTTATGAGGCTTGACAACATTGCAACTGAAAAACTGTAAAATCAGCATGGTAAGGATGTGAGAAATCTTCTTCTATAAACAAGACAAATTGAATGCTATAAATCCAACGGAAAAGTCACGACCATTAATTTACATCCATCTCGAAGTAAACTAAAAAAGCATTCCAGTTAAAACCTCTTCGGGGAATATTTGTGCAAAAGCATGTTGCTGTCTTCTTAGGAACATG